CTATCAAATATTCTTATTTATGATTACACTACTTTATTATAAGAGGAATTACCACACACATACAGTTATAATTGATTTCAGACATATTAGTAGTATATATGAAACCTAATATTCTGTCGTTACATCTTTCAGTTTAACTAGCAACATGGCAGAAGAAATAAAATGACATTGTTTATCTTAATGATATTAACTTAAAGACTCACCCCCGCTATAAAAGGCCTGAATCAGTTGAAAAAACATGGCTGAATTCAAAATTTAGACAAAATCTGAGCTCACTGACATTTTCCTCATTTTCTCTAGTTATAGAAACCCTATCACTCTATAAATTGTCACAGTTATCTATGAATATAGGAGGCATTGAAACATGTTAAATCCAGTCCAAGATATTATTTACTTTTGTAATTATTACTGTTTAATTTCTGATATTGGAACAACTGAGAAGGAGGAGCCTATTTTGAAATGAGCCAATCACAACAGGCGATCCGTGCATATTTAGAGGTCAACAAAAGCACATGGCCTAAAATATCTGCAGTAAATGAAGTATTATTGATATTAACTTACCCTGATCCTGGCTGAGGCATTTCAAGTGATGTGATCTTTATATATCCAACAGTGATAGTTAATCCAATTACATGCACATAGTCATGTTGTATTTATATGTTATTAATCTTGTAAATAATCTATGGAATGTGGTAAAGTATAAGTATATTGTATAATTAAAATATAGAATCCATCCATTTGTTCCAAATATTGTTTTTGTAATTAGTTGTGTAGTCCTTCAAAACTTTTCTTTGTTTGAAGGGATTCAGTGGATCATCAATTTCAGTAATGCTGGAATAATCACGGTCTACATTTTCATTCCAGTGGACGACAGCTAGATTAGTTCTTATTTCGAATTGTTGCTTTTTAAAGACAACACGCTTATCATGGAAAATATTCAACGTATTGTTGAAGCTCTCAACATAAAATGTGTCCATAGCTTCTGTATAATGTTCAGCGTGTCTATAAATTTCTGTTTTTTTAATTGATGATAATAATAATTGTTCTGCAATGGGTGAGGTGATTCTAATTTTCTCTAATCTGTAGTTGATATTTGTTTTACAGCTTGATATGGCATCGCAATTTAAATGGTTGTCCTTATAATGGTTTGGAATTTGCTCTAGTTTCATCCTGATTGTATTCGGATTCTTATCACAGTTTCAAATAACTTGCTGTGCTCTTTTTCGTGCCCCATCGGGTTTGTCTATGAGTTCCGAGTGCCATCTTTATATTTGGGCCCCTTACAAACTTTGTTTATTTCACGACTGAATGACTTTGCCGCATGCCATGTGTCATTCTGGTTTAAAATTTCCTTGCCACCAGGTCCTCTGTGCTCACGGATTATTTTATTGATTGTACCGTTGTTGTCATGGGCATGAATATTTATTTTAACTTGTTCAGCATCAAAAAATTCATACATCCGTTTAGTACCCAATGCCTCATGCTTTTGAGATGACATTTCATCTTCCTTTGAAACATGTTCAGAACGTATAACTCTGTGTTTGTTGTGGCCCAAACATATCACATCACAATCAAACGCATTTCTTCTACCACCATGTCGAGCATCCGTCATGATATTGATACCATTTGCCTCGACATCAGGATACGTCCCCTTTTCTTCATCTAAGGCAGCTTTGCAAGATTCTTTCATCGCTTCACTGATATGAGAAGATAATTCATTTGTATAAGTCTTCTTTTTTCTCCAACCTAGATGGCCCATACCGACTGCTTTAACAACATTCTCATATTGTGAAGGCAGTAGCCCACTTGTCAACTGTCCAAAGAAAAAACGAAGATTGACGTAAGCCTCGCTATTTGGTAAGTGGGGTGAGGAAGGCCATCTTACATAATGTTCGCTGACCTGGCATTTAAATGCAATTGTTGCTGCATGTCCATGTAATACTACTTCTTGCAACTGAAGTTCCGCTTGACATATTCTGCTATGATGTTCAACTAAACTTACAAGTTTTTTGACAGTTTTTTCAGTTGTAAAAAATATTGGTTGCTCAGTTTCATGTCTCTCTATTGGTGTGTACCAAGACTCTGGCTCAAGATTGCCTTCAGATGATGCTGAAGTATGTGTGTTGCTACTTGCAGATGGCATATTGTGTGTTAGCCAATAGTCTAATGCTATTTCTATGGCATCTACATTGCCATTCAGGTGTAAAAACTTCTTTATTTTACTCGTTTTCCAAGCAAAGTTTCCTTCTTCTCTTGACCTCCTGCACATTCAATTGAGAATCTTGAGGAACGCCCATGCTTTTCTCTATATTCCTTCTTTTTCTTAGCTTTACTTGCCATCATACAGTTTAGGATTGCTACAATGTGTGTCTTGCCTAGTAACTGTTAGTAAGATATGTGAAAAGGCACAAATGTAACAGTTGAAAACACATGGCAATTTAGGCAAAGGGTGTACCTTAGGGATGTGACAGTGTGGGAAATATATAACCATAATTATATTTATTTTAGTTATTAAGCTAGGGAGTGCAAAAATGATAAGCCATATTTTATTGTTGCATTATAACCACATTTCTTTTTTGTTCTTACTCAAATTCTAGCCATAATTTAATGATGAAAGTTCAGAAAAATAAAAAATCCAGGTAACTGTTTGCAACTTATGCCATGAGGCACATAAGTGGTACAGCCCCAATTAAAAATCTCAGAGGTCTAGGATTTGCCTGCTTTCACCACTTAGCTATAAAATTGAAAAATTGGGAAATTCAAGAGATTTTCTACATGCCTCATTGACAAAGTCAGGGAGTCATGTTTATTAATTATCAATCATGGTCACATCAATAGAAACCTAGATTTGGACCTTACAAGAGTTCATGTGGATGTACCATATCATGAACACAGGGGTGAACAAATTACACTCTTCCACATATGAAGATTATATGTTAGATTTCTGGTGACATTCAACATTTAATGTACCTTCCCGAGTGAGTATATCTGAGATTCCAGATGATGAATCCACCAGAGAGTATTTATTATTAAAACCTCCAAGAATTGGAGAAAGCCTTGGTTTTCCCATAGTAATATACATTTATCAAGCTGCATTTCACTGGTCTTTCAGATTCTAAAAACTAAATCTATGATCCAAGAAACAGTGTCATTTTATGTTTGAAGTTCAAGCAGTGAAATGGAAAGCAGAACTTACAGCTTGAAGATAAATGTAACTGAGGAACAGAGGTTAGTGATAGAATCCCTATATGATCACTATGACTGGAACTTTGACCCCATTGAGGACAGCTACAAGAACAGTAGGTTGAATAATACAGAAAAAACAGTAAATGTGAATAGAAGAAAAGCAGCAAAGAGGAAAACATCAGCTAGTATCTCTTCAGAAACAGTAGCAATTTGTTCTTTAGAAACAGTAGCCACTGATTCTTCAACAGAAGACGAAAGTCAAGCAAGTCAGTCAATCAGCATTTTGACTGGTATGATACCACAACATGTATCTACAGAGCCTCCGCAGCCTCCTAACAATGATTCCCCTAGTTCTAATGAAGAGTCACATGATTGTCCGCATTGTTTCTGGAACCCATGTGTTGTCAATGAAGCCAAGTATGAGCCATTTTGGAGGACAACAAATGCAACTCCATCATTGTCAAACATTATAACAAGGAGAAAACTGTACAAGGAATTTTGGAGAATGATAAACAATCTAGGACTATGGAGACATCCTAACTATTTAACCAAAAAGGCAGCTTCCAAAAGTAGTGACAGAAGTATAATATACCATAAAAGGGAGATAATGCCCACATGTGTTGTCACACAAGTGAGAGAATGGTTCCCGAATCCACCTGGCATTGAATATAAAGGACATGTTTACCAGTGAATGGATATAAGTTCAGCTAGACTTACACAATGAAATATTCTTATTCGGATTAATTAAATATAATAGTATACACATTAACTATAGTAACTACTATTTGGATTATATGCTCTTATAATATTGTTTAGTGGATTATTAAATGAGAAACCAATGCATATATATGTGAGTACAAAATTTTACTGCTATGTTATTGTTTACTATTTTGGTGGCCATTTTTAAAAATCTTGTTTTGAAGGCTGTGATTGGCTCAATCGGTGTGAATTTCTATTGGTTAATGAAAACTACTTTTTGATTGGATAACAGGACCCAGGGTCTTGGTTCTGTGTCTTTAAAATGCAATATATGGACATTAGGTACTAATGTGAATCGTTCACTATAATCAATCTAACAGTACATTTTCAAGATCTGATCATAATTAGGTATATTTAACAATATAAGATGTAACATCCAACATAAACAGTAGAGATTTTCCAAAGTTTTCATATGAATCACTTCTGGAGTTTCTTTCAATCAAATTTTTTTTCTAAACAACTTATGAACAAATGAAAATAATGTTGTTCCCCAAGGTTTCATAATGTCATGTCAAAATCACCTGAAACATAATTTACAGATAGTGTATATTGTAATATACAGTAGAAACAGTGACTCATTATTAACTGATAATAATGGCAAAGAACAGTATCTATTCATTAGAATTGTTAACAACTGTTGCACAAAGATCATTTTTTGCTTCTTTTGAATTTGCTTGCATTCCTATACGCTGTCATGTTCAATTTATATAAGGTTACATATGATATTTTCAATTATGTATATGACTGTAATTATCACTGTGAAACGTGATAATAGACTTTACTCTTTCAATATATGCGTCTATGTCTTAAAAAGGCTTTTGCAGCTTTTTTGTAAATGTTCATTTTATTTTGACAATAGGTGTTTGAAGTAGAGACTGGTGCTAATAGAAAGTCTAGTTATTTGAAGAAAAATAGCATCAAAACTTGTGTAAGATTCTTATTCGCGCCAATAACAATACTGTAAAGGTATACATACATTTATATAATACCATACTATTGTACTAGAATATGTAATATGTCACCTGACTCATCTAATTTCATTCATTTGCTTTCAGGATTAGTAGAGAAGACTGTTACTACTAAAGCAGCTAACGAGCGACAAGATACATGTAGTCGTAAACGTACAACTGAGGAGCAGATAACAGAAGAGCCTGTCGTTAAAAAACCAACTTCCATAACCACACCTACTAAACGTAACACTCGACCACAATCTGCGGAGCGGTGTCAATCGACAGGATTGAATCACTCTCAGCAAGTTGATTCAAACAGATCATTAATTGTTAAAGTAACGAGGGAACAGATTCCTAAGGTACCAAAAGTGACCAAAACCAAGGATATTAAAAGTAGAACTCCGAGAAAAGTGAAGTTGAAATCACAAGTTGGTCAGGATTCAGGAAAGTGTATTACATCAGTGAAACCACAAGACATTCAATTGAAAGTTGCGTCAGTGAAACCGCAACAAAAAGTTATACCTCAGCCTCATTCTGATAATATTGCATTGAACCTTGCGCCAAAAGTCGCAAAAGTTCGTCCTGTGGCTAAAGTGAAGCCAAATCCTGAGGTTAAACCAGAAATAAATCTAAATGAAATAAATCAACTTCCAACATCATCAGATATCTTAGATGAGAAACTTTTAGAAAAAACTTCGAAAAAAGTTAAACCAAAAGCGGAGAAATTTGGTGATAATAAACACAAGACAAAAGTTAAGAAGAAAGAGGTTCAAAATGAACGTAATAAAAATTCAGAGGTAGCTCCAGCAAAAGACTTGGAGTCAACTCCCTCAAAATCTAACCAATCAGGTCCAACACAAAGTGCCGAATCATTACAAAATACTGATCCAAAAAACGGGTCAGACTTGAGTGAATTCTCTGAAGAAAACATTGACAACAGTATGCATTATAAAAAGGTCCATCTTTTAGCAGCAGGGGAGAGTTATAATAAAGAAAACAAAGATAAAGACTCTAATGGAGTAGATAAAAATAATATTTCAGCCAAAATAGATGTGAATATTTCTGTCATCGATCAGTTGGCAAAACACAACAAAACTAACAATTCCAACAATGCAACAAAATTACCAGATGATACATCCCATAATGCATCTGATGACAAGAATAGAACAATTGAGACAAATGGTAGTCAACCGGGTCCATCTAATGGTAACTACCCTCACCATCTCCACTCCCCCATAGTCACACATAGCCCCCACCACAGAGACACTGAGCGTCCACATAGCAGTGAGCGATCTCAGCCTAACACTAAGATCTCAACAGATACAAGGACAGATTCTAAACACACTGACATTCGAATGACTGAGCTACGTCGATCGGCTGACTCAGATCGGCCACCGACTAGCCCTTTAGTGATTGACAGATCAAAACCTATTGAGGTTTACAGGGACCCAAAACTTATAGAAAAAGACATTGAGTTACAACACAGGAAATTCACTGGGAGTATACCCCCTCAAGGTTCCCATGTTGCTGTGACATATGGTAGGCATGGGGGTACTCACACTCCAGTCCCCACCACAGCAGCAGGAGGCTACATGCCCTCAATGGCAACCTCTCACTCCCAGGCATTAGCTCTAGCCCAGGCTGCCCATCAACGTAACTTAGCGTTGCACTACCCACAGGCATACATGTTACCCCAACATTTAGCCGTTGTGGCTGGTGCTGACCCACGTAGTCTCGGCTCTATTGCTCAACAGTCCAACGCCAACTCCATCTATCAGAGCCAGTTGCTACACAACCCTCACTTATTATCTCTAGTGCCTGGTGCCACAGCTAGTATCACAAGTGCGCAGCTGGAGTTACTATGGCAACAGAAGTTCCCCACCACCCCTGTTCCACCTACTTGGATGCTAGCTCAGTACCAGGAAGATCTACTTAGGGATGCTAATATTCGACGGGAACAGGAGCTATTAGCAGAGAGGCAAAGACAAGAAAGAGAGCGATCGGATAGAGTAGAGAGGTATGTCATGTCACAATAGTTTCTCAGATGCCAAACTTTCACGATATCATTGACTATAACAGGTTGCACACAGGGTCTGTAGACTGAGAACACTTTTGATTTATTGTTTGCTTCAAATTCAGCTATCATCTGTTACTTGAGAGATTTTGAACGTACATTTCTTCCAATATAATGCTATTTGTTTTTGCTAATTTTAAACCGTTACCATGGTGTATTTCCTGTTTGTCTTCAACCTTATTGTTAAAGAGGTATTTGTGTAGTATCATTTGAGGATATTGTTTTTCTCATTCATCACATTTTCAATGCCTACAGGTGTTCATGCAATTAATAAACTGCTGCTGCTTATAGTGATACCCATCATTATCAGATGTCTTCATGTTTTAAGGCAAGCGCTGCAAAATAATTTAAGTACTGTAATTGGATCTGGTTAGTTGTCTCCATGACAACCCAATACTTCGAGTATTAATTAAAAGACAAGATATGACATTAAGAAAAAGAAAAATAAGCTCAATTTTAATAACTTCTATGTGGTAGACTTTGAATTCATCATGTTCACAAATATCCTTGAAGCTGTTTTTATGGTTGATTTCATTGTTGTTAAACAGTGCTATAAAGTTCCCTTTCTCATAACTAAGGTAACATTTGCTCATAAAAGCTCACATGGATGTAAAAAACACTGTGGTATTTGCCATAAACAGGAGGATAAATCTCTTCTATCACTGTTATAAAAGATCCAATAAACTGATGGAGCTTTCCCATAAAAGTATATCCAGCATTGAAAATTATTCGCCCTCATTATTCAATGTCGGAACTTGTGTCAGTTTAGCTTTAATTGTACTTTTATCCTTCATTGGTAATGGACATTATTTTGATTAATGCATATACGTGGCTCCCTCTTTTTATGGAAACTTGTACTAAAGTATTGATTTGTTAGTCTATTTAGCTGTAACGTTACTTGATTTATTAAAAGACATGTCACATTGGTTCTTTTGTGCTGATTTTTCTATTGATGCAATGACAGCACTTTTTCATTTTAATAGGAAATTATTTTCCTTTGGTATATTTTTAACTATCCTCACAATAGAACAACAACATTTGAATTTCGAAAAATAAAGGCATCATAAATAATATTGCGATTGAAACAAAATATGTAGGCGGGTATTTCTAATTTAGATCACAATAGTAGACCATTTATCGATTGATATAGAAATATATAGCATTAGGTCCCTAGATACGGATTCAGTATAGATTCATCATTAATTATGAGCCTACTAGATACTGTCATATTGATAATACGTATGTACATACAACAATTATTTAACTGGATCAATTAAACTGATATTCAGATGTAATGATATGACATGGTAAGTTCGGTGTTGAATAATGTTGCACTTTTATGCTGTCACTGTGTATAGATGTGCGATGCGTTACATATATTACAAATGGTTTTCTAATTTATGAAATATATAAGAGACATGAACAATGAAATCATATCCTTGTTGAGATACTTACCCTAAAATCATATCCTAGATTTCTTGTCAAGACATTTATCATGAAATCATATCCTCGTCAAGACATTTACCCTGAAATCATATCGTTGTCCTTTGTCAAGATACTTATCCTGAAATTATATTCTAATCAAGACATTTACCATAGAATCATATCTCCTTCAAGACATTTATCATGAAATCATATACAGCTGTATGTCAAGATATCCTGAAATCATATCATAGTAAAGACATTTACCCAGAAATAATATCCCAGTCCAGATATTTATCCTGGAATCATGACCTCTTCAAGCCATATGGAATGCTCTTTTAACATAAACTATAGATGATGAATATTGTATAAAAGGCATATGATCATTGTTAGAAAACATTGTTAGAAAACAGATGGAAGCTTCATTGAGCATTTTCACTTCATTGAGCATTTTTGCTGCATTGAGTACTTTCACTTCATTGACCATTTTTGCTTCATTGACCATTTTTGCTTCGTTGAACATCTTTGCATCATTGAGCAGTTTTGTTTCATAGAGCATTTTTGCTTGCATGTAATGTAAAGAGAATGAGTCCAGCAGCACTTGGAATGTCTCATTTAGAGAGACATTGATTGGACCAAGTTGACATGTGTAACTGGTTACGATTGATTTCTTTTATGCAAGCTGAATACAAGAGGAAATGGAATTATATGTCTTAATCAACCACTTTGATGTATTTCCTTTGTTGTCTTTTATTTGAATTGAGTAAGTCCTGTTGCGTTAATATGGGAATGTGCCTTCTGTTAAAGATAGATTTTGTATTTATAGTGTCTTGACTTCCTTTTGGTATTTCATATTTACTAAAGGAAATAACTCCTCATCATTTCAATATAAATTTGAATTAATTCATTAAATCAATGCAATCAATCATGTTTACATTTTGAGGTCATTTTTATGTAATATAGATCCCTTACTGACTTTTAGGATGTTTTGACTTGACATATTAATCTGCTCAAGAATATATTTATTCAACTAAATTAATACAAATTAATTACAAATTATTCTTTGAACTTTTGGACATTTCTGATATTATTCCTCTTTTCTAATAATTTGTGATTTTTTGCATGTTATTCAGCACACAGACAAATGTCATTATCGTGATGATGATTATTACTACATGTATTAATAATGGCTATTATTAGTCACATGATTTTCGCAACATTATTGCTGCTTCAACTGAGTGGTAATTATTCGTTAATTCAGCTGCAAGTTAAATCTCACGTAAAGCCGTCCAAGGACATTAGTAATTGGCAATATTGGGATATTAGCATAATATATGGTGCCAGCATCCGAGAAGATTGATTTTCTCTTGCTATTACTGATGCTGTACTCTTAAACAGAATGTTAGTACGATCTCATCTAGAAATCCAACACTTGTATATATATAGAATAAAACAATAGTTATGAAACTGTGGACTCCCACGTGACATATATGCTAAATAAAATGGGTGAATTTGCTAGAATTAAATTGATTCCACATGCTTTGTTTCCTAGGGATTATGGTAACCTATCTAAGGGAATTACTATTGATTTTTGCAATGCAGCTGGATGTCGACTAGATTCATATTATATTAGAACATTCAGACCATTCCATACATACATGCTCGAAATATTAAGAATTCATTAGGAGTCTGCATACGGGTGTGTCAGTGAAACAATATTGTTAAGAACAGGCTCATAATTAGTTGGATGAGTAACCTAATGAAGCAAACAATGCTCATACTCACATAGTTGAAGATATAGCACACTGCATACATTAACACATTAAGGAAATACAGGATTGAAAGCTGTTAGCTGAAGTTTCACTTCCTTGTTTAGTGGATTGAGTTAACTTTGACTTTTATGTGGAATGTTAGGTTGAGGTTGATGAGACCTATCACATGCTGAAATTCTTCATAAACTGAGAGAAAATCTGAACAACTGCTTGACTTGATTTTCATTTCGAGTTTGTACATACTGCACCAGAAAGGCAGGGTTATTATTCAAAATGATGTTATATTACAGAGAGAGAAAGGAGCGTGAAGAGAAGGAACGACGTGAACGTGATGAGCGTGAACGCATCGAGCGAGAACGTCGTGAGAGGGAGATACGAGAGCGTGAAATGCGCGATCGAGAGAGGAAAGAGTATGAACTACGAGAAGACAGAAGACAGCATATAGAAAGGGAGCGCATTTTGCAAGAAAGTGCAGTTGCCAGTGGCCGTATCCTCAAGGAGTCTGCCCCTCCTGTAGCAGCTGTGGACGAACACTTCAGTAAATCCCTCCTAAAGCCTGGTGGAGCTCACAAGGTAAGTTATTTACTGAATATCTTTCTAGATTTATTCGAATAGTTCATTGATATAGTCTTGTGACCCGTGATGAATATGTGTAAGCTGGTCTTTTTATGACTCATATTTACGCCAAGTATAATACACCTAGAAAAATAGCATCAATAGAAATTTTACTGAGGTAAACACACCCAATTTAGTATAGAACTAGAAGGAACTTATTTATACCAACTTTTGTTCATTAGGATGCTTTATTATCATAAAAGGTATGTTTTACATTGTTTATGTCACTGTTACGGGATGTATCCTCCTTTATTATAACCGTAGGCATGAAATAAGAAGTATAATATAAAATCACTAAAGATGTTTCATCATATTGCTTTAGCCATCTGCTCTGAGATCTTTTACATATAAGTAGTTGCCTGAGGATGACTCATCCTCGCGATGTCTACATAGTATTGCAAATAGAAGTAATCACTTATTAAAGCACAGAAGAGTAATTTATCATCGACTGATATCAATTCACAGCGTAGATTGTTATTGAATTCTATGTCCAAGGATATTGAGCTTTTGTCCAAGCGTTCTGGATTGAATAATATATCCAGGTCAGTGTGATTGATCTGTTGTCAGATGATGTCATCTGATTGGATTTCATGATAGATATCATAATATTCCCAAGATTCTCTCTGTAATAACAATACTAGGCAATTGTTTGGTGTGAACAACTTCCAGTCCTAACACTTTTCGGCTGGGACCAGAAAGGTTTTACTACACACAATGGTGTTTCAGCTGTGATATTGTTTCAGGAAACTGCAGACAAACATGCTATTTACAACATGACTGATTCTTAAGAAGTGTAAAGGATATCTACATCAACATAATCCCTAGAGGAATAACTAACTTTATTGATTCCTTTGTTCAAGTTGCTATTACTGGAATCCCACCCTTGAGTTTGATATCGCCCGTTTTGTGTTTCTAACTGAAAAATTATGAATAGATTGAATTAATCAAGAAGGAATAGAGTAAACTGGCGTGATGCACAGTTGCGAAGAAATACTAGGGAATCAAACAATTTATTCTTTAAGGGAAATTAAGGGGAATCAGTTTTGCAATATGGCAAGATTATAAATGTTGCACAGTGGTAATATCCAATCAGGTTTTAATTGAACTTCTGCATTATGGTTGCTTCATTAATCTAAAATGCAGATGATATTGGCTCATGGGTTATTACTAGTGACTAATCAACATTTTCTCTTGATATATAGTGGATTATAGTCATCAAGGGAGAGAGAAATGTTTTCTATTGTTAGGACTTGACATTGTGTTTCTTCTAATGTTCAAAGAGCAGAAAAGCAATGAGTTTGATGAATAAGAAGGTCTAAGGAAGAAATCGGATGAAAATAGTTTTGTTCTTCTCAAAACCCAAACTTTCTGATTTGGTTTGTGCAATCAATCCATGCTTCTTTATCAAACAAAATTTCTCCAATTTATCATATTTCTCTTCTTTCAATATGCATTGTGTTATGAATTAAATGTGGCCTTGTATTTCAGGTGACGGCTAGTACATGGCACCCTTCTGTGTCTCTGCCCACCCCTAAGACCACCTCCAGCAACTCTAGCGATACAAGTACAGCCTACTCCACAATGTCTGCCATGTACCACTCACAAGATGGACAGTCCAGAGTCAAGGATGAACGAAAATCAGAGCTGACTTTGAAAGATTTGAAACAGGTATGCATGTCAGTGATCTCCCAAGCATTAAAGCAAATGGGTGCAGTACCCACCTGAGATTTTAAAAACAAGCTTCCACTTACCTCAAAATCCGTTAGCACTCACTTGAAAATGAGAAAAATCATGAAAAATTGACATTTTTTGAACAATTTTGGTCTGAATTGTGAAAATACGAATTTTTCACCCACTTAAGAAAAAATCCTGTTGAGAACCCTGCACTGTTTGTTTCTTATTCCCTTCCCACATACAAACTCATGACACAAGAAAAATAATGAATGAGACAGTGACATGCTTCAGACAAAATTAGAAAAGATGGATATATCTCCAGAGACATTGAATTCAGTTCATCATGACTCATCATTTTTAATATCCATTGTAGTATTTTAAACACTTTTTATATCCCCATCTTGCGGGCATTGTGTTTATAATGAGCTATACAAATGGTTTTATTAAGCTATCTGTTTATATGTTTGTATTGAGCAATATAAGTGATTTATATACAGTAGTCATATTTATTATTGTTATGGAGCTAATCGCATCATGTTGAACTCCAGTTTGCATATTGTATTTGGTTATGTTTAGTAAGCTGTTAATGTATAATTTAGGCCAATTATTTAGCAGTTCAGTTTAATTATTGTTTCATTATTTCAAGCTATATGTATAAATGTTTCAGGAGAGTGGTGGAATTAGAGAATACTCTGACAGAGCCCAAGATCTCCTACACAAGCAGAGTGAAGACAGGAGACGGCTGGAATATGAACACACTCAGAAGTTGAAACAAGTACAACTTGCACACGAGAAGGCTCTGCAAGATCAACTTAGTAATGTCAGTGATCCTCAGAAGCGGGAATCAATTCTGAAGGCGTATATGATGGACACTAGCAAGGGAGCATTTGCAGCTGGATACCATAACTACCCTGGGCCAAGCCTCGGTGGACAACCTTCAAGACCCGGGTCAGCTTTCCAGAGCCCTGGGGGAGGAGGAAGCACCCAAGGGGTAAAGAACGAACCTGGTTACTTCAGTTTGTATGGCTACCAACCAGGTGCAAGCTACCCTGGATACATCAAACAGGAATTACGACCACACATGTACGACCGTGATCACGACGAGAAATCGAGAGAATCTAAAGCCAGCCCCACTTTAAGTTCTAGCTCGACTGGATCAGCAGATAAAAAACATGGACTAACTTCTCCACCTCCACTAATAAAGGATGGGCGACATCACCAGAGTTCAGTGATTGTTGAAAATAAATCAAAGGATGTTAAAGGTCCCATAGACTATAGTAGAATACAGCAACAGATGGGCTCCTTATCTCCGAAGTCACAGGCGAAGTTATTCCAACAGCATCATGATAGGTCAGTGATATCTCAATTGATGGAGAAGCCCCCAGTGTCTATACCAAGTGTGAGTAGGACAAGTGGAGGCCCCACTGCCCACACAGCTACCTCCAGTCATGCCTTCAGGCCAATGGACACTAAATCTAGCCACTCATCCAGTGGACATACTCCTCTGAGAGTAAGCAGTCCCCAGCAGTTAGCTGTAATGAGACAGACAATAGAAGCACACAGGAACAAAGTAGTAAAGCAGGAGAACAAATCACAGTACATAGCACAGCCCCCAGTCTCTGTACCATCAAGCTCCTCCTTCTTATCAACTATAGCTCCGCCCCCTGTCTCTATACCAGCCTCAAGCTCCTCCTACTCATATAACCTCATACAGCAAGGATTGGCCCCTAATCCTATGTACAGCCAAAGTACCCCTATACAGACCACCAAGGTCACTGCTACTCCTAAAGAACATAAGAGCCCTCCAGACCCTAGATACTCTCAGCCAAGCAACATGTCAAATACTAACAATATTACAAATATGGACCCTAAACAGAGAGCAAGGCATGGCCTTCCAGAGCAGGTCATTCCTAAGAAAAAAATAAAAACAGAAGCAGGTGTGGCATCTGTCAGACCTATGGGGCAAAACATTCCAAGCTCCACAACAGGTGGTAGCACAACTGCAACTGCGACTGCGACGACGGGTAAATCATCAAACAGTCCGAGTGGTTTTATGGACAGTTTTAGGTCATTTGTTGAAAATACAGTACAGACCGCATTCTTTCAAGACCAGGATGCATTGAAACGGGCAGGGAAATCAAAAATTTTGGGTATCCCCCAACAAAATGTAGGGAATCCACAACAGAATAAAGGAAGCCCTCAACAGGCTCCAAATATTGCTGTGACCCAGCCAACTACATCTGTGTCCATGGCAACCAGTCGTGTTACCCCAACAACTACATCTCCAGCAACCACAACAACAGCATCCTCAGTGTCATCTATGAATACAAATCGACCACCCCAGTCAAACACACCTGGCTATATGTCAGCTAGTTCATCATCTTCTATCATGGATACTATAAATCGAGTCGCTAACGGTATGATTGACACTGATAGTGATACATTGAGCGCACCTAGTCCGCCGCCTCATATTAAAAATAATACTGATTTTTCACCTAATAAATCGGGTAGCTATAAGAACTTTAAAAAAGCCTGGCTGCAACGGCATTCAGATGAAGATAAAATAACACCAACTGGTGAACTAGATCACACAACTCCCCCTGGTGATCAGTCGGGGGAAGGCGAGGCTTCCCGCGACGATAAGGACTGCGGGAAGCCGAAAACAACCAAACAATGCTTTGTCAACTGCTCTTACATCTCCCCTACCAAAGATGGTGGAAGTAAATCACCAATCAGCACCCTCGTTAAGCCTCCTAGTTATCAGCCATTGCAAACAGAGGATTCAACGTCATCTGCGTCGGAATCGGAATCTCAAGGAATGGATGGGAATCTGAAGCGAAGGATGAAGCACAAACAACGGAAAACTAAAGACAAAGATGTGAAGAAACCTAAATCGACTGATTCAAAGGAAACCTTGACAACGAAAAAACGTCCTCAGCAAAATCGGAAACAGAAATTAGACTGTAGAGACTGTAATAAGCCTAAGCCATGTGACTGCCCTAATGAGGTCAAGAAAGAGTTCACTGATTCTGTTGAAGAAAAAGTGAAAAATCGTAAAAGCGATGAAGAGAAGGGAAGATTGATAGTGAATGATGTCAAGTCAAAGGAAAAGTCCAATCAAGCTGCCAATAGTGATGCGGAGTCCACTACATCTACATCGTCAAAGAAACGAGGGACTCGCAAAAGTAAGAAGGACTTGATTAAAGAAGTTCAGGATAGAGAAAGAGAGAAGATAGATCCTGCTAATTACTACAGCAGTCAAAATAGCAGTAAGTTACCATTTTTGAATATTAACATCCTTGTAACTTAATACTGATAATTTTGCATAAATGGACATTTACTCCATGTTAATGAGAAAAGATTTCCCTGCATTACTTTTTAGACGATTTCTAAAACTTCATCTAGTGCTTTATTTCCATTACTTTTCATATCCTTCAACTTAATAGTTGAATAATAAGCTCTTTAAATGATAAAATCTGATTCTTATGTGCTCAAATTTTCAGTTGCGTCCTACAATAAACCACTTGTTCGTGAATCAATTGCCAAACTAAAGAAAACTCAGGAACCATTCCTTCAGGATGGCCCATGCACAGAAGTTACACCTCGGCTAATGAAGTGTCGAGAATGTAAACTCACTCCCCAGGCGAAGAGTAAGAAGGTTGCCAATACAAGCATATTCTGCCGATTTTATGCATTTAGGAGGTAAATTCAAGTTGTCATACTAAGGGATTAGCCTGATTCTCACGTTTTATGCATTTATTTAGACATTTTTTTTCTCTATGATAGCTTCTTCCATTTTTTCTGGATAATATGAACCTAAAGTCCTAAATACTGACACACAACACAGAGAACAATTATGGTTGATTTATTAAAGTAGGTTTCAAGATAAATACTTCTTTGATAAAAAGCAATAATTCTGAATAACAAATTTAAAACTAAATCCTGTGTTTTTATTATCTTCATGAAAAAGCCTCCAAAGAATTTAAAATTGATGACGCTGGTATTAATAACTTCTGGCCTTTGTTAATGTAGGTTTTTGAAGATATTTTTCTGTGAAAGGACTTGCTGCATTTTAGAAGTGATTTAGTATGACCTTTACTTGGCTCTAAACCAAGAGTTAATTTATCATTCCAAGCTCTCAAGCTATAGGAGCATCGTAACCTTTGTTATGGTGATATATGATGAAAGTTAGTCTCCATTAAACCCTTTAGTACAAGTAAAATGAAATATTTTATGTGGAGGAAATTTTTTGTACTTGATAAGGGAATTCAATTTCCCTTTTTATCACCCATAGATGCATTCCCAAAGGTTATTTTTAATTTACATATTCATGTTTTATTTGACAAAAGCTATTCCTAGTTTAAAACAAATCAATGTAGAAGTATCATTAGTAAAATGAGACTGGTTGTTATTAATTGTGTTTTATTCCCAATAGGTTGCGCTACAGTAACAAAGGCTATTTGACGATTGCGGGATTCTCCGAACCGACCGATGCAGAAATCGATGATATTGATCTTTGGATGCCTCGAATTAACATGACCTCTACAACACTGGATGTAGAGACATCGTTGTACATCATCATGAATGTTGGAGATCGTTTCTGCAAGCTGGTTGAGCAAGAGAAAGAGGCACTGTCAACGGAAACAGAATGTACGTTAAACAGCTGAGCTTTCTTAGTTTAATCAAGTTTTATGTGTAGTTTTATGTTACAGCCGATGAACAATAAACAGTATATTCATTATTCAATCTGGCAATTTAATTATTGGATTGTTTAAAGCTCATTCATAAATGTAGTCGCATAAATAGACATATCAAGCATATGTGACAAGGTTTACTGAATTTCAACTAATTGGTTCAGTATCAGTTATCCCACTTATTAGACACCCCTTGGGAGACTGAATATGCATTGAATTGTAAAGAAATAATATTTAAATAGAAAAAGTTGTTCCATCATTCAGTCATGAGCCAATTCTTGTTTTAGGTAAAATAGCATGGAAACGTGCAGTACAGGGTGTCCGGGAAATGTGTGATGTTTGTGACACGACATTATTTAACATGCACTGGGTGTGCCATAAGTGTGGATTTGTAGCCTGTTTAGACTGCTACCGCAACAAAGCTCGAAGCATAGCTGAGATAGAGCAAGACTCTGATGAGGAAGGTATGAAAGTTTTCTTTATTATGTGTTGTATTATTTGAAGTATATTCCATATTCATGGTGATTAGTAAGTAATGATGCAAGGGATACCAGTTCATTGATGTCGCTTTAAATTGACAAAGGTATCAAATTCAATACTTTTTAGTTATTAAAAACTCACATACTTGTTTTGAAAAAATTATAGAATTTGAAAATTAAAAAAAAATAGACAATAGCAACCACATCCATTGAAAATGATTTTCTTTATTTTATGGAAATCTGAATATTGACCTGACCCAAAACTGATATATTGAAGAGCTGTCATAGCTTATTAATCATATGAATGAGTTATAGTATTATCATGTGTATAGTGTTCGTAATCAGTTTATTTTTCATTGTCATACCATTGGTTAACTATTAAGATCTCTGCTATTTTTCAATAAATTTTGAATCGAAAGTATTACTAATATCTGAAATCATATCAACAATTGCATATTTAAGATAAATGGATATTTGATCATTTAATTTTTTTTGTAAAATCAGTTCATTTTATATTCAATTGTTTAACATGATCCATTTGCATTATTGAATAATCAAAATCGAAAACAGGTAGGGTTTGTCTGGGTTGTAAGATATACCAACCTAAACCAGGAGGCAGGAGCAGCTTTCTTCCATTCCGGTACATGAGATCAAAGCTATGAGGGGCTAGCACATACTAACCTTGTTCTCCCTACAGCTATACAGATCTCCCAGGCTACGGGAGAATCCCCTCCCCTCATAATTTTGAAACATGTATGGTGAATGTTCCAGGCGACTCTGATGGCGAACAAGAAGGCCGTCATTGGATAAACTGCTCTGCAAACCGACAGTCACATAAACCAGACAAACTTATGCTCACACAGATTATACCTTCAAATGGTAAGATATACAAGGCTGATGAATAAAGCGAAGGAAAGTTGCGATTCTCTCCTTTAATTGGTCCATTACTACAGAAATTATCCACATGTTATCATTTATTCATGTTTAGACTCATGGACCAATTAAGTGCGATTTAATCTCAGTTTTTCATTGCTCATCAATATGTCTAATAATTGCAGACAAATAAGGCCAGCTTGTTAGGACATCTATTTATTAACACTGGAGTATAAACATATATGCTAGAATGAAATCCTTCTATTTGATACCAATACCATTAGCTATAACATCAATCAATGCTCACATTTCACATATGTTCCACAAATGCTAATGAATGCTTAGTTCGACATTTTCAGAGGAAATTCTTGGATATTCATTGATAGCTGGCTTTTTTGGCTGCATAAGCAATACAAAATTGGTTACTAAATTATGAATACAGTTATGACAGACCGTTCGTAACTCATAATTTGGTTTTCTCAATATTTGTGTATTGTATGTGAATGTTTAACCTTTGTAGTATGGATTGAGGTTATCTTACATGCTTTGTACATATATTAGGTGCGGTAGTAAATCGTCATCAAAAATTCGACCATAAATGGTTCAGATGTACCGAAACTGAGGAGCCGCACAAATTGTCGAAATTACGCCTGACCCAGATAACTCCCGGGCATAGTAAGTTGGGCGGCATGATGGTACAGTGGATTGATTGATTAGTCTAGCCTGGGAAGTTAATGACCTTGGGATTTCCCCTAGCAAATTATTATGAGTGCCATACAATATGTAGTTATGACATGTGGCACTCATATAATTTGCGAATTGCTCAAATCATAAAATGATACGCTGCTATGGCAACCAAAACATCAGGAAGGGAAAAGTCAAATCCCAAGCATGACAATGAAAGGGTATTCCCATACTGCAGTGCAATAAAATAGCAGGCCAAAGTATGATTGTCTATTTACAAACATACTGATGTTCTCATTGGTTTCAGTTCACTATATATACTTTATCCCATTGAGTACCATATGAAAGCAGTAGAATATCCTTTCAAAGTTCCCCGTAAATGTGGGGACAGCAGCAATCCTTGATATCCATTGAATAAGGCTGAATCCATTTTCAAAAAAGTGAATATGTTGTTAATGCAACTGCTGTACTTAACACGAGGTACTCTGTCCCCACATTATAGGGGAGTATTTCAAAGGTTGATCCCTTGGTGCAATCAGCTATGGGAGAAAGGTAAACAATCCAGTGTACATCATGATCAACTAGCTACCAGTTCTATTGTCTCACGCAGAAATCTCAGATTTTATACATCATCGTCATAAACACAAACATTGATTAGACTGACTTTCGCACTCATGTCTTGTAATATACAGTATATATATATTTTCTTAGCTCATGACTAAATATGGTCAATTCTCATATTTTCAAGTTTGTGTGATGATTTTGTAAATTCTGATTTGTCTGTGTGAGGGATTTGCACCACGTGTTGCCCTAAACACCATGGAGGTTTTAACATGGATGTGTTTATCAGCCAGCCATATTGTTTGAGAATGTTCCAATGGTGTTTGGCGCAACTTCATATGTAAGCTTTGTATGTTAAGTATGTGTGTAATGAATGTTAGAATTTGGAGTTACCATAACATGTTAAACCTTGCAAAATTTATCTTTGTTACAAATACTAGAAACATTTGCAAGGGATATTTTAATGAATATTTAATCACTAATCACTCAAACTAATCAGTTCAACTTTTGATATCTGCTAATGATGCTGGCATGTGCATGTTTGCTTGAAAATTCTTTTCATTTTATCCTTTTTGTCTATAAGAGGCCTTCTATTTCTCATATTCTAAGTTATATTTCAATACTTAGTCTCCTGACTGCACTGTCATGAACCAATTTGATGTCATGGACATGTACAGTAGTCTTGCATCCGACCCCTATATTTATTTCATTTTTAATACAGTACTAGAGAGAAAGCATGGGGGTACAAGAGCAAGATGCAAGACTTACATGTATGTATGGTGAAATGGAAAGCCTCTTTGTTTCATGCATGAACTATTATGTGCTATACATAGAACGATAAGTAAATTGGATAAAAGCACTAAGTTCATTTCACGTTGTCTTTACATAAGCTGCAAAACAGTTCAGAATCTTGTTCATATTTAGTTAATGTACATTATTTAATTAGAAATAACCATAACGGCAAGAACTATATTGCAGTTTAGTTCATAAGTATTATTATTTATAATGGTAGTGTAGTGGCATAGAGTTACTCAGTATTGTCATAGTAACATATTCAAACCAATTTTCATTTATCTTCTCATTGTGGCAGAAATCTCATTTCAATTTCCTGTGATTGCTTACATCATATTAGCTTACTGGAATGGTTTTCAAATTCTTTCTGGGTTAATATTCTGAATTACTAATTGTTTGGGGTTGATTGTTAGTATGTCTGTTCATCATGCATGTGCAAAACCTTCTTGTTAATAATTTATTTACACTTATGTTTTCAAAATTTCAGAAGCAGGGAAATATTACCCATGATTCTTCATTCAAAATGGCGACCAGGAGGATGTTTCCCATGGGCTTCGAGTGTTTCTGGAAATTCATGTTGTCATTTTTTCTTCAGCATTATGGGAGGTTGGAGAGATGATACATAATGTGCGTGATAAATGGAACATCAAGGCCAACTGTCCATGTGGGAAGAACAAGGATGATTCGTTACCACTAAAGAATGGAGTCAGCCAGGTATGTAACATACATATGCCTAGAGTTTTTTCGAGTGCAATTATTTAATTGAAACTATATTCTTTGTTCGCTTCATGTTCAATAGTGATAACTCTCAATTTAGATTTTGATTTTCAACATTATTTACAAGTATCCAGTTAATGTGGCTAAGAATTTTCATTGTTTTCTGTGACACATAAAACTTCTCCCATAATGCATCATCATTGGCAGACGTTCAAATTTCTGAATGTGTTCTTTCAGCAATTACTAAATGCAGTAAACCACTGTAGCCAGAAGGAGGGAAAGCTAGTAAATGGAAACTCTGATGATCACAAGAAACTAAGTTCATCATTCTCTGAGACCTTTTCTAATGATGTCAAATCATCCCCTAATGGACCCCTTAACAACAGCTTTGCTGGCTATTCATCCAAGTCGAACCTCGGTGAATACAACCCTAATGCCCCATCACCATTGAGTTTATTGGCTGATGTTGCATCTATGGACTCTATTGAAAAAGGTCGGGCTGAGAAATTAGGCTGGGGTGAAGCGAAGAAAGTACTTTATAAAAAGAAGGAGGAATATCAAACTCAAAATGCTAACCTTGCTCAAGTGAATGCTATGCTTGATGCCGAGGGGTTAACAGAAGAAGAACGGAATACTTCAACTTTGAGAGATCTTCTCACAAAGCAAGCGTTCAAAGTTAAGACAAATGGTGATAACACAACTCACTCTGGTAACCACCCTAAAACTAAGTCATTCAGTAATACCTTCAATGACATCATCAAGACTGTTGTTGAGCAAAACCTGCCAAAGGACAATGCCCTGGTATACCAGCCCCCTAAACTTTTACATTACATCCCCAAGAATGGCCACCATGCTCTAGCCGGTCGAAGCCACCCCATACAAGCCTACACTCTTACGGAAACTACCGTCCTATACCCTGATGTGCCCCACTCCTGGCTATGTGAGGGCAGGCTACTACGTCTACATGACCCAAAACACCCAGGAAACTTCAAACTTTTCCAGCAACAATGGCGTAAAGGGCAGCCAGTATTGTGCTCCGCAGTGCACCAACAGATGAACAGAGAACTTTGGAACCCGACTGCTTTCTCGGAACAATTTGGACATATTGAGAATGATGTCGTCAACTGTAAAACCGGTGTTGTCATCATGGGTCATGACATGAAAGAATTCTGGGATGGCTTCGAGTCGATGCAACGTAAGTATATATTACAAAATAATAGTTATCTTATTAAGTTTTTTGTGAGATAAATTTTGTGAATTCATCTTTTAACATGTATCTACTTTGGTTGCAATGTGTATTTCGATTCATATAATATAACTTATTGTTCATTTGTGAGAGGAATGATTAGTGAATATTGTATTTCAATGGTTATATATAAAGCTCATAGACCCGGAATAGCTGGGCATGCAATCCCAGCTTTTTAATATTGTCTGTGTGATACCTTTAATAAACTACACTACTATAACATATAAATATTCATTGCTATGGTTACAGAACGTTTGACTGATGATGATGAAGATCCAATGTTGCTGAAACTGAAAGACTGGCCACCTACTGAAGATTTTGCAGAGATGCTCCCTCAAAGATTCAAGGATCTCATGCAGGCTCTTCCATTACCCGAGTACACCCATAGAACTGGACGATTAAATCTTGCCTCTTGTCTCCCAGATTTCTTTGTCAGGCCAGATCTTGGACCAAAGATGTATAATGCTTATGGTGAGTTTTTGGGGTTTGATTAGGACATATCTTTTCACAATGATTTTAAAGCAGTTGCACCAAGGTGTTGTAAATTCACCAAGCAAATGCCCTTTATGTAATCCATCCAATGAAAAGGCCCCCGAAATGTATGAATGAATATAAGATACTTGGTTGTTTTGTTAGCAAAGGAGTTGTTGATTGAATTGACTAACAAGGCAGAAAAAACTGCAGAAGTGTATTTTCATTGTATTTTTCACCATTTTACATGCATGATATGTAAAGGACTTTTTGGTAACTTCAGGTATGGCCCAGAATGCAGCTGATGGAACAACCAACCTCCATCTTGATGTCTCCGATGCCGTCAATGTTATGGTCTATGTTGGAATTCCCCAAGATGACATCGTGGACCATGTAGAAATTGTCAATAAAGTCATCGAGGAGGCTGGTGTTGACAGTTTCACAAGACGGAGGATCCGTGAAGCCAAAGAAAAACCTGGTGCCCTATGGCAGATCTATGATGCCCAGGATGCTGATCAGATCAGAGATCTTCTCAATAAAGTTGCCAAAGAACGTGGAGAGGAGATCGAGCCAGATCACGATCCCATACATGACCAGAGCTGGTACCTTGATAAGTTCCTACGTGATAGACTGTACAGAGAGTATGGGGTCCAGGGGTATACTATCGTACAATGTCTGGGAGATGCTGTGTTTATCCCAGCAGGTTCACCTCATCAGGTATGTAGCATTCTACTTGTCAACCACTCAAAATAAAGTCATCATTCTGGGGTATTAGAGAGTATTCTATTAAATAATGAATGTACATTCCATTCTTGTAGAATATTGTCACAAATCTCTCACTATAAGTTACTTTAGGTATTTAGAAAAAACGTATTTTTTAAAAAGATTTTTAATTTGCTATCTTTATCATTAAGTTGACATACTTTAACAGCATGATGTTTCTATCTTAGGTGCACAACCTGCATAGCTGTATCAAGGTTGCTGAGGACTTTGTCTCCCCAGAGAATCTGAACCACTGCTTCCAACTGACCCAGGAGTTCAGGTATCTCTCTGATACACACAGTAATCATGAGGATAAGCTACAGGTAAGGGGGACATACACATTTTTTGTGCCAAGACTCTTATCAAATCCCTGTTTCCCTTAACTCCATATGCCCAATGGTGGTAACAGTAGAAGGAATTGGTCGAAGTCGGTCAAAAGAATAATTTTTGATGTACATGGTATTCAGGGTTTGAAAATTGAATTGATTCTCAGTCCCTTATTAAGGAAAGAATTGTTAGGAAGTGGAATTGATTGTCTCAACAGCATGTCAATGATGCTATTGACCAGTTTAAGCCAAAATTGAGGGCTACAATTGATCAAAATGGTGAACATATTGAGTGTCTGTTTATGTAAATCAAGTTGACAAAAAACTTGATTTTTGCAAGTTTTGGAAAACCTGTTTAGAAACGAAAATTACATAATTTATATTATGGATGCTGGTTGACAGACATTATAATAAATTTGAATTTATGATCTACCAAATTAAAGATTAGTAAATTCCCTATCCACTTGTATATAATATGACATGTTTTCATCAAGAAAAGCTAATTTATTTTTGAAATACGAGTGTCCCATTTTTTTGACCACCCTGTAGATGTCTATGTTGTTAAACCAAGCAAAATGGAACAAGATTTTTTGTGAATATGTATAAATTTGGTTTGCTGCTGTTTATACTTGAGCACTTCAAGTTTGATCTGATGAGAGAACATTTTATTGAATTAATCAACAAGATATATATTGACCCTTATTTTTGAAATGTTCCAGGTGAAGAATATCATCTACCATGCTGTAAAAGACTCTGTGGCTGTCTTGATGAACACTGAGCCTCCTCTCGAATACTAAACCAGATATTCATATCAGTTGCTAGCTCTAGAATGAGCTAAATACTTCAACAGTATGAGCATGAGCAACACGTGCTATATGACTTAAACGACTTTTTATCTCTCGGATGAAAAACATGAATACTAAACAGCAGCTAGCTCAGTATTGTTAGTGATAGCTTTCTTTGTGGTGGTAAAGTAATAAGCTATCCTAGCTCTGTTTGATTCAAACTAGTCAAGATCTGTGATCAACTATTTATGGAACAAGATAATATGACTATTAAAGTGACATAGTCACATATTTGGACAATATGTGGAGAACAGCTATTCAGTTCAGAAATATACACATGGAGTATCACTGACTGCAACAATGCAATACAATGATCGGGAATCTTTACGAAGATTCTTAAAGACTGCGTCGAAATTGGTTTAGAATGTTCACATTTTGGATGTGATTATACAACATTAAATGGGCTGCTATGGATGTAGAAGTGTGAATTTGGACGGAATTTCAAACAATTGAAATATATGTTTGATTATTTCAAACAAAGATGTAATGAACAGAGCCGAAATACTTATATTACTTCAAAGTGAAGTCTAAATGTATCTGATCTCAAAACTTATAGACTAGTTGGGCTACTGTCTATATGTAAAATATTGTATTTATGCTCCTCTAATAGGAATATCCAGGCTTTTCATTAGGCTAGAACTTCATATTTCAGTGATTTCATATTCAGTTACACTTTCATGACCTGTTGCAACAAGATATCTATTTGCTACCCCTTGCTTTTATTCCTGAATGTTGTGGATGTTATCTTAGATCAATGTAGATTTTCTGGACCTATTATGGATTAGGGCTATACTTTTCCATTAGGAAGACTACATCTCCTCCGTGATGTCATTACCCAATCTAGTATAGAGCATATGATGTTCTTGTTGGACAGTGTAATGGTGTGAATTTGAGAATTTGTGTAGGTGGTTGAATTGATGCATTGGAATGCTTTATAGTGAATACTATTTAAATACATGTACTGTAGTAAGATGTGTGGTCTATTCATGTTTATTATGCAGTAAAACATATTTTAGTGCAGTGTTGAAATGATCAAAATGAGACCACTGGTCTGTCCTGGAATTCTTATTTCAGAATTGAACAGTTTTCTCATTTGTACAAAATAAGTAATAACAACAAATATTTACCATAATGCATCAGCATTAGCAGACGTTGAACAATGTGAAACAAGGGAAATAACAAAATGTATCTCTAAGTTTCATTTTAGAACATTGTAAAATGAGTAATCTGAATGAATCTGTCAAATGTTCTTTGTTTTACTAGCTTTGTAGAAATATACCTCACAGGTAATATCAGGAAATATGAAATATCTTTTCTAGTTATAATTTAATCAATCACCATAGTAACTTAAATATGGGTGTTTCTTTGGAAATTATGTTAACCCAGTCAAGTATATTGTTGTACCTAAGCGGTATCATGCATGGAATGTAAACTGAATATCATTTATGGAATGTAAACTGAGTAATATATTACTGTAGCTTTTGGTTTTCATTTCAATCATATATCAGTGAAATATTTTCTGTTTGCTTTAAATTGGATCAGTCTACTTTTACTTAGGGGGCTAAGGGTAAAGTGGACTGATTCATTGTGTTGCATTCAGTTCATCTCATATTTCCCATAATGCATCATTTCTAGCAGACAGTAGAGAAATATCGCATATATTCAAGTTGCAGAAAACATAAATAATTATCAAAGAAGGTTTTTAAGTGTGACTTTTATTTTGGGGAGGGGAAGATTTACATTTGATAATTATGGATGTTTTGTGTGAAATATTTTATCAAAACGTGCAAATGAATGTATTGTGTATGGGTTTGTAGATATTTGTTATGTAAACAGAGATTTAACATATTTTATGTGTAGTAAGTGTGGAAACCAAATATTCGGAAAGTATTTGGTCTTGTTAGTTTTTAAAAATTTTATTTGAAATTAGTCGGATGGAACTGTATATTCTGTCGAAACAGTTTTCATTTGGTATTAATTTTGTAAATGTGCATTAAAATGTAAAAGGGAGCTACGCTGGATACAAATACCTGTTACGTTTATATGTCAATGTTATGTAAATAATCTATAGCCCTATTTTTATATGACAGATTACTATTGGGTAATCAGTGGTTTTAAAATCAACATATAGGTGTCAGCCTAAGTTGGAGGATCTGTATTGATTTTCAATGTCACTGATGACAAAATTCTGAATAAAGACTATATGATATGTTCAAATATAAATCTGTATTTTCTGTTCCATAACATAACTATGATACATACCATATCCCAGTTGATGAAATGCCTAAATCTAAAGGGTATCTATTGAAAAGGATCTGTAATAGTAAAGACAACATAAGACAATCAAAAGCTCCTTGATAGACACGGGATCACCTCATTCTACCGAAACTCATTATACCGACGCGCATTATACCGAAACCCATTATACCGACGCGCATTGTGCCGAAAAGGCCTACCGATGCGCGTTGTACCGAAGTCTTTGCCAGTGCGACGGCACATTGCCTTAACCCATCAGTTTTATGACGTGCACTTCCGCGTGGGACTATATCTTTACAGCGGGAATTTTAAGTCTTGAAAATTAAAAAATATTTTAACTTTAAACTTTTTCATATTCAATTAAAAGTTTATCGCGCAAAAACATATTTTCAGATAAAGCTATCATAGATGCGAGTAGGAAGTTACCAATTTCACCACCAGGTGGCTCCTTCGGGTCAGATAACATGGCGGGTATAGTAGAAAGTTCCCTTTAACTTAAACTACATCTGTTTTAGTAGTTCAATTTTCATATAACCCTCATGTATCTAATAGTTATGAAAATTAAAATATGTCCAGTAAAGGAAAATGTTATCTGTCCAATACGAGAAAAGATATTTCACTTTTTGTGATTTTGTAACATGGGGTCTATGGGGAATCAACCCGAACTAGAGGTCACATTTCAAAACAAATTTAATATTTCTAGAAGTACTTTTACACGTAGATTTCAAATTTGACATCAGTTTGACTGAATTTTAAATATTTAATTGCGTAAATCAAGATTATTTCTACTCGCACCTAGTCTATTTGAAATCTTTGAACATCTTTACATCTCAGTTACGGCCAGAAATTATTTAACTGATGCTAGGCGTTTCGGATTGAGGGGTCGTCTCAACAAACTTAATTCCAGTAACCATCAATTTCTGTATTTCATAGAGGAAAAAGTCATAATTCTGTTATTTATATTTGATTATGGTAAACCCTGTACTTCATAAAATATATTTAACCGTGGTAAATTCTGTATTCAATGAAGTAAACATTTATTTATACTGTATTGTTTCATTGGTAGAAATAAATAATTGTGCTATTAGGTATAAAGTTTCACATTTCTTATTGAACTTGTTAATTACTGTATTTTCGATCTTGTGCTGATGCAAACTTGTTGTCATGGAGAGAGACCAAGATATGTTGTCATGGAGATAGTAAGAAACGCATTAATTTGTTTTACTTTAAATCTTTCCAAATCCAAGTGTGATTTTTATCAATGTGTGCCTCAATGATCCCATTAGGCTAATTCTGAAGTTATTTCATTTTCTAACCATTTCACAAACATTTCTTTTCATATAATACTTCTAAATTGGCATCATTTCCATGTTTAAATTGCTTATATAGTTTTTGGCTACTGATATTATCTCTTTCATCAGTTTTCATTCCACAAACGAAATATCAATTATTTTCCCCAATATTTCAGTTTCATTATTTTGAAACATTGAATACATGTTTTAATTGGCAGTTTAAAATGGTGCTCATCCAATATTCAGCGCCCCTTTAATATCTATTTAGGGGCAAATCAATACTAGACTTAGCAATACTAGACTTAGCAGGTCATCTGATTCTCAATTTGATTTTGATTTGAATTGATTCTCAAATGGGACCCATAGTGACTTTGCCAATTTCTTGACTATGTTGAAAGCCCATGGTCCAATCAACCGCACCTCCTTATCTTATGATGACCGCACAAAATGATAGAGCGTGGGAACCAAATGCTACCGGATATTGTAGCTATGTGTGTTGTGTTTTCAAATGTTATTTTATATATGTCCGACAAAATTATGGTTTTGATACTATCTAGATGTATTAATGTCTCGTTCATTCATTTGACCAATAAAAATCATAACTGCCGGGAAAGTAATATGAATAAAGTATGTAAATAAATGAATTAAAACGTCAAATTAAGAAGCAAAAGTCTTTTCTGGGTCACTGCGAATGGCATGATTTCCTCGAGTCTCTTCAGTTGCAAGGCAACCATACTGGGACCGATTCGCGTCGTTCCACTACTGCCCTTGGTGGGGGCCCGCTACCATACTATATGACTCCCGGAGTTTACTAAAGCACGTTAGTGGAGGAACCAACCACAGTCTCACAATCTGTCTCCGGCAAGAGCGGCCAGAGAACCAACCCATGCCAAGGGCCGGTAAACGGTTGGACCTTCGGACCGGGTGTCCGTAGTGACAATGATCAACAACTCCGTACCTGGGGCTCGAACGCGAGACCTCCGCATCCCACGACGTTCAACCGCAAAGTAGCCTCAGTCTACGCCCTTAGGCTACCCTGCTTAGGTGTCAAAACTGCTAAAAAATAATGTAGTTGTTACAATTATTTGCTTGGATAAACATGATATTACATTTCTTAATTGATTAATAATCTGATTTAGTTGGAATCGAAGTTCGACCAACGATCAAGGCAATGCAATCAACAACTCTTGCAAATGTGAACGGGAGTCGTAAAGACAGAAAGTACAAGAATCGTGATCAATGTAAAGTATAATATTTCAGACACATCTTTGAATATCGGGTGGGAGAAACATTCCAAAATGAAGAAGAATCATTTAGAACATTTGATTTGTTGCCAATATATCAATTGCGTCTCAGATGAATGAAATAAAAGGTATCGCGGGCCACTAAAGCCGATGAGTGAAAACAATTATTATTGACGCATCTAGATCGCTCAATATAACGGTAAGTGAATGGGTTTGTGTAGATACCTCTATTTCGACGCTTGAAATAATCTGATTACGCTTATTAATAATTACGCGTGGCTATTAAACACAAACACACGCGTGAAACAAACAAAAGAACAAAAACAAGAAAACTGAACGACCTATTAAGGAACTGTACTTCAGTTTCAAAGTGTTCAAGATATTTCCGCATGTTCAAAAACACAAAATTTATATTTTAGGCTATCCATATTTTGTCAGATATCTCCAATTCATATTACAGGCCAAACATAATCATGTTTCCGAAAATAATTTACACTCGCTACTCAAAATGAGGCACGGACACAAGTACAGAGAATAGCCTAGTGAAGGCATCTATCTAATAGTGGCTTTTCCATATAGCTTTGAAATCTCGTTAAGGTCTCATTTTAATGAGATTTTAGGAGATCTGCATTTTTAACCACTAAAGACTAACATTTTCTTCTATTTTTTATTCTGTGTGTAATTTTCTATCAAAACAACTTAGTTTTTGCACTGTTATTTACCTTTATTCAAATTCTAGAGATTTTCAAGTTTTCTAAAAATGGTCGGGCTAAATCCCCATTGACAAAATAACATACATTGGTAATATAACAGGCTTTCGTCAATGTAACAAAAGCGAGGGGCTTAGTATATGAATTACAGCTTCATTTGCAAAACAAATTCCAAATCGAAGAAACTTATTAAAACTAGGCTATATTTTCTAGCTTTGGGCAAAATTATAATCTGCAACTTGACTTATAACTAGGTTTAAATCGAGAAAGTAAAAACCTCGTAACCAGGAAGTTCATCCATTTTGTTACATTGACGTTCCGTCAAAGTAACTAGTTGTGGAACAGTGATTATGGCATTCGGTATAACGCCTTTCGGTACAATGCGCGTCGGTATAATGGGTTTCGGTATAATGCGCGTCGGTATAATGGGTTTCGGTATAATGCGCGGTCCCTGATAGACACTACCACTAACTATCACTTTTAAAGCAGCAACATGTCCTGATAAATACTGTTTGTCTGTTTTTGGTGAAAAAGATTTGATTTGGAACATGAGATTTGCCCCATTTTCAATGGAGGGGTGGGAAATGAAGGAATCAAAATTGATATTTGCTTCATCCTAGATATGAAGATCCCATATTCACTTATTCATACTTTTTGGATAAATTGATTTAGCCAATGATAAGCTGTGTGAGCTAATTCTTTCATTAGTTGCCTAGAATTTCCATCCCCTCCTTTTCAAACCTACGATATGCTTGAGACAACTAGGACTTGATCCAAGGCTAAAGCATTCAATGCATAGGCCTATATTAAATAAGTTCTGATAGTGCTATTGCAACATCTACAATGAAAAGTTAAAACTACACAGTTGTTGGCAGTGAGACAAGTAAAAATACCCTTGATCTGATGTGATTTATCCTGATCCATTTGGATAGGTCAAGATTGACTAAAAATAGGCCTGCCACTGGTCCTTGTTTTATGCAATTTGTATAAATAAAAGAGATGAGTCGACTACCAAATGCATTATATAAATGGAAATGATTACAGACATTATCTGAGATTTGAAGATAATGCGTGCGGTCATTTGTGTTGTAGATTCAAATTAACAAATGGTAATCCCGGGAATATTTTGAATTAATATTTATGTTTCGTCCAGTGTGTCACATGACACTCAAGATGGCGTTCATCATTGATAAGATTTTGAACAAATTTTCTGCTAATCTTTTCAATTTATTCAAAAAGTTCCTTCGTGCAGAGATAGAATCTGGTGATGGGAATGTACCTAATAGATTCAAGGAAATATTGAAGACATTGTCATCGTGGTTGAAAGAACATGAAAAGGCGTATGTGACTTTTATTTCATTCAAAATTTGTTGGAATTTGGATTTTACTTTCGTTTTGGTTGAAGTTTCTTCTGATGAGACGTTAGACGCGCTAATCATCATCATTGGTCCTTATTATTACAAGCTGAGAACATCTCAGATCCGATGATACAAATAGTCTAACCAGACCTAGATTTTAGTAATACATTTGTCTCTACAGTTTGGACCGGTAGAAAGCAACTTACTTTTTCACTCATTGGAATACATGTAAAATTGGCAAAGTTCAAATCATAATTTCTCAAATCCCAGCCCATCGAATCCTCGCATCCATTCAGATCATGTAGTCCTATTCAAAAACTTCCCGTTCGGTTATATGGTGAACAAAATATCCCACGAACGAAAAAAGATTTTGCTACATTTATAAGCGAGCATTGATTTCTGGGCCTGAAAAAAGCACGTAGGACCTGATTACCTCATTGATTTACTGAGACCGCCAAAATTATAATCTGTCAGCGGTCCCTGACACTCCTACTAGCTATTACCAAACATTAATTGTCAATGCATGTACACATATACGTGCCATACATCTACAAAGTAGCAAACTAGTGTTTTAAGTACTACTTTTCCTATACCATGACCAAAACAAATCGCACGTGGGTTGTATTGACCCACCATAAATAATCTAAATGAGTAGAGTGTACAGTCCACTTGTCTTCTAACTCAGTAAAACATAAAAAATATGAAATTAAAAGACCATTGTACAAAAATATATGGAAAATTGCATTTAAATTGTTCATAAAGGGCATTTGTATATCTTTGATTGCTTCTGGTTTGGCCTTTGGCTTTCAACTAGAATGAAAGCCCATGGTTTGGCTAATAAAATGTGTGGCCTCTTATATTTTGATGTTTTTCTGCCAAGTTATTTTTGAAAAAATGAACATGGCTGAAACTCCTTGAATTACAAGAGGCCACAGGCTTATTGCACAAAAACTGAATAATCTGAAATACTGTAGATATGAGCCTAGATAATGGCTTTTCTTATATTTCAGCCCCAAGCCTGTACCTGTACTACTACAGGAATCTGTTCTCACTGGAGTTCAAGGTCTCAACTCCAACACAGCCAGTCTAACATCTGCCATAGAAACAATGATGTCAATGGTGTCTGCCATGCAACATGTGATGTCAAGCTTACTTGACCCCCAAGCTCTTTCAACAGCAGTCAGTAACGTATCACAATCAGATGCTATGAATACATTCAAGGAGAGCTTAACTCCAATAATTAGTGAGGTCAAATCCGGATTAAATGAAAGTAGGAGTACAATGAAGGCCATACAGATCACTGCAGTGCACTTGGAAAAACTCTCAAAATATGCAAAAATATTTTTGAAGACATTTTCTACGTATCTATTTGTAATGACAATGCTTCAGGTGTATAATAAAACAGAATTTGACTCGATGGTGCTGAAAGGCAGGGTGTTGTTATGGGTGAGGAAGATTCTGCTGTTTTCTGTATTCATGAGTGTGATTTTTTCACCCTTTTGGATACTAAGGTGATTACCCTGAAGCCAGAGGTTTGGAGTAATAATATAGATTGGGTTAATTTTGCGCCCGCTTTAATTTGGTGAAATGGATAAAAACGCCAATTTACAGCTTCTCCAAAATTCAGAAATAATCCCCAAGAATTTTCCAAGGAACTTTTTCCGGTGTCTTTTATTTATTTCCGTTTTAGTTTTTACAAAATCTGAAAAGGACAAGCTGAACGAACATCAATATGATTGAGCATTACCATGGGGAATTCTTTCAATAATGAATTACTAGCTAGATGAAGTATTTGAATTAAAAATAAATGTGCAACAATTTCTATTTTAGTCCAGTGTATGTGGAAGTTATGGTGTCAGAGAAATGTCCAAGCCCTAGTATAGTGTTCGCCAAATTTAATAGCTGCCAATATGCAAACAAAAAATGACAAAATCACTTGAATTAATTAGCGCCAAATTAAACCAATCTAAAGTACTACAATCATGACAATCTACCACTGAAAATATGGATCATTATGTAGCTTACATTTACAAAGAATTTAATGCTTGATGTAGTCAGTACAGTGGTCTCCACAGGATTTTCTCTCAAGTGGGTGCAAAATTCTCATTCTGTCAATTCAGACCAAAATTGGCAAAATTTGCCTTTTTTATGATTTTCTCATCTTCAAGTGGGTGCAAATGAATTTTCAGGTAGGTGCAAGGATGTTTTCAAAATCTCAAGTGGGTTCTGCGCCCACTTGCTTTAATGTTGGAGAGATCACTGCAGTATATTTTAAGCTAAACCGTTTCACCAATTTGGAGCAACACTACTTTAAAATACAGGAATTGACAATTGGTTGAGAATTGTTCTCAACCAAAATATTGTTTGATTAAAAGGAAATATTTTTGTAATCTTTATAAATAGGACTGTATATATTTTGTACACATTTGTGAATGTATTTGTAATAAAATAATTATAACCAATACTAGGCCTAAACTTTTATTAAATGAGTTCATCCATTTTGACAATTTTGACATTTTGACAATTTTGTATCAATAAATGGAAAAGTAGAGATTTTGAGTTTGATTTTTTTGATTAATGACTCTCTTTATTTGATGCTCATCATAGCTTGCTTTTTAATGGGGAAATCCTTGAAATACATTATCTTTAAAACAGTGATCTTGAATATCTTGAAATAGTACAGGGCAGGGGGTTCTTGACTACAGGACTGATTTATTTATTTGATATCACAGCAACAGAAAACTAGTGTCAGATCTGAACCTCTATTGGCACAGTTTGATGTAAGATTGCAGAGCCACTTTGTTACTACCATCCGAATTGAATGCTGAAGAAAAGCAAATAAAAAATATGCTTTTTGAGGCATTCCAATAATTTTGTCAACAGGTTCCTCAATTCTAATTTTACCAGTTTTGAGCAAGAAAAAACAGAAATCGTGGATTTCTTTTCTTGCTTCTGTTTCATTTTTCCCTCAAGTGAACAAAGCCCGGATGTTAAATGACGTCATCTTTTCGAACTTAGCTTTCTGATTCTAGGTTACCTCCTTTTCTTGCGATTTTTTGGTCACACAATGAATTTATTGTCGTAACATTTCAAATTTCAGACTTTTGATGGGATGTAAATTTTCAACAGGGTAGTAGGTAATTTTCAGTACCCAGTTATTCTAATGTTGAGATCACTGGATTTATAATTGGATCTATTTCATTCATAAGCCACTCACATATACAGCCGAAAGTGATCCCATTATAGGTCTACCCAATATCATAACAATGAGTTCCTCTAAAACAACTGAAAATGTATTCCTTTTGTATCTATTAATACAATATGCATAGGCCTTAAATATCCATCTTTACATTCAGTCAATCATTGACATACGAATTAAAAATATATAGGAGACTCACTGGTATGATTAAGGTAATCACTCGATCCATTGACTTTATCATCTTACAAAAAATGTTCAATTCATACAAAATTGATTTGTACAAAAAAGTTATTTACATTTTAAGGAAAAGTTCTGATTTCTGATAAACTATGTCGAGTCCATATAATAACATGAGACAAACTCATGTATATATTTTTTATTTATAAATACTGTAGAATTTATTTGCACCATTCAAGTCTTTCAATATGACACAACAGATAGATATACACGTGGTTACAAAGATTTGCATAATAGTGAATATCGAGTGTAAAGAAACTGCCAGTACTATATTTTGGTGTGTATTGTTAAAACTTATTTCATATTTTCAAATAATCTACTAGTCATTAATGTAGAATTTGGGCTTCATTTCCCAAACATGTCACAGTGTCATCAATTCAATTGTATTTCCACATCAAAGAATTAAGAGTAATTTTCTGTCATAGTTTTACAATATTTTTTCTTCTCTATCTTTCAGAATTTCGCATATCAAAATACATTGAATTTTTCTACTGTCAGGCTATGTCAGTGATCTGAGCCTACAGATGGTCTTTGCTATGCATGATTGAGGGCATAGTATGGGAAAGGCCCAAGACCCATTTTTTGGGGGGTGTAAGGTAGGCATGTGTCACCACTCATCAATGACTAGAGATGATGTTATTGTAACAGCCTGTAACTATTTAGGAAGCAGTCTTGCTCCAAGAATGTGTAGACTTGCTACGTGAAAACAACACTAAGTACTGCACAAATAAATAAAGTAGAGTAAAACTGTCTTTTCAAACACCACTGGAACCAGTCAAAAGTGCTTGGATTAGGTTAATCAAGAGCATAGGGTAATCTCCTAACATTTGACAGCAAAGAGTGTACGATCATGATCACTTCAAGTACATATTGCATATGGCACTGAACAAGCTTTGAGCCATTGTCAACAACCAGTCATATTCTGTGAGTTTCCGTGGTTGTGTCCCAATTTTAATTACTTGACGTGTATGGCTGTGAAAAATCCATCACTTGACACATGTGGTTCCTATGTCAGCTTTGGGGCAGTAACAAGCTGAGGGCTGTGTCACTTAACTGTGTCACCTCACAGCCTGTGACATATGCAGAGGGTTTAACATTAGCTCAAAAGCAGCATCTTTCAAGTTAGCACCTCGTAGATTTGCCTCTTGTAGGTCACAACCAGATAGATCACAATTCTAAAAAATAAAATATGCAATAATGTGGCTTGATACATTGATGGAAAGGAGTTTTTTCCACATGGGAGACCTTATGAATTTTGTTTTTTTATTTGATATAAATTAAACTTCTATTTACTCAATCTTTGATTCAGAAATCCTATCCAAATTGTTAAGCTCTTTAATTCCAAATAAACTTGCAAAAGAACAGAAAATAAAAATGACAAAAATGGACAAGAGAAAATATAATTTCTCTGGTATTTAATTTATTCTGAATCACTGATCCACATTGATACACACAGGCCTATTTATATTTTAAATAACATCAAGATGAATTTCGAATTCAAGATGATGACAGTACAGCACTTTGAAAACGTGTGATAAAAAGACCAGACTTCTCAAGATCTAAGTCTCACCTCTAAATCTGCCCCTGCAAGGACTGCACCTCTTAAATCACAATTCTGAAGGTTGCTGTTTTTAAGATTAGCAACTCTTAGATTTACTCCTGCCATACGGCTTCCTTCTAGATTGACACCTTTCATTATTGCACCTGGAGGAACATACATCATTGTTTTTAATACATTCAAAAAGAATTGCAAGGAGAGTGAGATATGTCGATGTATACAATTGGAAATAGAATCAGGACACACAAAGGGTAACTCTACTTAATTTAACTAGACAATGGCAACTCCGCGGAGTAGCAAATCCCAACGAACAAAATATCAATTACCGAATTCCAATCAATTATACTCATTACTTTGGTTAAAATTGAAAAATTTAAATTTTAGAATTGCGAATTCCTGCAAAGCAGCCATTTTGAATTTTCTGAGGTATAAATCTGAAGAATAATACCATAATTGTGATCTACTCCAAAATTCCTTCAATTTGAGTATAATATAGCCATACTTTGAAGGGATCGAAAAATTATTGCCAAATCGTACATTAGACGGCCATTTTGAATTTTACGAGGCTCGAATCAGAAAAAGATACAATATTTGCAATCTACTCTTAATTGCCTTTCATTTGAGTATAATAAAGCTATACTTCAGAAAGATCTAAAAAAAATTTTTTTCTAAAAATTTTTTTTTTTGTGTACAACTATTCACCAATATACATCTTTCCACTAAATATGAAGAAAATCCGTCAACTCGTATTTGAGTTATCTTCCGGACGGACGGACGGACTGACTGACGGACTGACGGACGGAGGGCTTCACTTTATCCCTACCGAACTTCGTTCGTTGGGATAATTACTATCTAATTTGTATGGTTAAAATTTTATCTACTTGCTCTTTACAACAGTGCTATAGTATATGGTGACATTTTGTCATGTTAATGCCCCGTTTGTTACTTGTTTGTATCAACTGAAATGGCTTACCTTCCATATTAGCCCGGCTTCCAGCAGGATCCTCAAAGTTACACCCCTTCATTGATGCCCCCTCCATGTTAGCACACAGCATCTTTACACCAAGGAGATTAGCACCCTGATAAACACAAATCAGCTATTATAACATTTAAAGGAAAGGTATGCTCATGCTGCTATACCAATATGTCAAATCAGTACGCAATCTGCTGTTTATGCATTACCAATAAAGAAGACACTTAGATTTACTCTTTCTTTTAGATGGCAAGTGGTCTTGCATAAAGTCATTGGGTAAGACCCCCTCTTAAGGAAAGATATGCCTCAAGTAAGGTCCCATGACTCATACAATGTACAATCAAATTTAGATTCCCAAAAATAGCATTAAGAAATCATCGTTGATGAGCAATAGCAGACTCTGATTGGCTTGGCATAGTAAGAGACTCAAATTGCATACTAGGAAGTAAATATACGCACGGAGAACACTTTTTTGCTATGAATTGGAATTTGAGTGATTAAGAGACAGTCAATCTATATACTTACATCTAGGACAGCATTTGCAATGTCAGCTCTCTCAAAGTTGCAGTAAGATATGTTGGCGCAACTAAAGTTGACATTCTGGAGGTTAGCATACTTGAAGTTGATGTAGCGGAGATCTAATTTGTGTAGCTGAGCACCTGAGAAGTTGAGACCCTGCAAGGGGAGTAATTCAATCAGTGATATATTGACCTGATCAACTGAGAAAAATATGAACATCATACAAAAATATTGTTTAGATTGAATGCACTATAGTAGTACATATTGCATCTCTGTGTGCTTGTCATGAAAAATTTGAGCAAGCTATTCAAAACTGATAAACAACAGTGTCAACATCTAAAAATGTCTAAAAATGCCAAGCTATTCAAAACTGATAAACAACAGTGTCAACATCTAAAAATGTCTAAAAATGCCAAGCTATTCAAAACTGATAAACAACAGTGTCAACATCTAAAAATGCCTCAATATAGCCTTGCCCAAGTCAAAAGGCAACACATACATTCATTATCATGAGTCTGATAGGCTTATATTTATATATGTTTAATTACCTGACATCTAAGTTCTTTGTTGGTTGGTGTGGTCATAAGGGAGAGTATTAGTTCTCGACGTGTAATAGGTGTCCCGTCATCTGGCCTCTTTTCTGCCTACAAATAGAGAAGCACAAGGCATTAAAATGTCACCACCTAGTTGCTCACAATATTATGAGTTCAATCTCAAGTCAGATTTGAATTTCTGGGAACTTGTAGATGATTTTGAAAAAATAAATTGGTCAATTTGAAGCAAGTTGAAAAAAGACATTTTAACCTTGAAAAGGTCATTGAAGGTCAAATCTTTTTTGACCTTGAAAATGTCAATGAAGGACAAATCTATAGTCAGATTTGAACTGTTGAGAACTTGTAGATGATTTTGAAAAAACAATCAATTTACATTTTTGACCTTTTTTTACCTTGAAAAGGTCATTGAAGGTCAAATCTTAAATATAAAGTCAGATTTGAACTTCTGAAAACATGTACCGGCAGATGAATTTGAAAAAATTGAAGTCAGTCTAATCAATATTTGTTAAGTTATTGGATGTTGTAAGAATTTGTTACAGACGCCAATCACCAACCACCAAACGCCAACCACCGTCAAAAAAAGGAGACCATAACAATATGTCCCCACTTTTTGGTGGCGACATAAAAATATGGAGCTTCTTATGCATTAATATAAAAAAAACTAAATTGTCCACATATCGGTCAAGACTAGAGGTGTCAAGTATTAACCGGTTAACCGCCGATAATGCCTTGACCAGTCTGAGTTTTTATGGGCGGTTAGTTGACCGTGTATAATTCTGTTATTTCCCGCGCTTATTTTGCATGCTAATCCGTTTGGTTTTATGGTGTCAGTTTCATGTAAGCTACTCATACATGTCATAAGTCCCATAACTCCTTACAAACATCCAATCAGCAACTTTAATCCCTGCCACATTGCTTTCCCGCGCTTACTTTGCATTTTAATCTGTTTGTTTTTCAAGCGTCAGTTTCATGTGAGCTACTCATACACGTGATAGGTCCGATAATTCCTTACAAACATCCAATCAGCAACTTTAATCCCTGCCACATTGCTTTCCCACGCTTACTTACATAGAATAGCGTAAAGCTTGACGAACGTAAAAAATAAACGCCGATATATCATTTTTCCCATTTTTTTTTTAACTTTCAAGATCGAAGATGAAGATTTCATTTGAAATTATAAGTTCAAATTTCCTGCCGGTTAATCGACTTTAACCTGTAAAAAACCCCGGTTAACCGGTTAATGCTCAAGCGGTTAATTGACACCACTAGTCAAGACCATTGCATCAATTGGAATGTGCCTTTTCATAGGTTAATTTCTATTTACAGTTTAAGATTACAAGATAAAAATTCAAATGATATGTACATCAAAATTCAACCACTGATTGAACAAATACACAAATTATGTAGGCCAGCTTACCTGGATTATTTTTTCTAATCTTGGAATAAGTGAGATAATCCCAAAGAATTTGGCTTCTTCCAGTACACCTAAAAAAATGAAAACTTATTAATTACGATTTGTAGAAATGTTTAATATTTTACCTAAATGTTGCCAATAATTAACATTTAGCCATTTTGATTTTTTGTTTGTTTTGTTTTGAATGTTTGGCTAATTTTTATTAAAAGAATTTTAGAAACCTTATTCTACACGAAGCATGAATCAAAATGTTCTGATCTGGGAGTGCTTTCATGAAAAACGAGCCTCATAGTCGCATGTCCTCTACACTTAAATTTTGCGTTGATTTACTGAGGGGTTTCATATGGGCATGACGAATTATTCATTAACAATATAAGAGCCAAAAATGGTGACCGTGTATACTAGTATACTGTACCTTGAGTATTGATGGATGGATCGATGATTAGTTCTCCATGTCTGAGGTAGTTAAGTATTGGCTCGAAATATATTGGGGACCTGTCAATTAGGTAAGCACCTTTACTGTCCACACTACTGCCCCAACTGTTGCCTGCAAATGATTTTTTCTGTTATTTTACAATATACATGTGTATAACATATGTAAAACAGGGTATGCAAATGAAAAAAAGTTTAAAAAGAGTATACTGCACTTCTGACAAGGTTATTTTTTCAAAAAAAAGTTTGGATAATTATAGGATATCCTATGATTTTGAGGAATATCATTTTTATCTACGAGGTGATATTGATATCTGCACGATAGAGCAAAGCGAACGAGTACATATATCAATATCACCGAGTAGATTAAAAAAAATCATAGGATGTTCTTATTATTCTACACTTACAAAGAGTGTACTAAATGTATAATATCATTGCAAAATGAATTTCATGCCAAATAGAGTCAATTTGGCGGAAAATCAACAAGCGGAGTATATCGTCACAATATCCTCCGCATATTGGGTTTTCTGGAGTATATCGTTACGATATCCTCCGGATATTCATTTTGCCAATAAATATCAAATTTATTTTTAATGTTATTATACATTTAGTACACTAAGTGTAGGATAATTATAGGATATCCTATGATTTTGAGGAATATCATTTTTATCTACGAGGTGATATTGATATCTGCACGAGAGATCAAAGCGAACGAGTGCATATATCAATATCACCGAGTAGATTAAAAAAAATCATAGGATGTTCTTATTATCCTACACTTACAAGGAGTGTACTAAATGTATAATATCATTGCAAAATGAATTTCATGCCAAATATAGTCAATTTGGCGGAAAATCAACAAGCAGAGTATATTGTCACAATATCCTCCGCATATTGGGTTTTCCAGAGTATATAGTCACAATATCCTCATCCCGGAGTATATCATCACGATATCCTCCGGTTATTCATTTTGCCAATAAATATCAAATTTATTTTTTGATGTTATTATACATTTAGTATACATGTACTAAGTGTAGGATAATGATTAATACCTCCTACTTGTGTATCCATTGATATCAAGTTTTAGATAATAAAAATATTTCTTAAAAAGTTGGTATGACTTGTCATTTCAGCAAGGTTGTCTAAATTTTTTTTTTGAAATATCATACCTCCCTCATTGGCAAACATTCTGGCCAGCATGCTTGTTGGTTCCTTTGAGGTAAGGGTACTCCTGAAAATGAAAAACATAATTATTATTGTAAATGAAACACAACATTTAAAATATAATTTTTCATCCCTTAGATAATCAATTTTTGCAATTTATTTTGTAAATCAATGTAAGCAACTAATTTACTAAATGACTGAAATCAAATCTAACTTATCTTTTTGGAAATAATTTGAAAACTTAAAGCAGTGAAATGAATCTTGTCCCAAGGGCTGGAAGAGGCATTCTTAATGCTCATACTTTAGAATGTGGACACATTACTGAAGAGTAGGACTATCAAAAAAGTAATGTTGTGTCCCTATATTATCATTATATTTATAAGGATTAAAGAGTAAAATGTACATCAACACACCTAGTTGTTGTAAAGTGTTTTCCACCCACGTTAAGTGTGACCCAGTTAGACTCTGTTCCTCCTATTTTGAGTTCTTGTAACTTTGGCAACACCATTGATGACCTCACATGGTTCTGTCTTAGTGATACTGGTAACTGAGGACTAGTTGTATCTGCAAGAAAACCAAATGAGTAATGACCTAATAAGCCAACTCATAATATACATTTTAGGCTTTTTTAAATTATCGCCCAACACTAGACAAAACATTTTACACCGAACAAAATATATAATATACAGTAAAACCTGTCTTAGTGAACACCTCTCTCTAGTGAACACCTGTCCCTAGTGGACACTCTTCCTATGCACACAGTCCACTGACTTCTGTATAAATTACCCTCTCTCTAGTGAACACCTACCTACAGTGAACGTTTTTTCTTGGCAAAAAAATGTTCACTATACACAAGTTTTACTGTACATATATAAATATATGAAATATATCTAAGTCCCAGGTAAATACTAATTTAACAAATCCCCGGGGATTTAAAAGACACATTTCGCGACGATAAATATACGCGATTATACCACGATCACGAACAAAGAAATCAAAATGCATGCGAATAATACCGGGAGTACAGTATACATTGCAAGCATACCTACAACCATATCAACAAGAATATCATATCACCAAGGTGGAATGTAGAGTGGTAGAACAGGTTGAGTTTTTGTTGGTTGCATTAGATGGAGAAAACACTGATATAGAAACAATGAAAATGATGGAAAAATCTTTCTTTTCTAATCTTATTTTTGTTTATTTTTTCCATTGTTATATAAAATACATTACCTATAAATGCTGAACCTTCAGACGCATATAGTGTATCATCATCTCTAAAAAATAACAACTATGTCTTAAAACCTGATTTATATCTTACTGCTTGTCTTAGACAACGAATATGTGTTGATTATATGCAAGGAGGATATACTGTAAATATTATTACTTTTTACGAAGGCCCCCCACGAAGTGGGCGGAGCCATTCGTTCTATGGACCGACTGTCGACCAGTCACGTGACCAAAAGCCCGCCATTATTACCTTATATGGCAAACCATCAAAGCAACGATCACGACGTCATATGTTGTGTTTTTGATCAAGATATGACGTAATATAACATAAATTATGACATCAGTTACTTATTGCCCTATCAACTACACAGACAAGAAAGCTAAACATCACATATCACAGTGTTTATTATATTTTAATTTGTGACGTCATTAACATGTTACCTAGCCAACAGAAATCAAGCAGTAAAATGTAGATTGTTCAATGTCTTTCTCTGTGGTATTTCCATAAAAAGTGGATCAGTTTTGTCAAAATACCATTATGGCCTTCGTATTTTTCTAGTGTAATTTTCACTTGATTTTCTTGTTACTCATTAACTTAGACCAACACAACAGATTCATCACAAACTTACCATCAAAATATTCTCACCTTATAAGATCTATATCATCTATTTCTGCACCATTGCATGTGAACAAAATTGTGGCCGAGATTCCAAGTTTCTGACTGACCCTGTCTAGCAAATCTGACAGTGAAGCTGGGACCAACAATACCTGGAAGTGTTAGACATCTTTAAAATATATTAATAGTCAATGTCAACGATTAAGATTAAATTGTGTCTGATTTCAGTATCTCAGTCAAAGGCACCGGAGCAGAATCTATCAAATGAAAATCCACTGACTTCTGTATGTATCCTTGTTTTGCACACCATTAAGGGAAGTGTTATTTGTTGTTTCTAGTATTTTAGTGCATTTGTGTTCAGTATTTCAGTGAGTATAGTATATATTGACTTTTACCCAATATACATCGTGATGAACATATTACAATTTTACTCCTGTCATGTACAATTATGGCACATCGCGACAACATTGGTGATACATGTACTCTCTTATCCCGTTCCAGGACTTATGGTCCTGTACTGAGCGCATACATTTGCCTGTACGATTACAACTTGGGAGAATTATCTACGCCCCTTCCACTTAAGAAACCTACCTCAATGCATTCTAGGACTCAAAATGTAGCTTCTAATATATTGGAACTGCCGATTGTCTGGGTTAGTTGGCAGAACGAGGTCTTTTTGTTTCTTATGGCTCTTTTGGTCGAAGTTCGATTAAGATGGCAGTTATAACGGAATTTCCCGAAGTTTTCCGTAATAGCACGAACTTGGTATTTCGTTCCGTCACTTCCGTGTTTAAATGGATTTGTTTCCGGTAAGAAACATTGTTTAACCATTTGGTATACAGTTAAGAGCATAGGTTGTCTACATGGCAGTAAATATTGAAAATATTGTCTGAAATTTTCGAAATTCCCTCTTTCCGGAAACAAATCCATTTTACACGGAAGTGACGTAACGAAATACCAAGTTCGTGCTATTATGGAAAAGTTCGGGAAATTCCGTTATAACCGCCATCTTAATCGAACTTCGACCAAAAGAGCCATAAGAAACAAAAAGACCTCGTTCTGCCAACTAACCCAGACAATCGGCGGTTCCAATATATTAGAAGCTACATTTTGAGTCCTAGAATGCATTGAGGTAGGTTTCTTAAGTGGAAGGGGCGTAGATAATTCTCCCAAGTTGTAATCGTACAGGCAAATGTATGCGCTCAGTACAGGACCATAAGTCCTGGAACGGGATAAGTACTCTCTACTATGATCTATGATATAGACATTTAAAGTAAGGCCCACAGATGCCAGCCAGATCGTATGATAGTAGTAGTAGGCTAGATTCAATAAAATAAACCTCAAGATGAGAAATTGAATTGAAAAAGCTACTGGAAAAATGACCATCCTTCAAAACCTCCCCCAAACGACGTGATATCTTTTTTGACTCTTATTGATGTAGTAATGTTTGAATAACCCTTGTTTGTAATTACGGAGATACAGAATAACAGGACGCTTTGAATGAGGTATGATTTCTCACTTGTGCAATGGCTGCACAATCGGGAAATGAAAAATCGAAAAATCTTGGTGTCTCATCTTTAGATACGACTATGCCGGCATTTTTGATTAGGCCAAGAACTAAATAATTAGTGTAGGCCTAGCCTAGCCTAATTTGATAGAGAATAAGATATTCAATTCGACAATTGCCCAGAAAATGCATACCTTTGGATCTGTCTTAGAACCATTTTTGAAGATCGTTATTCGCTTCATTTTGGTATAGATGATAGGTAACTTCTAGACGATATGTACCATTGTAATAAACAGCATAAATAACCTGCATTCACTGATCTATTAACAAATATCTTAAACAATTACTAAGAAAGTAAAATTCCGGAAGTGGTCTTAGAAATGTGAGTCACCCAGAATTAGTTTTGAGATCTATTTATTTTATTGCATTTTACAGTGTTTTATTTTCTACAATCTTTTCATCACAATCCAATATTTGATTTATTATATATATCATAAAATTCACGTTTAGTTGTATTGTTGATATGTCCGATTTTGTGTTTTTAGGGGTGTGTCAGAATGACAGGTGTGTTTGAGGTGCCCGGATGTTGCACTTTGGAAATATGGCAGAAATGGAGAGGATCAAAGTTTTGCGACGACATTTGTTGCAAAACAAAGATAACAAGAGCTGGAAAAGTCTGACCGAGGTGATATATATAATATTTTATACATCAAGACTATTTTTATTCAAATATTCTAGAAAATTAATCACAGATTTTGTGTCAAACAGTGTTTGAAGTTAGTCTTTTCTGTGTCACATAATGTTTACATTATTTTATTTCTTTCAAACTGTCAGAAATTTCAAGGTTTAGCACCCCATAAGACAAGTCGGGGAAGAAACGAGGCCCCAGGCGAGGTCTAATGTTGTTGGACTAATCTGGCAATTACTCCAAGAAAACATATTAAACACATAACAATGGATGTAAAATAAAATTATATTTATGTCATATGCATTCCCATGATATTTGTATCTTTTGTTGCAGTCTTTGAACTTTGCCTATCATTGAAAGTTATGATCAAGTTTGCACGTAATATCTTGAACTTGAATTAGGTATTACCTTCAATTTGGGTCAATAACTGGGACATGTACATGGGGATATTTTCATTCTTTCTAATTCTTTTTAGCTAACTTCGTAGTTTGTTTCTATTTCTAATCCAGGGTCCAGTTTCAGCTGCTTACCCAGATGTGAACTATGATTACACCACAAATACCAATGTTCTCACCCCAGAGCAGCGCAAATCTTATGAAGAAAATGGTTTCCTTGTCATCAGAAATCTTGTTCCCAAGGATAAATTGGAACGTTACAGGTACAGTACACTGACTCTCATAACACCTGACCATTTTGGATGTAATGGATAGCAATGTCATGCAAAATGAAGAATACAAATCTCAAGGTGATGAGCTCTCAAGATACTTAAATAATGAATCAAAATATAAGTAAATGATTTTATTTTATTTTTTTACATCAGGTGATGTCAATATTATAACAAGGTTTCCCTTATATTATATTACCTTCTTTCGTCTAAGGCTTTCACTGTGTTCCAAGTAATTTGGCTATAGACTCAAGTAAGGTTTTCCTACTTTTTGCATAAAACCTTTTTGGTGAGGTTTAAACAGCCAAAATCAAATCAAGAAAATGTAGTTACTTTTTTTGTTGAGAATTTTTGTAGAGTTTGTGCCTTGGAACTACATTTTAATGATACATTTAATCCAAGTATGTAAGAGCAATTGCATCATCATGGACATTTAATTCCAGGCATCGATTTGAGAAATTATGCTCCAGAGAGGTACAAACCCCGGGACTTCTGATCATGCGTGATGTTGCGATCGCAAAATCAGAGTTTGTGCCAGGGGAGAAAGCAGTGACCAAGATTCAAGATTTCACCCATGACCCTGTCTTATTTGAGTATTGTTGTCTGCCTGAGGTGAGTCTATATGCGTTTATAATGTTATATGATCTTTGTATACATGTAGGATCAGCCCATTACTTTGAAAGTTACATGGATCGACTACAAAACCCATGATCCTGAAACTCATATACGGTAGCTTTAAAAACTCATCAGCTACCCAAATCACTGCACATTATCTCAATTTTTCTTTTTTCATATTTTAGAATGAAGTTCATTTGACCTTTAGCCCAAAAAACCGATCTTGTCATGTGACGTTGATATTGACTTAAAATGACTTAATTGATGGAGACTTGAGACATATTCATGTGAGATCCAATATTTTGGCAGGATACTTTATTGCAATGGTTAGGAGGATATAAACATGTAATTAAGTGCTTGTATTTCTTGTTAAAAGTAACAATATTTGTTACAGGTTGTGAAATATGTGGAGTGTTTCACTGGCCCAGATATCAAAGCAATGCACACAATGCTGATCAACAAACCGCCAGATCCGGGTAAATATTCTTTGAATGTCCAATGTCCACTAGTTGTGAAAAGTACTTAAGTAGTGGAGTGGTTTTGTTGAAATTCTTTATGGGAATACTTGGGAGCATGTTACACTGTCTAATGAAAATTGGCTCATCTTTTCCAAAAAATGACAGCCATTTTTATTTGTTTTATTTTAAACATGATACATATTTCAGGTTCGAAAACATCACGTCACCCGATGCATCAGGACCTGCATTACTTCCCATTCCGACCTGCTAACAGGATTGTGTGCTCTTGGACCGCCATGGAACATGTCCATAGACAAAATGGCTGCCTGGTTGTACTTCCTGGGTCACACAAAGGTCACCTGCTACAGCATGTTTATCCTGAATGGGAGGTACTCTTATTTGAACAATTTTCATCCAATTTACACAAAAATTGTTTAAAAATGAGTAGAAATGAACTCTGCCATCTAATTTAAGATAAGCATCACCCGTTGAATATGTGTGTGGTTAAATATCAAAAGTTGGCAAAACTGAATTTAGAGACTGGGATTCAAGAGGTTAAAAAGATTTAAAACTTAAACAAAAATTTGCTAATTAGGTATTTGAAAAAATATCTAAATTAAAAAAAATATCCATGTCGTCAGATTAATAAAATAAGTATCTGAGATATATAGAGGGGGGAGTATATAGCAAAACCAATATCATTTTTGTCAAAGTGATGTAACAAAGAAAGTGTATATCAAAAGTGTCTCATACATGTACATGTATCTAATATTATAGATATCATGGTATAAATCAGTATTTTCCCAGCCATTTCTATTGCATTTATTGAAGATTCATGTATTCATATCCTGTAATCTGTTTTAAGGGTGGCGTGAACAAAATGTATCATGGTATACAAGACTATGATCCCAGCCATCCCAGAGTGCACTTGGAGATGCAGGCGGGTGATACCGTTTTCTTCCACCCATTGTTGATCCATGGATCAGGAATGAATAGAACTAAAGGATTCCGTAAGGTAAATGATGAATGGATGGATGATTGGTATACAATTCTATATGCTGTATTTTTTATGAAATCATGTTCATGAAATCCCTTTTAATAATACTCCACATAACTTTTGAAATTAAAAACTTTGCATATCCATGAGAAAATATACCCTTCACTAATACATGGGATGTACTGTACATTGATTTGTCTGTTATATGATACTAGTATTACAACATATTGTATGTTTCAAAAGTGCATAGTATATCTATATCATGTTTCAAAAGCTAAAATGTTAGGGGTTTTCATATTACAATGTTAAAAATAACATAGCACGTTGCTTCATTTCAGGCCATATCTTGTCACTACGCTAGCAGCACTGCTTGTAACTACATTGACATAGCAGGTACTACGCAGGAAGTTATTGCCAACGAGGTGCTAGATTTAATCAAGAAAAGAATGGGCCCTGATGCTGAAATAGGTTTCCAGGTAGACTAGGAAATTACTACAAATTACATTGAAATATTAATGCTATAATTTTGTGTAGTTATTTGTATTTTTAAATTGTATTGTAATTTGTATTCTTCTCCATTCTCTTTTACTGTTCTATACATATAGTACTAACATCAAACATGACAAATTACTTTGACTTACCTGTTCAGGAATCATTTTAGCAAATGACAGTATTTTATCAGTCCACAATTCAGACTTATATTGAAGAATAAGATTTGACAAAGTTGTAAATAAAGTGAACTCACATTTCAAGATATTTTGCAGCATTGTGCAGCTTTTTATGTCTCCTCCATTAATTAGTTAATTAATGCAACTTCCATCATTTTACTTGAAGCAGATAATACACAGTTTTGGTTAGATTTCCTACGGTTAAGGAGACTATGAAGTCATCATGAAATCATTAACCTTTTTGGAAATGACATAGTATGCATGTCACTTTCTTTTTATTTAAATACCAAATATAGTAGCTACATCACTGACATTGATTATTGGAACACTATTTGTCAGCTTATTTAGCCTGCTAAGATACTGAGCAATGGAAATGGAAATCTGTTGTGGATGTTGAAAAAATCACTCTTACGCTTGCATTGCTTCCTTTTATCAATCTGTATTGATATGATTCAGGCCCATAGCCAGGGGGGGAAACGGAGGGAGCGGCAAGAAATTCTTTCAAATTCATGCAGTTTTTCACCATTCTGAGCACTTTTGGCATGATTTTTTGCCTACACTGTCAAAAAGCTCTAGTGGAACCTAGTGGAAAGAGTACTCCAGTTTTATATTGGCTTTCATCTTTTGGCATCATTTAGCCAGAAAATAGTCTTCCTTTATCCACCCTTCGATTCCTACACCTTAATTTGATATCAATTTTGAGTGCCTGCAACACTGGTTCATTTTCCCACAATGCTTATGTTTTCTCAGCGTCTGTGTTGTCTAAAAAATTCAACCCTGCAAAAAATTGCTTTACAATTCAGAATTCCACATCCTTTATAATAAGTTGAGAACCACATGCCATAATTGGCATGCCATGATTGGTTGAATTGTAACATGTGACTTTATTTCACCAGGATGTCTGGAGGTTAAAGAGCAAAGTAGTCACTGGGCCACCCCAGGAGGAAATTAACATGTAGTCTTGGAGGGTACTACTTCTTCAATGAAACATTACTTTGGCAACTTTGGGGTTTCGTATTGCCCGAGACAGTAATAAACTAAAAATGGAAATCATCCCATTTGGGAACAGTAGAAATTATGCCTTTTGTTTCTACATCATCTCTTCTAACCAGCTAATATTTGTACAACTTATTTTAACATTGTTTCATATTTAATTTTCTGTATTAAATCAGTAATTTCTGGGAATTGTTCTCTAATCATTGGCACATTAATAATACAATGATAACCACTGGTCTACTGTCCATAACTGTCGAACACCTCTCTGCATTTCCTTCTGGTACCAAAATACCTGTTTTCTGAATCCATTAACAATATCTCTATATTTTATCAACTGCAGTTTTAAGTGATGAAGCCCTCCTCTCTATTGTTACCTAGTCCCAGATAACTAAAACAAAGAAAAATAAGTATTTATCTTGCTTTATCTATCTAGTAGAAATATAGAATGTTGTCTGCTTCATTTGAAGCATTATGGGACATTTTTTGAACACAGTCTAGGCCTGGGGTTGGGGGTCAATAGACTCAATGCCTACACTTACAAGACTAGTGGTTGATCAGTTGTATACATGCATATTATCACTAAATTCAGACTTCTTTATCTTGCAGGACACATGGAAACTAAGAAGTAGATGCATCAAAGGAACAGAAGACACTAATCTCTAATCCAGGATACATTTCAATGCAAGATGAATTGTTTCAAATTTTTTAAATCTAATATGTTCCAATAAAAGATGACACATTTTAAATGACTAAATTATATCTAAGATGGCATGTTAAGGCAGGACTTCTAAGGAACATGCTTCAGTCTAAAATGACACTTCTTAAATGACAGACTTAATCCTAGATGATGTGTTTCTATCTAAGATGACACATTTCAAACTCAGATTGAAGCCTCTTTTGCCATAGCATTGACGATACAATTTATAAAAAATATGTGTATAGAGACAGAATCAGCATGATTTTTCAGGGAACAAAAGCCAAAAATTGCAGTATTTATCATTAATCCGTATGTTACAATGACTCAATCTAGATTCTTCCTCATTTTATATGTAAATGAGAAAAATAGCCTTTCTGTTAAAGTGTATTTATCTTGCTTTACATGTCTTGTGATAAGATGAATTGGACATTAAATTAATATATTTCCGTACTTAACCAACATAATTCTGAAATCCAGTGCCATGAAGAACTATGGGTTGAAAGTCCCTGAAGATTCTTAAGGAGTCAATAATGCATAGGGCGTTTAAATTAACAAATTTCCACCATTCAGGGAGTGAGAATATCCCAGAAGACATATGCAACTTCTACATTGAGTTTAAATCTCAGAGATCATTGGTCTATTTTTTGTACAAAAAATTACTGATTACATTTTCTTTTGAATTCCATTGTCAACAATGTTCTGAATTTAGAAAAAGCTCTCACACTTCTTGAATTTCCAAGAAAATCTTATTAAACATGATGCAAGTAACATGTATTACCATCATATTCAGCATATTTGGAGTATACTGAATGCATCATGGGAAAAAGTTTACATGGGAGATAATGGGGTCTTCTGGGATATCCACTACTCATTTAGTGAGAAACTTCATGAATTTTGTACATATGATTTTATATTTAATGTTTTACAATAAAAATAAGACAAATAAATGATTTATTAGAATAATAATTTATAAGTTTATTGTTTTTAATCCATATTCCCATGGCCAATAAAAAAGTGTTATACTGTACAGCTTTTGGAGTTTTGACAACATTGTATGATGTGTTCTTTCAACATCTGGAACAACCTTTTGGGTCACTGTTTATACAGTATTTAAATATAAATCCAGTCTCTAGTCCATCCATGGAAGTATATACAGATATACCATATACTGTTATTGCTTTAATTTGACGCTATTGAATTTGGTGGATTGGGGAAATTTTGGCTGCTATTTAAATGGCGGATTGATCATCATAAGTCATATTACTCACTTTACAGCACGCCACAGATAATGCAGTTTAGCTCTCCTGGTATTAGATTGTTTTATGTAAACCAGCGGGGACTATGTAGACCTTCGGGAATTGTTTCAAATTGACATTTTATCAATGTTTCAATCAAGATTGAACGAAAATCCCTGGTCATTTCATTTTCCAAAAATTGGTTTGGGACTAATCTGGCAATTTTTATCAATCCCCAAATCAGCCAAATTAAATCTGCTGTCAAACCAAAGCAATTTACAGTATTCTAAACATCAATGGTCCAACTGAGAAACATAGTTACATTGATTAACAACCACAGTATATTCAAATGTTTGGTTAAAAAAAATTCAAATTTAATTGTCAACATTTCATCTTGACAATGATCCTTGCATCTGTGACTTCACAGGACAAAAAAACAAAATGAATCTGAGCAATTCTTGCTGGGCAAAAATAACATAATATGGTTATACATGTAATAAACAACAAATTAGAATTTTCTTAAATGATATGGAGGCTACACATGGTAATATATCCATGTTCACACTGACTCCTAGTCAGGTACAATTACACTGTATGCCATACACCCATCCTCAATTCATCACTAATTCAATAACTCAAAAAGAAAATTACAGGGTGAGCCAAAAAATTAGTTATCGTAGGAGTAAACAATTAGAATGGTAACATTTTTTGCCCCACCCTATATATATATTATATCCAAACACATTTAAGGTGGACCTACTTGGTTGATTTTTGGATATGTTCATGCATGGTATTACTGTATTACTGTACGTTAGTTAGACAGAATTACCCACCTTAATTGCCTTTTATCATGTCCATAATGGAATTTGATTAAAATGCAGTTTTTCATCAAGTCTGGTTTTCATACTTTCCTCAGTTATGCTTTGGGGAAGACTGAGATACTTCAACCTTTTTACAAAACTTAAGACAGGGCAAGTAAAAAAAATTAAAACCTGACTAGACATACTGATGTCACAGTCCAAGATATCTGGTCAGATTATTTGACCTACCTTGAATTAGCTATACAATACAGTGCTTAAAGTAATCTCTACACTTGAACTCATCCTACAAACACATGCCTCCAGAACTCGTATCTCGTACGTGGAGGAAGGAAGGAACTGGGTGGATGATGTCTGCAGCACAGCGTTTGGAGGATGCACTCTAACTCATCCACCAAACACAGGCCAACAGAACTCGTACCTTGTACGAGGAGGAAGGAACTAAGTGGATGAAGTCTGGAGCTCTGCGTTTGGAGGATGCACTTGAACTCATCCAACAAGCACAGAGGGCTACAGAACCCCCCTATTCTGGGTCTTGGAGCCCTGCATTCGAAGGATGACTTTAACTACAATAACGTACTATTCTACATCACATTTACGTCAATTGAGCTTGGTTTGCATGCTTTACTATTCTAACTCAATTTATAAGCCATCATTTCTTTGTTAGCCATCTTCTACAGATAGCTATTCATCACAATCAACTCCAGCAGCATACAAAATCATATACCAATAGAAAGCTACAACTTTTTACTGTTTAGTTTTTAAGCAACGCTGACTTAATTTTTTTCATGTCTAAATGTTCATTTAAATTCACTTCTAATATACCATCTCTATACAATATATCATCTATGATCATACAAAAAATCTCATTATAAATATACAATACTATATCCTTTTAGAAGCAGTTGTGTACAAAATATATTACAGTTCAATATACAGAGATCACATGACACAAATTGACAAATCAGGAAGAATCTCATCACTTTTTCGTACAATAACCTGGGAGTGTAGCACCTCCTCGTCTAGTCATGAACGCTGGATATTACTGAGATCGGCCCATTGGTCGAAAAATGATAACTTCACTCGTTCAATATGATGACAAAGTTTAATTGCAGGGCCCAGTTTTAATTCTAAGTGTTCTTGTAGAGAAGGCAGACTGAGCAGAAGTAAGGCTTGGCCATCTATCTCCTGGAAGAGAAAGGGTTAATAAATAAGGTTACGGACACTGGCAGTGAAAGTGTTAATAGACACTACAATATTCCTTTTTAACGGTTTCTCATTTTGATGGGAGTATATTGCGAGTCAGACCATCTTTTTTTTATTTTTAGAAAATCAATAACCTTGATAAGCTCACAACGAATCTAAACTGCTCAAGCAATCAAGTGCTTGTGATACCCCTCCTATAAATGATGCCCCTGGCAATTCTGTAGCATTTCAATGTCAACTTGTTAAATGAATTATACCTGTTCAGCCAGAATCCTGGAGAGGTTGGCACAGTCAGTAGTTGTAATAAATTCAGCCACTTCATCAACGCTCCAATAGAGGGGGTTGCTCTCCAGTTTTAATGGAGGTTCCACATTAGTTGGTTCCACGGGCTGAAAATAGACATGTAAAATTTGGTACATTGTTCTTGTTGAAAAATATTCGAATTATTTTTAAGAAAGAATTGGACAAACAAACCAATTAGAGTTAGATACGACAGTTCTAATGAATCACATCTTCCAGTTTAAATATTGTTTTAAGCCTTCGAAAGACGCAAATTCAAACGAACATTTTGAAAGTATACCTGGAATGCGGATTTCGGAGGTTCTTCTAAACCATTCAAGTCACCATTTGTCAGAATCAGCTTCTTTTTCCTGGTTTTCTTAGCCAGTCCGAAACTCGGTAACTTCTTTCCTCGAGTCCTGATATCTGACTTCACTACAACATTATGCTTTATGTACTTCTTCTTTGGTGGTCTGAATTCAGGATCAAAATCCCTTGAATCGGAAGTCTTTTCTGTCATTTGACTATCTGTGCTAATCCGACTATGTACACTTTGAGCATCATCATCAATCTTCATTGCACCGTCTGCTAGATTTGATGCATTATGGGTAATCATATCCCCATTAGGCAATTTTGTAGCATTTGCCTGCAGCTGTTTTCTTGGACTGAATAAGAACTTTTTACGCTTGCGACCACGTTTACCCGGCTTTTTCTTGTCACCTTCCTCAAGATTAGTGTGACCTCCAGGTGGACGTCCAATCTTACGCTTCTTCTTCTTTGTGCCATAAACCATATCTGGAAATAGACAATTCTATTTTATGGAGGGGAGATCTACCAGGTACACCTAAATTGCCTTGACCTTGTTTTTGCTCTAAATATCACATTTAGGAAACTTATGATGATTTCTTATACCTTGAATAGTTAATAAAAACCAGGGACAATGCACTTTTTTCTATAGATACTCCCCTACAAATACATGTACCACCCTTCAACGAAAAATTGCTTGCAGCTTTGCATAAGGACAACATTATATTGATGCATCAGGAAAAATGTCTATAACAAGACAAAGCATACTGTATTTAGTCTTTGTAAGGTTGTTGCAGTTCTCTGGGCAATTGTCATTGACATAGTGTGGACTGAAGAGGTACGGGCAACACTGCAGCTTGATACATTGCATTCTGCAGTACTCCTCGATTTGAGCGTTGTTCTGACATATCTCAACTGTAGCCCTGTAGCTCTTACCCTTGTACCTAAAAATAAAAAATGATTATGGAAATGTGGTTCCTCGAGTTCTGGGAAAGCTGGACTTGAGTTGGAACTTTTTAGCATTTTTCCTGACAAAAAGGAGTTTAACACTCACCAAGTAAATGCAACAGAAATTTTAAAAAAATTAGTACCGTGGGTACTGGGGTCACATGGTGACAGAAAAAAATGGATATAATTTTTTGCTGATTTTTTGTAACAAAATTATTTCAAGCCACTTGCCACTATTTTGGACTTTGAGAGACAGATGGACAAATCGATGTTAAGTAAAATGGCTGAAAAAAAAACGGATATAATTTTTTGCAAATTATTTGTAACAAAATTATTTCATACAACTACTCTTTACAGTGACATGGCTTTTTGCAATGCAAGACACATGAAATTATTTGTAAAGCTAGGAAATGGGCCAAAATTGAATTTCGCGAGACAAAAATGGCGACCATTTTGAAATCAGGCAAGCTTTTGAACCAGGAGTCATAGGGGAGTTTTTTGTTTTGATGTTGAACAAAAATAACTTGAAACTGGAATCCTATCGACAGAGGTTTTAAGCAAATGGTCCAAAAGAGGATTTCGCGAGACAGATGGACAAACAAATGTTAACTAAAATGGCTAAAAATAAAAAAACGGATATAATGTTTTGCCGATTTTTTGTAACAAAATTATTTCATACAACTACTCTTTACAGTGACATGGCTTTTTACAATGCAGGACAGCTGAAATTATTTGTAAAGCTAGGAAATGGGCAAAAAGTGAATTTCGCGAAACAAGAATGGCGACCATTTTGAAAATAGGCGAGCTTTTGAACCAAGAGTCATAGGAGAGTTTTTTGTATTGATGTTGAACAAAATTAACTTAAAACGGGAATCCTATCGACAGAGGGTTTAAGGTAAATGGTTCAAAAGTAGATTTTGTGAGACAGATGGACAAATCAATGTTAACTAAAATGGCTGAAAATAAAAAATGGATATAATTTTTTGCTGATTTTTCGTAACAAAATTATTTCATACATCTACTCTTTACATTGACATGGATTTTTACAATGTAAGACACTTGAAATTATTTGTAAAGCTAGGAAATGGGTCAAAAGTGAATTTCGCGAGACAAAAATGGTGGCCATTTTGAAAATAGGCGAGCTTTTGAACCAGGAGTCATAGGGGAGTTTTCTGTATTGATGTTGAACAGAAATAACTTAAAACAGGAATCCTATCGACAGAGGTTTTAAAACGTGCCACTGTTATTGACGGAAAGTTGATTTCGCGAGTCAGATAGACAAATCAATGTTAACTAAAATGGCTGAAAATAAAAAAAATGGATATAATTTTTCGCTGATTTTTTGTTACAAAATTATTTCATATATCTACCCTTTACATTGACATGAATTTTTACTCTGTAGGACACCTGCAATTATTTGCAAAGCTAGGAAATGGGTCAAAAGTGAATTTCGCGAGACAAAAGTGACGGCCATTTTGAAAATAGGCGAGCTTTTGAACCAAGAGTCATAGGGGAGTTTTCTGCACTGATGTTGAACAGAAATAACTTAAAACAGGAATCCTATTGACAGAGGTTTTAAAACGTGCCACTATTGTTGACGGACAGATGGACGGACGGACAGACAGACAGACGGACAAGTGAGTGATTGCAAAAGCTCACCATGTGAGCTAATGAGACACACATTTGAAATTCAAATTGCTGACCTTGTAAATAACAATACACATCCAAAACCTTGAAAACAATTATGCACTTTAAAGTGTTCAATTTGACAGTCTTCAGTTGGAATTGATGTATGATTGGAAAAAACATATTGGCATAAATGTTATCTTAAGTCAACTTACACGCCCAGGTTACAAACTGATTCAATATTGCTTTAAAAACAAACTTGTTTCACACTTACTTAGCTTTGAGCTGTTGTTGATACATCTTGGGGTTATGGGCCCCATCTAATTGCACTTCTCTTAGCACCCGACTAGATTTATAGGCAGAATTGATGAGTAAGGAAAGCACCTCCTTCAACACAAGGACAATAGGCCCAGGCCCCACACACTTAGGCAGATCTGCAATTCGTCCCTTGCTAAGAAAGGGACCAGAGAAACACCTGTGGTTGAAGTAGATCTTAGGGCACCATCCTGGTTTACCTGCAATTAAAATAACCTCTAATTCTTATCCTAATATACCCTCAAATTCAAACAAGATTTCTACAATATAGCACTCTGAAAAAGTGTGATAAAAAGTCTGAACAGTCTGAAGCTTGAACCTTTCTCTTTGTGAATATCAAAATTTGAAGGAAAACTTGTCTAGTAAGCAAAATCACAATTAAAATTCTGAGAGGCTTCAATGATTTCGAAAATATGTGTACTCATGCTTATGTAAATTCAAACTTTGATACCTTCAGAAAAATTGTATCATATCCACCAATGGTGTCATTTACATGTACAAGGGTTGTTCAAAAAGTTAATCTAGTATATTTGGGAAGTTATTTACAGACTGGGATAATTCAATGAAAAGGGTTTTATTTGTATTTTGTTTTCCAAATATTGCACATTGCACTTCATTAAAACATGCTCTAAATCTTGGGTAATTTTCAAGATTATCAGTGCATTATGGGATGTTCAACTCACCTCCTGCCTCTCCATTTCTTATTTCAGAGTATGTGTGAGAGCGGAACTCATCTGGTGTCAAATTGTTCCTGAAAAAATCAATTTCATTGATAAATAACAGGCACCATACCATCCATTTGTCCCTAGTTTAAGTGTAGACATAATTCCTCTTGAGGTCCAGAACATATTTACTTAATAAGAATATTTGTAAAATGGGCCTATGTATTATACTGCATATACGTTTCAAAGTTCAAATATGTATTCCTTCAATATTACCTAGTACTGTAAAATAGTGAAGTATCCTTTTCATATTTTTATCTTTTGTTATTGTATAAATTCAAAACTTACTTGGTTGGAGCTACTATGGCATCTCGGGACCTTTTCAACTTGGCTAGATTCCTCGGTGGTTTGATGGGGTACCCGTTACTCTCACACCACCCCACAGGAAAAATATGGTGTGAATTCACCCCTAGGATATGACTGCCGATCACTGTAGCAGAACTGTCCAAGTGCACGAAGATCAAATGGTGAATAATCTTTGTTATCGTGGCTGCACAAATCTGGTGAGGAGCCCTTGGATTAACAGCTTCCATTTTCATTCCTCTTTCGAAGTCATGTTCTGGGGCATGTTTCTATATGAGGAAAAAATGCAATTCTACTTGTAATGAATTTAAGGTAGGTCAAGTATAATGATTAATCTGGTTAATCAACTAGGATATTATATATAATGCACAACAAGTTATCCCACTCTGCCTAGCCTATACAGAGATAATGTGAAATGCCTTTGAAAGGAAGACAACTCATGTTTGCTAATTCAAAACTTTTTACAGATCAATTTTAATGTACTTTAATTTCTTATTAAATACAGTTGAGCAAAATTAGTCGATAATGGTAAGGAGAATCATACTTATTAGCCTGAAAATGTTTCATTCTATTTCAAATCCTAGCTACAGGCCTTATGTGTAAATAAATGTAAATGGGATCTTACCAAGTTGAAGGCATTTTCAGGGGCAGGGGTGGTTTTGGTTTCTTCCATGTATTCTTGCCAGTTGAATTCTTTATCTTTTGGCCAGCCTAAATATAAAACCATTTAAAGATGGAACAATCAATATTCCTGTGATATACATGCCATACATTAAGCTTGGAATTTACTGTGAAATTTTGAAACTGTATCCAAAGCAACACAGTCAAAAGTGAAATAATCAATTTAGAAGATTAGTCTATAAACAGGACAATCCATTAAGTTTACAAAGACCGAAATTTGTCAACATAGATAACTCACCTCTTGGGATAGCAAGGCGAACCCCATTCCATTTACACCAATCAACTGGAAATATACCAGGAGTGTTCTTATGGCAACACACTCGTAACTTTTCGGGATTGTCTGAAAGATCGTCAATCTCTGCAATGAAATAGTTTGAGTTGACGACCTCTATGACGTGTCCTGGACATACATCTGTGTGGTTATTGGTGTCGAGAACTTCCAACTTCCAACCAAATTGGAACTTGTGCTCTTCTAGTTTTTCTTGGTCCTGAATATAAATTACAATAAAATAAACAGTTTGATTTTATATCATTATATTTTTCATTGTCTTGTATATGTGTAAAGAAAGACTGAGACAAACTGGACTCATAATTAAATCTCAGTGTTTAATTGACATCAGGCTATGGCTCAGTGGCAGAGAGAGTCAAGGTTACCAATATCGCTTGGCCCCGGGTTCGATTCCCGGTTCAGACAAGTTTGTTTGTGCGTTATGTAATTCTGGGTGTTTGACTGAGTGGTTCACGACTCGTATAAAAGGCTGTGGTGTGTACCTGTATGTCTGTGTACTTGTGCACATAAAATAAAACAGGGCTCCTCCAAGGAGGGGTTTCTGGCTCTATCTTCGAGTGTAAAAATAAGTAAAATATGGAATATACCAGTGAGGTATTGCTCGCCAAATATGGCGGTAACCATGGCGGTAACCAAGATATAATAATAATAATCAGGAACACACTTCCATACACTTCGATGTAACATTTGAACTTCTCCCTACTTTTGGAACAAACATGCTATTTTCTCTTTTCCCGAGAGGAACAAAAGTTGTATATCAATCCAAGATTTAACACAAACGGTTTAACTGTTTATTGTACTATCAAATAATAATTGTACCTTGAATATATCTGGTGGCAAGATTGGTTGTTCTGTATCATCAAATATCGCATTCAATCTCTCACTCCAAGTAGCAGCATCAACTTGTAACTCTACAAAGAGAAGCATTAATAATATATACAGTATACACCAGATAATGCTTTTCAACCAATCCATTGTGTTTTTATAGTCAGGTTTATTATATTGCATTGGCCAAATGTTTAAGCCTTTTAGAAGAATTTCAGAAGTAAGCCTAATTGGGCATCTTTTGTACACATTTGCAAATGATATCAATATAAAGACTTAAGCCTCAGTCTCGGTCACATTTGCAATACAGCGGCCATAGATTTATAAAATCGACATCATATCCCTATATTTCATGCTGCATATTTCTCTAAATTTCCGAAAGTTACACCTGCCATACGGTTGCCATAGATCAAATGTAACTGAAGCTTTATTATAGATACAGATTATGTGACCAGGTTACTCATCCTTCTCCGTCTATTGTTTTTCTTTTTACTAAGAAGTTAAACCTACCTGCTGGAGGGAAGTACTGAAAGCGCTGTTCCTGACCCCATCCAAGGGGGTGCAACCTCAGGTCCAGGTAGAACAGCCAGAAGTCATGTGATGCTGTCTGTGCACACTCATAGCGAAGTAGCAAACGTCCACCAACATTCTCTAGCACCTGCAATAATGATCAGGATGGATACAATACAGATTTTTGAGAACTTGGATTGAAAAATCAGTTAATATTAACAATAAGGAGAAAAATAGTTTTTTTTAACTGAGTATTCTAACTCAAATAATGAAGAAATTTCAGCCATTTAAAGATCTGGCATGTGATCTTTCTTTCAATTAATTTATTTGATTTGAAGGTTCAGGAATGAAAGGTAAAGATTGAGTTTTATCCTTCCTTCCTCTAATAACAAGACAGGCTTCACATTCATTTACTTTATCAATTCATTTCTTTATTCATCCCCTGGCAGTTCCATTCCATTCCATTTTTTCCATTCATTTTTGCATTTTAAAACATGCCCCTCCCCTCAGATGTTCTCTATCCAGTATACCACGTTGTATCATTACCTCAACGATCCACACTGTAGTAGGTGAAAGAACATGTTGAGCCTCTAGCTTCATCCCCTGCTTAATCTGATCAATAGGTGTCGTCCCAGTAGTCTAAAACATGAACAAGTGCATTTTTAGTTTTAAGTGTTTTACCAGTTTTATCACAGTACATGTATCACAAACACAGCTAAAATGAGACTAATGAGTCTCTTTTGTAATATTTGAAAAAATTGCTTTCTTAGTGGCTCACTTTCCTTTATATCGAAACCTATTTTGCCTCAGCTATACCCCTTTTAAACATATAACAATATTATATGAAATACTGCCAGCCAGCATTGCCTAGGATGCAATGAAATCATGAAATTATGACTGTAATCAAGTGAATATACAAATACAGTGTACTGTTATTATCAGACAAGGCATTAACTCGCAAAATGTCACCATCTGTCATTTGTTACAGAGGCCAAACACTGACCACCAAACACCAACCACTTTCAAACAAACAAAAAACTGACTAGAAATGCGTCATGACACCATACCTTGTCCAGTAAGTATGCAGGGGCAGTTCTAGCCCCAGTTAGTGTGTTCACTAGGAATTCACTCCAATTGGTGTATTTGTTCTTTATAGCTGAAAAAACATATAGGACTAGAGCTATAATTATAATGGTAAAAACTTAATCTAAATTCAGATCTTGGAGATCTTTGTTCATACATTCCTTTTATCAAACATATTCAATTATCAAGTACTATAGGGGAATTTTGAAATGCATACTATTTTGACACATTTTTTATTCATACTCCACAACAGTGCACCCACTTCTAAGAAAACAACAAAAATGGCTGACGGGACGTTACTCAAAATGTAAAAGTACATTTCTCTGTTTCCTAAATAGTATTAAACATTTCTCAATTCTCACCTTCTGGGGGTTGAAGTGACTTGCCATTCTGTGCACACCACCCAATGGGATGGATATCAGAAGTTTGAATATCACACCAGAAGTCTGCAGAACTGTCCTCGCCATAACCATCATAGCGTAACCTTAGCAACTGATTACACGTCATGACAACAGATGTCACCCAATAGGTGGAGTTACTTGTCTTATTTGCAACTTCAAGTTTCATTCCCTTTGTGAATCCACTTTGTAAACTGTCTTCGACCTGAAGATAAAAATGTTTTCCTTTTTCAATGTTTTGCATAGAATGCCTACCTAAGATATATCCCATAGCTTATTTGTGGTTTATTAAATTGTTACAAGCTATTACCATGACAGTTATAACAACCATGGGCTTTCAACTAGCTATGTAACAACTGATGGTTATAAACGTGTTACAGTCACCAATGGCAAATGCTAATACTGAACTTAAATGCTGGTTACAAATAAATATGTAAGTGCCAAAGGGAAAGGACCAAAAAATGTTACAAAACAGCGAAAGAAAATCAAACATAATAGTATTTGTCTCTCTTCTATACAATATACATACATGTTTAAAGGAAGTAGGTGGCGCTGCAATAGCTCCAGTATCCTCCAGGTACTCATCCCAAACAAACTCTTCATCATTGTTATATTCTACAGGTACTCCTGTAAAGAACGTATAACGATCCCATAGTGCATCATAAATAGAGAGAGAATAGAGAATGAATATTTTTAAACAGCTTAACCATTTTTGCAAATTGAGTACAGATGTAACATTTATTTAGATCCTTTAAATAAAGAAGGGCACAGAAATATAAATTAAAACTGAATCATGGGTGTGATCAAGGGGATTAAAACTATTTATTGGGTTGGTCATGGGTTTGCGAGTAAAATTGGAAATATGTGAATCTCTCATAAATGTAGGGAGAGAAAAACCTTATAAACATGACTACTGTATATGTACGATTTCTAGGTATGTAGTTGGGAATTATTATTTTCTTTCACGCAAACATTGAAAGAAATGTTTTTAGTCTGTGGAGATCCTAAACATGCATAAAATTATGAGCATAAAGTTAGGCTTTACATCTATTGATCAAAATTTCATTTTATGCTTAACTGAAATTACGCATTTTAACAATAAGAACTTGCTCACCATTTGCTTGTTTATGTCCATCTTCATCAACATCCATCTTTTCAATAGGACCATCTAGAGGCTTTGTGTCTTGGTCTGATGACAGAACTACATTCTTGTTTTGCACGTTGTTAGTAGAAGTTGAGCTGAATTTGATTTGTGGCACTCTCAACGGACTAGGCAATGCCCGTCCAGGAGATCTTGATCTACGGGGGGATCCAGGAGATTTTGGGGGTCGTTGCCTTGGAGATATTGGTGATTTGCCTCTTGGGGCAATTTGTGGGCTTTGAAAGGCTGGCTTATGTAGATTTACTGGTTGAGACATTGTGGGTGTCGCAGTGTTTATTGAGGATGCTATTGCAAGAGGAGATGAAGTTGGGAATATTGGGTTTGAAGGCATGGGAAGGATGGGAGTATGTGCTGGAAGTTGAGACTGGGGGGATATAGAAGGGTGTCGTTGTGGGGAGACAGCAGGATGGATATGAGGGGATATTGAGGAGTGAATGTGGGGGGATATAGAAGGATGAACATGGGGAGAGGGGGTAGAACGCATATGTGGTGAAGAGGGTGTGTGGGCATAAGGGGGTACCTGGTTAGGGCCAATTATGGCAGGAGATAGGGATGGGGACCTGTTTGAGTGAGCTGCTGGGGCACTGGGAGGCATAGCCTGGGACCTAGCAGGTGGGGTGTTCTGACCCGTGCTCACTGAGAGGGGCATCATACTCCTAGGCTGACCCCCTGGATTTATCCCTCCTGGTTGAACAGGATAAGATGAGCTTAGATCTGAGTTATCTCTCATAATGTGTTGTTGCCCACCACTTATGAGCACCCTCTGGTGACCAGATTGAGCACCACTATGTTGTTGGCTGCCATTTTGTTGCTGGCCTAGACGGGGCCGTAATGCCTGCACATTAGGTACATGAGAAAGTATCCTATGAACAAATGGGGATGGAGGCTTAGAAGTCATAACAGGCATCTTATGTGCCGCACGTGGTGTCTGCTGCATACTCCTTATTTGGGGATTCGGTGATATAGCTGATCTTGGTTGCACTGCTCCTGTGTGGGCAGGAGGTGGCTGTATAGGTGGGGAGTACTTGAGACCTCCTACAGAGCCTGAGTGGGCAGGTTTTGGCTGATGGGCTGGCTGAGGGGTGAGACTAACTGGAGGTTGGTGGGACTGTTGACTAAGACTGGGGGCAGAGAGTAACCTCTGGGATGATTGGCTATGAACTGGAAGTACATTTACTCGTGGAGAATCCTGACTGACAAAACTTTGCAGATTCGTCACCATGTTCTGCATGTTATTCACAATCTGGTTTTGAAATTGTGGGGAAGGAGAGATCTGCCTTGGAGTTGGTATATTCTGGGGTTGAGTGTAGCGATTACTAGTATTCTGGTGTGCTGGGAGGATTGGTCTCTGCTGAGCTTGACCAACCATTGGCCTAGTCTGTGCTGGTGTCATGACACTCATTTTGCCTCCTGACATGATAGCATTAGATTGTTGTATGGTATGAACATTAGGCTGCTGTATTGTCTGGACATTTGATACCTGGGTAGGGTTCAACATTCTTACTCCTTGTTGTATAGCTCCGGGTTGTAAGGGACTAGCGAGAATGAACCGCTGGTTATTCCCAATGTTACCAACATTCAATGAGTTTCCCATGGTCATGACTGTCTGTTGGGCCCCAGAAGCTGCCCGTGGGGCCACCCCCTGGGGGTTGATGAATCTGATAGGGAGCTGAATATTACTTCCACTTAGCCTCATCTGTTGGGCCTGGGTGACAGGGACAATGTTTCTGACCTGTGTCTGAAAGTTTGGTGCCTGTGTCACATTTGCCCCGGGACTCAACAACGGAAAGTTTATAATCTGGAATTGTTGGTCTCCAATTTGGACTGTGTTTGCCCCTTGAAGTTGACCTTGTTGCTGACCAGCCCCAATCTGGACTGTGTTTTGAGCTTGGCTCATGGCAATTTGCACTGCAGGTGCAGGTTGGATTTGAGGTTGGTTCAATCCACCTGGAGCAGCTGAACCTGTTGCCATAGTAACATTACTTTGTTGTGTGGCAGTGGTCGCTGTAACTGACCCTTTCCCTGGAGTAGTACTAAGATTCATTTTATCTAGTGGATCTGTTGGTTTAGCATGTTCAGAAGTGGTTGTTTTCTTAGGAGGAAAAAGCGGTGTAGTGAGATCAGTCTCAATGAAAGCAGGATTGAATGGACTCGGGGATTGTGGTTCACTACTAGCCTCTTTCTGGACTTGATCTATAACTGTGTGACTGCGAACTTGATGGGTCTGATTACTTAATTGTTGATTTTGTTTATTTCCTTGTTGCATGTGATTACTCAGCTGGCTCATTTGATTTTTCATTTGCTGTAATTGATCATTTGCTGATGTCTGATAATTCGCTGGTTGTATCTGTTCATTTACTTGTTGTGCTTGATCATTATTCCCTTGTTGTATCTGATTTTGTACTTTTTGTATCTGATTATTCGCTTGTTGGGTCTGATTATTCGCTTGTTGTATCTGGTTATTCACTTGTTCTGTTTGATTATTTACTAGTTGTACCTGATCATTCACTTGTTGTGTCTGATTATTTACTTGTTGTTGACTATTTGCATGATGTTGGAAAAGATTCAGTTGTGCAAGATTAGCTGCATACTGCTGAGACTGCGAGATGTTATATTGTTGTGCTTTAATAGCCTGTTGTTGGGTGAGGACCACCTGTTGAAGGTTCCTTAGTGCGTTGGGCTGTATTGTGCTAGCTTGTAGTGTGCTAGGCTGTAGTGTGCCAGGCCGTATTGTGTTAGGCTGTAGTGTGACAGGCTGCAGAGTGTTAGGCTGCAATGGACTAGGCTGTAGTGTGCTAGGTTTTATTGTGGCAGACGGTAGTGTGCTTGGCAGTAGCGTGCTAGGCTGGTTGAATATGCTAGGCTGGACCACACAAGATGGTTTTGATAATTGCTGGATGTTCTGTAGTTGTGGGCTCAGCTGCCAGGATGTTGGAAACGTGAGATTGCCAGCTGTTAGATTACATGGAGTAATCTGCTGAGCTTGAGTAAGTCTGTGTTGAGTTTGTCCTTGTTGAGTAAGACCTTGCTGAATAATGGCTTGTTGAGTAAGATTCTGTTGATTAACTTGATTTATTCTTTGTTGAGTAAAGTACTGCTGATTCAGTCTCTGTTGATTAAGACCTTGCTGATTCAGTCTTTGTTGATTCAGGCCATGTTGAACCAATCTTACTTGGGAAGGGCCTTGTTGAGTCTGGGTTTGGTCATTCAGGCCTTGTTCATTCTGGGAAGTTGTTTTCGATAAAGATTGCTGGTTGCTTGGTAAAGATTGTGAGTTGTTGCTTGGTAAAGATTGTGAGTTGCTTGGCAAAGGTTGGTGATTGTTTGGTAAGGATTGTTGCTCTCCTTCAGATGTATTCACTTCAGGCTTTTGCCCTAGAAAACAAATTTTTACAAGTCTAAGGTATAATTCTCGACTTTAAATAAAAAGATTATTGAGTACTAAACTAGAAAAACAGCAACTCCCCCGAGGAGCAAATCTCACTGGATGAAATTTATTTTATCAAATAACAAATTTTGAACACGATGTGAATGACAGCCTATAAAATTTGAATCCAACTCGGGTGGATGCAGATGGATGGCTTCTCTATATCTCTACCAAACTACATTCAGTGGTACAACCAAGTGCCTGTTGCAACCACTTGAATTTTGAAAACAGAGTTATATTAGACCACCCACATAATGAGCCATAAGCACCTTTATGAAATTGAGAAAATTCAGGAAATATTAGGATATTTGATTAACTTTAGTTTCCTGGAAAGAAATAAAGATTATATTTCAAAATACTGAAAGATTTACTAACTTCATTCATACACATTTTCTTTTGTCTATTGAGAGTAACATATTTGCAAGATTTTTACATTAAAACGTTCCTGTAGTTCATGTATCATGTCATGAAAATGAATCCAATCAATGTTTTTCTGAATACAATGAATAGCATGCATGCAATCAGAACATTCATGTATACTCCACCGCAAACTACTATTCGGTTTTGTACTTAGCCATCCCCTTTGAAGAGCTGTCTTCTACACAATCAATAGCCAAACAATAAAATAGAAGCAACAAACATTTAGTAACATCATATGTTCATCACAATAGCCCAGACACCAACACTGTAGCAGAAAAATTGTTCTTGGAAATTATATTTGGGTTGTGCTTTTTAAATTCTGTTTTACAGTAAATGTTTATGATAAAGGGTTGGGGAAAGAATTGGGTTAAAAAAGAAATTATTTCATCTCAAAAATCAATATATCTTACAATAGAATTGAATTTTCAAGGTGTATATGTGTTGATGCTATCTTATATTAAGGAATCATAAAAAACAAGTTCTTCAACAATTTTCAGTTCTTCAAATTTTATGGTCAGCAGGAGAAGAAAGATGTTTTTTTGTAAAACATAAATATATGAAAGCACAGCCTAAATACAAACAACTTAGTACAAAATGCAAGTTAGTTATAAACAACCAAGATATCATTTTCATAAATAGATGTAACAGTTACCTGTCATCATTTGTCACTAAATAATAGGAAGTTTAAGCACATTTAAAAAAATTTTGGGTTCATAGATACAAATTGCCAGTTTCAGATTATACAGTAATTGATGTGATATTTGTAAGTCAATAAATATTACCCGTTATATAAATCAATGTACTTCCCACAATTTAACTTTCATTATTATTATCAATGAGGAATCGGGGGCTCATCTATTGTCACTTTTTATATTATTTTCAATATTTCATCCCATATTGTTTAAAAAGGGAATTATTCAAGTTCTAGTAATTGACTTCATGCAAATGCATGTATGAAACTTTGAGATAAATTAGATCTATAGCTAACTAAGTGATTCTTACTTGCAGGCAACAAATCATAGTATTCTATCACAATTAAAGCTACCAGCCAGATATATATTACTCATAATATGCAAAATGAATAAAATAATTCATGCAACATGTAAGAGGTTTTCCTTGGGCTCTAACACAACATTGTGCAAGTAACAAATCTTCCTTTGAGGCACGTATGGATCACAGAAACACAATTCCTCTAATTATCTATTAGAAGCCTAATATTCCGAGGAAGTTCTCAGCAGAGACACAATGTTGCGTACTTGAAAGAACTAGAAAACACTTAAATTCTCTCACCATTATCTGCATTACTCTGAAAGAAAACAATCAAAATAAAAACATTACTTGTTTGTTTCTTATTGTTACTTTATATGGATAAAAAGATTAGCTTTTTAAAGAATGGAATTGAATCATTTCTGATATGAACCTGATTCAAACTACAACTTACTTTTGTCTTGTAAATTAATATGTAGAACCCCCCCCCCAAAAAAAAACACATTGGTATTTCACTTGCTTTATCATCACACTTTCAATATTTCATTTGATTTCAAATGTTTTTTTCAATACATTTGAGAACTATAAACATTCAATGATCAATTTTTGAGACTTTCATAGTGTTTTTGCCAGCTATCAGGTGATAGCATCTTTCAATCAGTCAAAATAGCTTGTCTGTGTGTCATGTCCAATTAATCTGCTTCATTATTCCCAAATATCCAAAATCCATTCATTCTCAAAATTCATTGGAGGTGATATTGTTAATATAAATACGGAAAAGTATTTTTGCTTGGAAATGGTAGTGACTTTTACATTGGTATTGGTTATTTTAACTTATAATACTGCCTTTATTCAACAATACCCACATAATATGTAATATATAATCTCTTACATATTCAGCCCTAGCTGAAGATACTCTAAAGTATCTCAAGAAATGTTTTCAAACAATTTGGCTTTAGTCTATTGCTGAGAAATTGTCAAATTGCTTCTCATCTTTTGGGTATAAATGCTATGAAGTTCTCATTGATTTGCTCTGGTAAGGACTCTTTTGACATCCTAACATAATATTTACTTGATCCTTTTGATATTTTGGGATACTTGGTACAAATTTTCAGTGAAATTGGTATATCAGTTGCCAAGATAATACTTGTCAAAAGTGTCTCACTGCAGTGGCGGATCCAGGAACCAACAGGGGGGGCCCAAATTTGAGGTCAGAGAAAAAACCTCCGCGCTTGAGCGGAAAAAAATTTTGGACCCCTAAAATTAAAAAAATAAGGCCTTAGAAGGCCCGATAATGACCAAAAGGCCCACTTTTTGGGGCCTTAAGGCCTTTTTGGCCTAAAGTTTTTTTGGGCCCAACTTCTTTTTTTCTGGGCCAACCTTAGGGACATTATCTAGGATATTAGACAGGATCTAAAATCAGAATTAAAATTGAAAGAATACTATCATATTACTTTTCAAAGTTTCAATTGAAAAAATGCTACAGTCTATCAATTAAGAAATCTATATGACTGTTCACCCAAGACCTTTATGGAAAAATACATTGTCTGTAATAAGTGGAAACAATATGCAAGATATTTCAACTTGTTTTTTGTCAACATCACAACTCTAGAAATATATTCCCCAATGACTTTATTTTTATACCAGATGTTTAATAAATCAAGATCAGAATTCCAGTATAAATATTTGTGTTTATGAAAATCACCCGACCTCTATTATTGTAGTTGCTGCACACATACATATTCACTCTCAAAATGCAACATACATTTTGTTATATTCCTGGGACTCGACTGTTTTGTTATAAGGTCATGATGTACTATTTGACAAAAATAGGTCTTTGCCCTTTATGAATGAGAAAGCATAAAATTCCTTAATGAAAACCAGTAAAATACATGAAAAACTGATAAAAACGATCAATTGTTTCAATCAATTAAACGCTGTGATACTGAAGTTCATTTATTCATATATTTCTTAAATCATTGAACTCAACTGTTGATTCTCAATACCTTTTCCTATGGCACCTAAACTTTCAAATTATCAATTACAGAAAATATGAAAAAAAATCATATCTGCCATCTTTGGGTTTTTACACATGACAATATGAGTATCTATAAATCTCTTAGCCTGTAATAGGCTAAGTCAAGTGAAATGCCATTGCCAAAATACCAACATTTTACAAGAAGGAAGCTAATGTCAATTTATTCAGGATCCCCATGATGAACAAAATTACATTCTTAACTGTGACTGGGAAACATCATTTTATTTTATGTTTGTTTTACACAGCATGTGTGTCAAAGGTCAACATAACCTCTATATAGGGCAATGCGTCATCATAAAACAAATTATTTTTTCAAAGATCTTTGAACTCTTTTCAAAATCTAAAAGCTATTTTAAAGAGCTGCTTATATGAAATAGAATATTTTAATCTTCTCAAGAAAAATGTTATTTTTTCTAATTTTCTTATTTGCCATATTTTACATGGTTGCTATGAACAGCATATTGATCAGGAGGATATAATTCATGATGTCACATATTGAGTGAAATGAGTGTTCAGAGTTGCACATAACATGGTATATCTTCATTTATTAAACTAAGGGCTTTTTTCATCCATGTTTGGTTTGTGTATGTCTAAATATAAAAAACTGAAAACCAGTTGATTTTATACTGATTAGTTTATAGCAAAGAGATGTTTGGGTTATTTTGTCAAAATCTTACCCTTCAAGCAATCTCATTACAAGTTTCAATCATTAACTATATGCCAATTTGACTTCATAAGAGATAATTTGGGTTCAAAGAATGCAACCATCTTGAACATCCAAGGTACAAATATGAACTAGGGTGTGGCAAATTTGTTGATATTCTAGATTTCAATATCATTATACATGTATATCAAGAAATACTTATTTCACAAAATTCCACTTCTGATACCTATACTTTGATATTTGTTCAATCTGTAAATACAAAAAAAAAATTTAATATTCTATGAATTAGAAACAGTGAGATGAGGATTTCTATATCAGTCTATGTTAAATATTTATTTAATATACAGTTCAGTGTTATGTCGCAACAGGCTGTGCGTCAATATACACGTAGAGAAACTAATAGATATATCAGACACAGTCGTCAGCATCAGATGATTAGCTTATACTGCATCCTCATTGGCTCAGCTGAAATTAGATTTGCCATAGTGATAATACAAATGTATTGATCCAACATATTTTTGAGAACAACTTCCCCGTAAATGATTATGGATAGGTTATTATGATCATGAATATTCAAATATGGAAACGGATTCCAAGTCTCCAACACATATGTACCAAAACATCATCAGATCTGTATTGAAAAATGATCCTTAAAGACCAAGCAAGCATTTCCAAGGAAAATCTAAAATTACAGTTTTATAAGTATCATGGCTTTCTAGACTATGCTAGTATCACTGTTCTGTTTAAGAAGAAAACATATAAATATCATTTTTGATATTTAAATTCATAGAATCTTAAGATTTATTGCATGAAATATTCTTTTAGAAAAAATCATTTTTCTCCTAAAATATAAATAATTGATTGGGATCAAATTCCAGGAAAACTGAGAAAATAAATATCAGGACACAGAACTATAATATTTTTCCCTTTTAAAGCGTTACATTGATGTTCTTGGAACCATTTGTGACACATGTAGTAAATAATATTATACAGATAGTATATAATATAAGATAATATAAATAGTAAGAATGATTCCTGTACGTTGTGCTGATATTCTGTTTTTCACTGGCACAACATGTAATTTGCAGTAATTGGTTAATTACGTGTTTTTATCTTCTCTTGGTCCACAACTCAAAGCTGTTCATCCTAACATCTTTCTTACTGGAACACCTAATGCAAACACTTTTTCCTAGTCTCATTTTTTCCTTCCATTATATATCTTTTATTGACTCTTTAGATGTCCATTGACTCCCATGTTAAAAAAAATGAGAAAGTAAATATCCAATATGAATAGTGAAATGTTTTTATTTGAAAAATTAACCTGTTATATTTTAATGCAACATAAAATATCATGTTTTGTACAATATTGCAAAAATATTTTTTAATAATAAGTATTTTCATTTGGAGAAGATTTAATAAGAAGAAATTACCAATTGTATTTAATTTTGCTTGATTATTTTAATATTGTAGCGTTTTTTCTTCTCTTGCTCTCATAACTAGCCATTTTAAACCCTAAAAGTACTCTCTACATTATTGATTATTCCATAAATATTTGATAATTCAAAACTGATGCCAGGATAATTACTTCTCAATGACATCTCAATTTGATGTATTTTCTGTTCCTGATTTCATGTCTAAAAGTTCTCATAGGCGTAGTCTAGTCAGGGGTAGGGGGATGCCCCATAACTAATAAAAATAGAACCATAATAGAAGAAAAGTCAAAGAAACTGATAATAGTATAGATGTAGATTGTAGAATGTCAATATTACTTAATATTATGCAATGATACGCAGCTACATACCGAAATTTCCCATTAGTCATTTATATGATAAAGTATAAAACCATCTAATTAGGAAGATAAATGTATTAATGAGAACATATATTTAGTCATAACCATATCTAATAGTATATGTACTTGCAATAAGGCATACAATGAAAAAGAATCAATTGCATGAGGTACAGAAATAAACTATTCAATAACCCTTGATAGGCCTTGATAACCCAGCTAATGTGGTTAACTCAAATAAAGCATTCTGATTGGTTAGCATAAAATTATGCAAATTGATTTGCTGCTTGCAAATATCAAGTTCTGCCACACTTGATAAAAATAGGGCACATTCTAAATAAAAGAAACCTATTTAAAACACATTTTACATTTAAATTGACCCTTAAAAATACCAGACCCATGTATCATCTAATTGTTTCAAACATTAATATTTGGTGTAATCATTATTTACAATGCAAAATTCAGCATAAAAATACTCGCCCACTAAATTGTTGAAAACACGTCGGCCATATTTGATCCACCGAATATTTCCTTCCAGTTTTACCAATATTTCATTTTTAAAGAAACGGTATGAAACAGTGCATACAAAACCCAAATTTACCTCCATTTGCTCGACAAATATCCCATCCATTAGTTATTTATACAGTATTTTACAAAGGTTGTGTATGAGCAGTTATCTTCAGATAATTCTGTCGGGTGGGATAAATGTGATGCGAAAAAATTGTTGAGAAATGTTGCTTTTTCAACGAAATTTTATCTCTACATGTTGACAACATTTTTACCAGTAAAAACATATCTTTAGGTCATGAAACTTTAGGAAAGTATAGTTAAATATCTTTTGTAAGCAAAGGACAAAAGAAAATACTACCTGAACGGTGTTTTCATCCATTTCAGAGCAGAAACTGTGAGCATTCACATTTGTGGGTTCTCCGATTCCAAGATGGCATCTGAAGATGACCGAACGCGCATGCTCCTAAAACTTGTGACTCCAACTTTTCGAAAAACAGTTCATCTTTGAAACGTTTTGTCCTGAGGTGTCATCTGTCTAATTTGTATGATATAGAGTGATTGAATGAGAAGATAAAACTCTATTTTATGAGAAAATTGTTTCTTTGCCGAGTTTTAATTTCATCGCTGCGCATGCGTAAGGTCACCGGGTCAACTTCTTGAAATAGCTGTTTTCTAAAACTCACACATTATCTTTGTTTTCTTTGTAAATCCGCTTTACTATGAACTTCAAAGATATATGATGGTGAAACCACCATAGCAGAGCAAACGTGGGACAAATGAAGAACAGTTTTTCAAACAGATATGGCCGAAAACTCAATTTTTCAATTGTAAAAAAATTTCTGACATGGATTCTTCTGTCAGCATCAGTGTCAAAAGCTCATCCATTGAATTCATTGGAAATTCCTCAGGGATAGATGTGAAGACAGAACTGTCAGGACTAGAGGCTAGTCATTGTGACCATGGAGCCCTGCTTGGACCTCTGGGATTATTTGTTCAGGGACTTCTTGCATTCCTTGCCTTCACATCGCTCATTGGTAAGTTATTTGATGCTCACGAAAGTATTCGAGGACATAGGGGTAATCTCGGACACGGGACATTGTCGAATGATCTTCAATTATTCTTTGGTTTATCTGGTTTCTTTATTGAAACTTCAAATGAGACACATCATCATATTATTGATATAATAATAATAAAAAAAAAAAAATCATATTATTGATGTGGTGATAAGTGATATATCCGGGTGTTATATAATGTAAAAAGTCTAACAATGCCCTGGATTTTCACCTGATACCAAGGGTTTGTCTGGGAATGCCCCGTGTCTTAGAATCCCCCTATGTCCTCTCGCTATTTACGATTATTGACCACATCATAGACCTTAGACAAATATTCCTCGTGTTGTCTCTGTCAAAGGTTCATCAATGGGGTGGGGAATAAGGTGCAGGGGGTCTACATACAGATAAGATTTACAGACCCCCATAGTCTGCATCCGACACATCAGTGTCAAGATTTAGGGACAAAAATTTATGTCATTTTAAAGTAAAGCTTTTCACCCACTTCTTGGACTTATTTCACGATGCAAAGTTGTGAACTTTAATTCAGGTATTTTCAAATGACTATACTAGTATTCCTTTATATTCTTGGACTTAGATTATTTTACAAAGTGTGAAATTGTAAGGCATGTATTTTCAAAAAGCTTTACATTGGCCATTTTCCTTTACATTCTTGGACTTAGTGAACTTTTATGCAGGCATTTTCAAAAACCTTTACATTGGCGAAATTCCATTACATTCTTGGACTTAGATTATTTTGCGATTGAAAGTTATGACCTTTTATAGCATGCATTTTCAGAAAGCGTTACATTTGCCAATTTCCTTTACATTCTTAGACTTATGTTATTTTATGATGCAAGTTGTTAACTTTTATATCTTGCATTTTCAAAAAGCTTTACATTGGCCATTTTCAAAAAAAAGTTTCAGAATTTTTTGATAACTGGTTTAAGAGAAACATATATTCAGTCAATTAAAAAAAGAGTATGAACTACAGGATATTGTCTAGACCTCTCCCATACTCTTATTCCCCACTGAAGAGTCTGTGGTCTCTGTTGTAAACACTACAGAATCTGTTGATAGAGTCTTTGATAAGAAGATTCTTTGTTTCATACCCCTTTTCTTACAGGATTTAGAGTTAATTGTAAAAATCAAAAATACCTAAATACAATAACACAAAGTCAAGTAAAATCCCTGAGATCTAAAAGCACCATGATGGTGAAGGTGATTTGATTTGATTTTGATTTGCATAACAATCAATTAATCAAAATCTAATTTCTTCATGCCACCTCTGACCAATCTGTATTGAGAAATAAGATAAAGATCATAATAAAAAAGTTACACAGTATTAATTTGAATTTGATTTTCCAGTTAAGAGATTCTTGGAGCCAAAACCTGAAAGGCGACCTTGGAGAATCTGGTAAGTTGAATTTAGTGAACATGTTTAAATATTGACAAAGTTATATATGATACTAGATTAGTATTTTAATTTAATGCTGCTGTAATTTACTTTTTCATAAATAGTCAAAAATAGAATAATTTTAAATTATAAATGAAATTCTTCAGAGTTTTACAGCATAGATTGGAAAACCTCAAATATATTTTTTCATCTGTAATTTTCATGTTCACATCTTGGATGAGGAAGATAGAACCAAAATAAAATCATTTTTTTAGAAATGTCAATATTTGGATCTGGTCCCTAAATAAACACTGTCTTTATATTGCTTCATGAAAAATCTAGATAGGTTTTATTGATACCTGCTATTTTGCTATAAAGTTAAGTTAAGCCATTGAGTGTATTTTATAGACTCTCAACTCTCAAGTTCAGCACATTTCCTTGCATCTCATATTTTATAAATTCAGGGAGCATTCTCATGTCCTTGACAACTAAATTTATGTTTGGAACCTTTTTCTTTATCCTAATTTACCTTCTTGTATTTAGTAATTCTTAAATCAATATTTCAAAGTCTCATTTTGTTCAAGTTCCATAAAATGATATTACGCTTGGATTCTGAAAGCACTTGTTTTTTAACTTATGTTATATATATTATTATATAATGTATTTATTATCAATTTATATAACTAAGATATGATTGTAATAATTCAAATTATTATGGCAATATATAGAGCATGCTTTGTATTTTAGGTTCTATGATACCTCTAAACAAGCTGTAGGTGCTGCTGTTATACACTTTGCCAATGTCTTTCTAGCTGGTGTCTTCACTGGAGATCCATGCACTTGGTATGTACTATATCTTAAGCATTTCAGAATTTTTCAAATCATGATTGAAAATTGGTATAATTTTCAAGGCAAGAATTTCCTGATGCCAATCTTTTTCTGAATTTTGACATTATAGTATTACAGTATGTAGTATGATAGGGCAGATAGATTGAATGTTTACACTTATATGGCTATTTTTTTTAATATCATTTATGTTCTGTTGTTCTACTTTAATATTGACATAATTGACCCTTTTCCATATGGAAAAATAGATGGCATCATTGGTATTAATAGGGCTAAATAACATTGTAACTTAATAGCAAGAGTCACTTGATTTAACAAGTAATTCCATTTGGATCAACTTAAAACACCATTGGAATGTAACTACATGTAGATGATATTATTGATATGTGGATTATGATTTTATATTAAAATTGTGATACTTAGAAGAGCAAATGAACTTTTAAGGTTTTTCAACATTGTGTCAATGGGGCTTTAGCCCCACCATTTTTAGAAAACTTGAAATCTCTAGAATTTGAATAAAGGTAAATAACAGTGCAAATCAATGTTGTTTTGATAGAAAATTACACACAGAATTCAAATACACCATCAAATAGAAGAAAATGTTAGTCTTTAGTGGTTAAAAATGTAGATCTCCTAAAATCTCATTAAAAATGAGACTTAAACAGGATTTCAAAGCTTCACCAAAAAAAAGTTTTGCTAATTTTGCTGGCACAAGATTAATGACCAATCTTTAACTGACACACTATGATGGGTCAGTAATCTCGTGCCGGCACAAGGTGTGGCAACCCATCTTGTGCTGGCACAAGATTAATGACCAATCTTTAACTGACACACTATGATGGGTCAGTAATCTCGTGCCGGCACAAGATATGGCAACCCATCTTGTGCTGGCACAAGATTAATGACCAATCTTTAACTGACACACTATGATGGGTCAGTAATCTCGTGCCGGCACAAGGTGTGGCAACCCATCTTGTGCTGGCACAAGATTAATGACCAATCTTTCACTGACACACTATGATGGGTCAGTAATCTCGTGCCGGCACAAGGTGTGGCAACCCATCTTGTGCTGGCACAAGATTAATGACCAATCTTTAACTGACACACTATGATGGGTCAGTAATCTCGTGCCGGCACAAGGTGTGGCAACCCATCTTGTGCTGGCACAAGATCAATGACCCATCTTTAATACCAGACTGTTTGTGACCTCCCTCGACATGTCAGCTGGTTAAATATCAATTCCACAATTTAATTTTTCCAATTCCCTGACTTATCTTAGTTTGTTGTTTCATTTCTGCAACATTTTACTTCTCATGGAGGCCTAGGCCAACATAAACCAAAATATACCAAACTAGTTAAATTCTAAGCATAGAATTATTCTAATTTTAAAAGAGACGCTGTTTTGTATATTTTAGGTACTTTGTTAGCTTCCTACTTGACTCCACCATAGGTCTTGTTGTCATCTATATTCTACTGAAACTTACCCAAGTTGTTGTTAGGCGGAAACACTGGGATACACTCAAGTTTGGAGAATATGGTAAGCATGGCAGTAGGCATACATGTACTTCACTTAGTAGTAAACTTGGATTTTCAATAGATAAAGTGGATTAATTTTTATATAAGCTTTTTGAGTTTGATAATTATATTATTGAAAATATGCCCAGAAAAAATTCATGAAGAAAATATATTTCACTAATTTCTTGTGCTTAGAACATAGACTCTATCTACCTGACCTAAAAGTCACATTTTCAAAGAAATTAAACTTTCAAAGTTGAGATGTAATTTTATATACATATTCGAAATATGATATCTCTTTGACTAAATTTTAAATATTTAATGACGCAAATAACCATTATTTCTTCTTCCATCTCGTCATCTTTCATCAGGACAGTAGCATTACCTAATAATACCAAACAGTTACTTATATATCCATCAAGCAGGCCCAGCCAGCCAGCCTATCCAATAATCAATGCATTCTTCCACCTTGTCAAGTCTGTTTTTATGTCACCAGTGGTGGTTCCTAGACGGCGGTCGTCATGAGTAACAAATGGCAGGTGGTGACATTTTGCATGTTAATGCCTTGTTTCAACATAACATTACAACATAATTATCTTAGATCCTTACATAACAATAGTACAATAACGTCATTTCTAAGGGCGATATAGTGAAATATTGGACCGAGGGCCGAAGGCCCAAGGTCCAATATTTCACTATATTGCTCGCAGAAATGACGTTATTAGTATTATTACCACCGTTAACGACCATGACTGAAACAGCAAGAAAATCTTACGCATAATTTAATCTAATTTCCCGGGGAAAATTGCCGGTCCAGAATATATTCTAGACCGGTTCATATGGACCACCACTATGACGTCACACATTTCTCAGGTCGATATAGTAAAATAATAATAATAGCATTTACTAATTATTATGCTAAAATGTATTTTCATTCCTTTTAGGAAAACCACCTGCGTGCAATGCCTGGATTGGTCAGAGTGCCCTTTATATTCTTGTTATCATTGTAGAGAAAATTATCATGACTCTCTTGGTGCTGCCATCATTTTGGGAGGAGGTAAATAGATTACTATTTTGAAAATTATTTATCTAATATTCTGATATAGCAAATCAAGTATCAATATGTTGAAATCACTTTTCGTTGTGATATAAACAATGACTTGAAAATTCTTCAATCCAACAGCTATAATGAGAACATTTCCATATTTACTCAAGTAGACAATACGAGAACACTTTTTTCAAGGCATGAAAATTCCTTATTATTGTTGAAAATTATCATGTGACAAGACAGAACTTTTTGACTCATTAACTCTTATAAGAATCCAATATTGTATTATAAAAGTATGTGATGTAATTATTGTCTAATACTGTATCTTGCATTCTTGTATTTGTAATGATTGCTTGTACTTACAATAATGTTTATTTTCAGGTTAGGAAGTTCATCATGTCACCCATCAAGAGCCCAAAACTAGAACTAGTCATAGTTATGTTCATAGTGCCACTAATTATCAATGTGAGTAGGTTTTTTGTCAAAGTTATGTTCATAGTGCCACTAATTATCAATGTGAGTGGGTTTTTAGTCAAAGTTATGTTCATAGTGCCATTAATTATCAATGTGAGTAGGTTTTTAGTCAAAGTTATGTTCATAGTGCCATTAATTATCAATGTGAGTAGGTTTTTAGTCAAAGTTATGTTCATAGTGCCACTAATTATCAATGTGAGTAGGTTTTTAGTCAAAGTTATGTCCACAGTGCCACTAATTATCAATGTGAATAGGTTTATAGTCAAAGTTATGTTCATAGTACCACTTATTATCAATGTGAGTAGGTTTTTAGTCAAAGTTATGTTCATAGTGCCATTAATTATCAATGTGAGTAGGTTTTTAGTCATAGTTATGTTCAAAGTGCCACTTATTATCAATGTGAATAGGTTTTTAGTTGTAGTTATGTTCATAGTGCCACTAATTATCAATGTGAGTAGGTTTTTAGTCAAAGATATGTTCATAGTGCCATTAATTATCAATGTGAGTAGGTTTTTAGTCAGAGTTATGTTCATAGTGCCACTGATTATCAGCGTGAGTAGGTTTTCAGTCAAAGTTATGTTGATAGTGCTACTTATTATCAATGTGGTTAGGTTTTTAGTCAAAGTTATGTTCATAGTGCCACTAGTTATCAATGTGAGTAGGTTTTAGTCAAAGTTATATTCATAGTGCCATTAATTATCAAGGTTTTTAGTCAAAGTTATGTTCATAGTGCTACTAATTATCAATGTGAGTAGGTTTTTAGTTGTAGTTATGTTCATAGTGCCACTAATTATCAATGTGAGTAGGTTTTTAGTCAAAGATATGTTCATAGTGCCACTAATTATCAATGTGAGTAGGTTTTTAGTCAGAGTTATGTTCAAAGTGCCACTAATTATCAACGTGAGTAGGTTTTCAGTCAAAGTTATGTTGATAGTGCTACTTATTATCAATGTGGTTAGGTTTTTAGTCAAAGTTATGTTCATAGTGCCACTAATTATCAATGTGAGTAGGTTTTAGTCAAAGTTATATTCATAGTGCCATTAATTATCAAGGTTTTTAGTCAAAGTTATGTTCATTGTGCCACTAATTATTAATGTGAGTAGGTTTTTAGTCAAAGTTATGTTCATAGTGCCATTAATTATTAACTTGAGTAGGTTTTTAGTCAAAGTTATGTTCATAGTGCCACTAATTATCAATGTGAGTAGGTTTTTAGTTGTAGTTATGTTCATAGTGCCACTAATTATCAATGTGAGTAGGTTTTTAGGCAAAGATATGTTCATAGTGCCATTAATTATCAATTTGAGTAGGTTTTTAGTCAGAGTTATGTTCATAGTGCAATTAATTATCAATGAGTAGGTTTTTAGTCAGTTATCATAGTGCCACTAATTATCAATGTGAGTAAGTCTTTAGTCAAAGTTATGTTCATAGTGCCACTAATTATCAATGAGTAGGTTTTTAGTCAAAGTTATGTTCATAGTGCCATTAATTATCAATGTGAGTAGGTTTTTAGTCAAAGTTATGTTCATAGTGCCACTAATTATCAATGTAGTAATAGTTATGTATAGTGTCACTTTTTAATGTGAGAAGGTATTTAGTCTTATTTACATCTCCAAAACTTGAAAAATTGAGCCAAATAAAAAATGATCATTGAAAAGACAATAAACAACCTTACTATTAATTATAATATATTTATATGATTAGATTATTATATCATATCAACACAATTTGAGTGTATCCTGTTTAGTTACAATCATAATGAAATTGAGTAAAGAGACCTTAAATTTAACTTAAAATAAAATATTTATCCAACTGCATTTTAATCAAAGATGACATTATTTTTCAGGCTTTTATGTTCTGGGTCGTAGATAATTTCCTTATGCGGAAAAGTTGGAAGTCACAGAGCATGACAACTTTGGTTACTGCAGATTCTTCAGGTGTCAAGTACTTTAAAGCTGTTGATAAAGTGAAATATTACAGTAAGTCTGAAAAGGCTGATGAAAGTGAATCAGACATTCTTTTGTCTGTTGATGAAGATCAGGATACAAGGCACAGGACTAATGGTAAAACAGGAAGTGACTCGGAGACAGCCTTTTTCGGTAATGAGGTCACATAACATGAAATTATCTGGAGTGGGAGCAGTTTGGTATTATGATTGGAAATACTGTTTAAAGCTTCATGTTGATTTAAATGGAGACTTGAAGCTCTTTTAAACAACATTACACGTGTAGACTTCAACTCAGTGCAGATGGCGATTAATCTAATGGAGGGAAAACAGCAATACTTGGAGTTAGAGTAAAAAGGTTAAAGATGTAATACTTACTGCAATATTTAAATACATACTCAAGTATGCATATTTAGAGAAATAACATGCATATTATGATATTCAAATAGAACAGTATATATGCCACACTCTATCTGGGCTTTTTGCTCTTCCGAGCTTTAAATATGGAGAATAATATCTGGTTGTGCAGGATATATCTGTGAAATACAATATAATGCAATACAAAACATGTACAATAAAGACATATCTTGTATGATAAATATCCAATTGATTGACTGGCATGAAAGGTCTATGTGCAATATGGCAAGTGATTTTTTATGGTGAAAGATATTACTAAAATCACTTGCCATACTGCACATGAACCTATCTTACATACATTTGGTTATGTTTATTAAGCATATCAGCTGGTCACATTCCTTTAATTAATAATTGAAGCTCTTTACTTTGCTTTCTTGCATATTTATTTTGTAATTTATGTAATCATTTATTTCATGTGTAAACTCTACTGTGTGCAAGATTTAGTATTATCATTTACTTGAAGAATTGTGCCAAATTATTTTCTGCCAGTCAAAATGATTGGTAAGGGTTGTCAAACCAATTAATGTGTCATCTGCCTGTCAAGCTTTTTTTAATTTATGGCTATGGTCAGTTTAGCAGCCACCTGAGGTGTTTTTAAATCCATCTTTACTAACTAATAGTACTTTACTATTTTTGAGTATTCATCACTACAACCATGGGCTTTCAATTAGATTAGAGTTGAAAGCCCATGCTATAACCCTTGTAAATATGCATACATGGCTGGGATATAGGGAATATAATGGCTTAAAAGTATATGTACAGATTTCGTCTACCAGGACGCCTTATTAAGTCCTCTAATAGCCCCTCAATATTGTAATTATATAATCTGATTCTAGGATAGTGAATTTAAGCAAAGTTTTAGGGTCAATCAATATTTCTAATAGAAAAATATCCATTGTTATGATAGTGTGACCCCCATTAGATTTATTATGAGTATTGTACGTGTATTATAGAGCTGTCACACTTAGGCCATGTGGGCTCACCATTCAGCGCTATGTTAATACTTTGGGGCAAGGGATGGATACGTGGTGGGCAAAACAAATAGTTTTGCAGCAACACTGAATACAAAAATTAAGTAATTGAAAATTGAATGCCACATATTGGCCAACGGTAAGCTCACACAGTTAATGTGACAGCTACATTAGATAGAATGCATCCATTGTACCAAAGACTATGTGAGAATCAGCACATAATACATGTCTAAAGATATATGGTAGAACATTCAAAGAACTATAAAATGAGAACCTAATTAATGTAATTTTGTGGAATTTTCATCAATCTATGTACTTTATGTACAAAATAAGTTAAATTCATAATTTAATTGGAGTTAAATTCAATTGACCAAAACGTGGGTTCACATAAATCAGTGATCTCCCCAGAATTTTTTCTAAGGTGGAAGCAAAATTCTCAATTTTTAAAATTGGTCAAAATATGCCAATTTTTCATCATTTTTAAGTAGGTGCAAATGGATTTTCAGGTGGGTGCAAGCCTACATGTATTTTCAAAATCTCAGGTGGGTGCTGTCCCCACTTGCTTTAATGCTGGGGAGATCACTTTAAATAGATAAATAAAAAATGAATATTACTTTAAATGTTGATATTTGCATGCAAAGATTCTCACTTTGATAATACATTTTCATACATGTAATACTAATACTTTTGATATTGATATCATACAATGATGAATTAGAAAGTAATAATGCGGAAATGATTTTTGTGTCTGTGTATCTTTCTCAATTAGCTTCTAATATTTTTTTTTCTAATATAGAATTGTAAAGTAAAGAAGTTGTGCTAGATCTAGTATGAAAGATCTATTTTTGGAAGTTTTTAAACAATTAAAATGCTCATAATGCATAATGCAGTATATTGACATACCATAAGTGTATTTTGATTACCAGTATGAAATTGCTATTAGTTACCTGTATTTAGTACGATTTAGTCTGTACTTACAAAGGAGTATGGAAAAGAGACATTGGGAGATGTCTGTTTTTGAATATTACAAATTAAAACTCGAGGTCTAAAAATCTCAAAATGCAGAAAATAATTTTTTCATGATGATATTAAGATTAAATTTCAGTGCTACATTCATATTAGCCTTCCTGAAGTTGGTATTTTTTACTTACCTGATCTTAAATTATTATCGCCTTGTACTGTCTAATGCATCACCGCTGATATTATGATAAGTTATTCAGCTGTTTCGAGATTTCCATAATTCCTACGCTGTCAGGGGTATTGCAAAACTGTATTGATAGGCAAGATTGCGTGGACATGACGTGTGACTTCAAGGCTGATTGACCGATCGAAACGTTATCAAATTTACCTGCATAAATCTTGAGTTTTTCTTCAATATATTAGTTACAATATATTCTGTAATTAATTGTACATTGGAATGCAAGCAGGCATAATATAAATTTGAACATGACTGTATTCGCACCTTCTATAAACTGTAAACAAAGTCAACATTTCACCCGGGGTATATTTGCGATCAATAGACCTCAGGGCAGGGGTAATATTGTTGAATACACCCCTTAGGGCTAGGCATGAAAGCTTTCGAACCCCTCACTCCTTTTGGTCATTTGGGGTACAGAAAACATTTGTGCTAGCCCTGTAGGGTGTATTCTACAATATTACCCCTGCTCTCTGGTCTATATTTCTTAATTAAATCATGTGATTTAATATTGATTTAAAACTGAATTCTCGATGAAAATGCACGAAGACCTACTCCATATAGTCCTCGATCTGATTAGGTTGTTGACCGGCACGGAATCTCAGCATAGATCTAGCTATCATGTTTGAGCGATTTTTTCAATGATTTTTGTTGAAATCTTCTCACCTTCAGGTATCTGATCGATGCTCCCACATCCACTAAATTCTGATTGATATTTATCTGGTAAAATATTTGTATTTTCATAATAAATTATGCAAGATTTATTCGTGAAAAGTGCATTCGTTTTGACTGTGCATAATAATGAGCTAACGCTGCAGGGCCGCCGTTGATTGGTCAAAACCGACATAAACATTGGGTCGGTAAAGCATATGGCTTTCTCATTGGTACAAAGCGGTCATATAATATAATAATATAATAATAAATATAATAATAATATAATATAATAATAGAAATCAAGATAAGTAAAAGAGACTGACTTGGGCAAGGCTACATTCATATCATTTTATCCTTTTAGATTATTCCAAATTCAAATGAATTCCATTATTTTCAGACATCAAACACTATTGCATTCCATAATGGAGTAACATGCAATAAATTATATATTACTGTATGCATAATGCAAATTTTATTGTATATATCAATGAATTCCACCGGATGTGTCAAAAGTGCTTTAAATTGTACATAAAAATCCAGCCTTGAAGTGTATAAAGATTGGTTGGTATATAAGGTGTTCCTTAAGTATTAAAACTTACAATTATTTACTCGAGCAATGCTTAAAGTATATGGTTGGAAGGAAGTTAGGGGTGCTTTATTGTGGGCTCCACACCCTCTTAACTATCTTTCGAAGAGAGTAGATGCTAAATCCTCTAGAACATTTGCTCTATGACAGGCGTGCGACAGCCGTAGCTTCACAAAATTGGTATAGAGAATCTACAGCGTACTGTTTATCCTTATATTTTATGCTGCAAATTTCTCTTGATTTTGGACAGCTATGGCCACCACAAGGTTGCCTTAGATCAAATGCGACTGAGGCATTAATCTCTTAGAAGCATTGGAAAGAGGGACTCAGAAATTGTAAATACTAGAATTTTAGAATGTACAGTGTGTATTATAGCATGCATTATGCTGGTAATGGATAACATGTATTATCTTATCAATATTACAAATACAAAGCAGAAGCCTGATATCATATGATGATTTATTAAACAAGGAAATGCAATAATATAGTGAAATGATATATTGTTTGTTTTATTCATTATTTTTCCTTTTGATATTTAATGATTGAAATGCACAAGTCATTGAAGACCTTATTTATGGCCTTTAAAACAATTGGTATGTGGAGTTATCCATTGTTTGCAAAAAATCTGAATAAGCTGGGTCACTTTCCACCAGTTTTTGCTTCCACATTGAAAAATGTATCAATTTTAAAAGGAAACAATGGAGGGTTCAATTTACATTAAGCTCATGACTTAAATGAATTTGAGAAGTTCCACTTGATTATTAGGGAGGTCAGGGGTTTCATATTAGCAACAGGTGATTTTAACTGGTTGTTTTTTTTCACAAAATTGCTTGTTGCTTTAGGGACATTTTCTGTTGTTTTCATTAAGTTTCTGTTGTTTACATTAAGTTTGTGGCTAACATGAATTGGAGAAGTTCTACTAAGGAGGTGTTCATTCATATCTCTAATGAATGTGAAAATACCTCTTAGGCTTTAATAACTCCACTTCTTGGAGATGCCTCTACATTATAATATTAAATAGCAATCTTTACCCACAGATCCAGAGCCAGATCCAGCCCCTATTGGTAGTAGGCTCAAAGAATAAATGGGAAGATAAGACACAAACCAAGTATATTTATTGAGCCTAGACACCAAGAAGGGGTAATTTGGCAGAGGTCTGTGTGTTTACCATAAAAAATTATGTTTGTGGTTGTAAACATAATGTTGTAATTAATAGTTGATGGGTTCATTGTGTGATCTTATAGCTTCCAATGCAAGCAGTATACAGCTGAAATGTGTTTGGGGTTTAGTTCATAATAGTGAAGTAGGTAGAAACTATATGCATACATGTACATGTACTTGTAAACTATCAGGAAAATATTAATGCAATAAAACAAGTCAGGTGTTCAATATTGTTTTTATTACTTTATTTTTTACCTCAGTGCTAGTACAGGTGTATATAAATGTCATCCAGTAAAAATGGAGGATTTTTTTTATTTTAAAAAACAAGGAACGAATTTCAAAATAGAATGCGGGGAATAAGTACATCTTTACCTTGGGTATCGAAATAAAATAATTTACTGTTCTGTACATTAGAACCATTACTAAAAGTTTAAAATATGAATTAAAATCAAATCAGTTATACTCGAGTGCAAATACCCACAAAATGGTGTACAATATACAACGCAATACTTCAAATGGGAACCAATACATGATTATGGTGCCTGTTTTTCATCTTTTTAGTAAAAGAAGCTGGCAACAAAGGGTAGACATGATTTAGGTAACATTTTAAAAATTTCTCACAATGTTACTTTGTGTGGTCATTGCATTCATTCCTTGTCATGACTCCTTTAAAATGCATAAAAATGTTTTGATTTCACTTTTAACATTTTAGATGCTTTATCCTTCACTGTCATTTTATCCTGTCTTAATGAGGAAGCGTGAATGTGTATAAAGCATGTAAAAGTCACTATAAAATGTCACTTAAAATCCAATAATATCCAGAAAGCCCATGAATTCCTATTCATGAAGCTATCAACCCATTCTTTATTTTAAGGGCTTTTAGAAGTGTTTGTAATTTTCAAAGCAAAGTCAAGTGATCATTGTGAATGTGTGTCAGAATACATGTATGTGTATTTATGAAAGTACAAGTTCAAGATCCTATGGAACGGAAAATAATTCTTTTAAGGTGTTGGTGTTAACATGTCATGATCTTCAAATTCTGTTTAAGCCATTTGCATTGTAGGATACAAAAGTATTATTGTGTTATTCACTTTAATCAATCTGTGTCTCTGATCTGCTAACAATGTACACGTCCATTGTTTTTAAGTCATGCCAGTTTCTGTGTCAACCTCATAAGGAAGTCCGCTTCCCAAGATTGAAGGATATCACAGTTGGTTTCTGCATCAAAGGTTTCAACATCAATCGATTCACTTTGTTGGTTGCAATTCTTAAAGTCATCAATCATGCCCTCGAGGTCATATTCCAGTTCTGAGTTAACAGAGGCATCATTCTTGTTTACAGTGTCTTGTTTTGTTAGCAAATGAGTTGATTTGGCAAAGCTTGTGTCAGTGCTATCACACATAAACGCAGAATCATCAATTTTGTTATTGCTGGTGTAATTTGTATGCCCCTGATATGAATCATGTATGGGGTTTACATCTTCTGTTCCTTGGCTTTTCATTGCATCATCAAACTTGGTGTTACATTTTGTATATGAATCATCTAAAGGATTGATACCTTCAACATTGTGGGTTTCTGGTGTTTGTTCATCAAATACAAATACTGGATCATCCTGAGCCAAAGGAGTGCAATCTGCATCATTAATCACATCATCAGGCTCACTTGATAGAGAATTTAGGGCAACTGCAGTTCTCGTAAGCAACATGGCTGTCATGACCTCAGTGCCAACTCTAGGTGCCATGGTAACATTTGCTGTTGTTGTGGCTGGAACTGTGTTTACTTGTGCTTCCATGGCTATATTACCCCCTAGTGCACCATTTTTCTTTAAAACCCCCATGGCTTCTTTAGCTGGTGCAATGGCAATATTTGGTTTTGGTGTGGTTATATTTGGTGGTGTCCAAGCTTCGTTATTTGTTGTTATGTTGGGCATCCATGTTGGTTGACTGCTGGTTGAGTTCTCTGTGTATTGTTCATTAGTTGTTTTGTATGTTGGAAAATGTGTATGAGCTTTTCCTGTTGATTGTGATGTCACAGCAATTGTATTATTTTGCGTCACATTCTGCCGTGTCTCTGGCTTTGTGTTCTGATATTGGGACATCAATGTGAAAGCAATTAGATGGTCAATTTGACGATTGTGCTGGTTTGGTGTAAACTTTGAGTGGCGTGCCAAATCAGTTCTATATTGACATCCAACCCATCCTGGCGCAGAGACATTTCTACGTCTGTCTGTGGTATCAGCGTTTGAGTCGGGATGGTACCAGGTATAGAAGTCACAAGATGAAGGCCATCCATGTTGATCATATGATGGGTTAATGTGCCCAATGTTTTGAGATGATTGACCAGGATTTTGATATAACTGACTGGGACTTTGATATGACTGATAAGGATTTGGATATGACTGATTGGGACTTTGATAGAGCTGACCAAGATTTTGACATGACTGAATAGGACTTTGATGGCCGTTACCAAAATTTTGATAAGGCTGAATAGGACTTTGAAATGACTGACCAGGATTTTGGTATGATAAGTGAGTGTTTTGATATGACTGGTCAGGATTTTGATATGACTGACCAGAACTCTGATATGGGTGACAAGGCTTTTGATATAACTGACCAGAATTTTGATATTGACCAAGATTTTGATACATTTGACCAGGACTTTGATATTTTTGACTGAAATTTAGATCAACAACTAAAGGTAGTTGTCCAGCATTTTTATTCAAATACTGATTGTGGATTTGTAGATCATCAATCTTTGTTTTTGCATCAAAATTAAATACTTCTTGATGATCAACACTTTGGCTCATTTGATAGTTGTTTATGTCATTGTTCTGAGTTATATCCTTTGAATGTGCAACATCTTGCATGGGATAGCGTTCTTCAAATGAGTTTTCATCTGCATCTATTAAATCCAGATCATCCTCTATATTTTTACTGAAGCCATCAAGAAGATCTACATACTTCAAGTACTTATCGTGATTATATTTAACTGTCTTTGCAGTGGAATGTATTCCTGTGTTGGGTTCTTTGGCATTTTGCTTGTAGTACTCAACTGTGTTTGTTTTTCTATGTATGGTGGGGACATATATGGTCGGGTCAGTCTTTACTTGAAGTCTGCCATGTGATTGTTGTAGGATTTCAAACTTTGGTCTTGGTGTGTCTTGCATTAGTATTGGTGTATTATCCTTTGGCATTGGTGTGTCATGCTTAAAGTATTGTGTGTTATCTTTTATTGGTGGTGCTTCTTGAAATTTAGGGTACACATATTTGTTTACACAATACACATTAGTGAGGTCACCCAGTGGTAAAGTATCATCATTCTCATTCGAAGTGGACCCAAGATTTGGTTCCAAATTGTCAGTGTTTTCCCATTGATTCCCATTGGTCGTGCTGTCTGCTTTCACACCTAGGTCATCTGGGATTGTTTTGTCATCCAGCCATTTCTTGAACTTGGCTTTATCCTTGATCTTTTTGTATGTCAGCATAAAGGATGTCTTGTTAGACTTGTAGATGTGTCGCTTGTTTGTAAACCAGGCCTGCAATAATAAAAAATAAATAAATAAAAATAATAAAAGCCCCCCCCCCATAAAAGCAATTAGCAAGAATAAATCTTGATAGAATTCCAGAATTTGTCATGAAAACCATCACATCCTGGATGCATTTGTTTTAATCTTAAACAATAAGTATTCACAATCTTTGTTCAAAGTGGAGTGGATAATCACTCTTTAACAGATAGGTATTTTGCAAAGGTTTTTAGAATATTTATATGGATATTTATTTATATAATGGATATTATCTTTTTAGTTCGCCAAGAACATCATAATCACATCTAGAGATATTGAGAAGATTGACCATGTGTACAACTTAACAACCACACAGTGTGTATGTTAGGCAGGGGAAGAAAACAGTGAAGCCAAATTTAAAAATGATGGTCCATTTCATATGAAAATGTTGGTGACTGTGATGGCAGTGTGTTTGTTGATTGACAATCTAAATTGTTGAATATCTTGAGGAGGGACATCTTATTACATTACAATGTATCTTAATGAAACAAAATAGGAAAATTGTTCATGACATTCTTCAATAAGCTTCTTTTTGTTTTGTTTTTTGAGGTACTTCATTAAAATACACTCATTAAAATGTTCTATTATACTAGTGATTTGCAGAATAAATATTTTTTAAATAATAATAATAATGCCCCTGGTTTAAATAGTAATAATAAAAAATGCCCCAGGGCTTTCAAAAGAGAAAATATTTCTTAATGAACTTAGATGAGTAAAAGTAAGAAACTCTGGTACAAAATCTTCATAAAATCTGACCATATTCAACCAGAAGCTTATTTACATTTACAAATACATATCTTGCTTCAATATCTGTACAAATATACACTAACTGTCTTCAAGTATATTCACACATGATATCAATCAAAGTTAAAGTGAAAAAATACCTTAATATGCTTTGGTGATAATCCAGTGGCATTGGATAACTTGACCAGTTGGGGCTCTGTTGGGGTTTGGTTCTCCAGAAAGCCTTCATACAGCATCAATGCCTACAGGTATTAAGGGATATTCAAATAACATATCTTAATACAATATTTTCACATACAGCTTTCACACATAGCTAGGGATTCATTGTCACCTTTCAAATCAAAATGCAATTTACTGTGTGAGGTCTCACAACCTTAATGCATAAATCCAATAAATTCCTTCTGTTTTGTACATGTCAGGGTTTTTACCCTTGTAAAATGTTACTTGATCCCATTGGTTAGGGTCGTTCTGTATGTTCAGAGATTTTAATGACTTCCTAATTGGAGTCCAATGTTATTTTCAGGTGAACATAACTTATTCCATACACGGACTACATCTTTGAGATTTGCATAAATAGTGCCCAAATATATCTAGATTATTGGTTGAGCGTTTATATATATTCTATATTCATTATGTAAATTGAGAAAATTCAGTGACATTTTTTGAACTTTTATAAAGTAGGTCAGATTTTTCTAAATTTTCACTCAACTAATAATCTAGGTACTCTTTGCACTACACTGAAAAATGTGGACCATGTACAGAATGAGTAATATGTACCTGGAAATAACACGAGACTCCAATTAGGAGGCCAATAAATTTCTGAACATACATAATTACCTTAAATGAAACCATGGGAAAGCCCATGATGAAACTGAAAAATGTAACCATTTCAATGGCGTTAGTTTTTATGTCACAATAGAATACATGCATTGTCTCACTAATTAATTTTGGTAAAAGGATTTCAATAAATAATGGATATAAACCAATTCATTCAACTTTGTAATGATCATGGTAAATATTGCTTGCATCCCTTGGCAAAATATTGATATCTTCCCACTGTTCTCTCTTTTTCAAATGTTGATATCAATATTTTCCATTGCGGTATACCACCCTATGCCATGGTCACATTTGCTCCGATCTTCAACACTGTTACCCAGCTGGTGAGTATTTTGTTCACAACTGAATGCAATTTTTAACAAAATACTCATCTGCTGGGCACCAATACTGAAAAACAGAGCAAATGTGAAAACAGCATTACTCATATATTCATACTTGTATATTTTACAAACCTGTTCTTGCTTTCTGTTATCTTTGGCATTTGTTTTCTTCTTGCTTGACTCTTTACTGAAAACAAGTTTCTTCCGCGGTTTTGGTGAAGATTGTTCAGTTGGTTTCTGTATGCTATTTGACACATGTGTCATGAGTTGAGCCATTGGCTGAATTGTAGGTAGAGACAATGGTTGCATCTTCTGTTTGATTATATATTGAGACATTGACTGTGTCATAGGTTGAACCATAGGTTGTACCTTGGGTTGAGACAATGGTTGTGTCATTGTCTGTGGGACTGATTGGGGGAATGACTGAGGTATGGGCCGATCAATATATTGCATCAATGGTTGAGACAATGGATGTGCCACTGGTTGAGACATTTGCATAAGCTGAGACATTGATTGTGCGCCTGATTGTGATACCACTTGAGACATTGACAAAGATTCAGATTGTGATGTCACTGTCCTGCTAGATGACTTCATAGGCTCATGGGTACATCGTCTTTTTCGTGGAGGTGGTTGATGGCTGGGGGACTTGGGCATGTGTGTCCAGCTCCTCAGGTTGTAGGCTTTCTGCATAATGCGATCCCTGTTTGCCTTTGGTGTATTCGACACATGTGTTGTGGCACCCAGTTGCCCTGAAACATGCAAGAGAAACTTTCTTTCACAACGTACTCTGTATATACAGTACATTACATTTTTTCAAATCTCAAATATAAAGTCAGATTTGAACTTCCGAGAACTTGTAGATGATTTTGGAAAAATTGAAGTCAGTCTAAACAGTGTTTGTTCATTCTGATACTCATAGCATCTTTCTGTTTCACCTAAAACATGTTCTGATATTATGATGCCTATTCTGTGATCTGAGCACATCAGATAGGAAGAGTTATAACTTTCAATAAGTGTGATAGTTATTATGTAATCATTTACCTTAATGTCAATACTTTACATGATAGGCATTTTATTTATAAGAGCAGATATTGGAACAGGCACAGGTACACACATTTTAGCCCAAAAATCCTCAATTTTGGGCTCTCCTGGATCGCCAAATCAAGCTCATTATATCATGGCATCTCAGGGCTGAGAAGAAATGAGATGTCATGGTTTATCATGATGGTGCTTGTTAAGTTATTGGAAGTTGTAAGAATTTGATACAGATGCTGACAACTGGATGCCGACGTCAACCTCTGGATGCCAACTGCTGTCACAAAAAAGTTAGAGACAAAAAAATATGTCAACACTTTTGGTGGTGACATAATAAAGGTTACTGAACAATCCCAGAGCTGCATGAAAATGTATGATTGAGGTCATTGTTCTTGCTTCAGACAAAGAAACATACCCACTCCACTCAATGTTTGAATCTATCAAGAAGGTGAACTACAACAGCTTTATAAAATAATAACGGGGGACCTTGTCCACCTGGTATATTACCGTCAATATCCTCCGTGCTGCCATGCTTTTGGGAAGGACTGAGTACATTTTTATATTTCGGGTCCATCATCAGCAATCGGTTGTCCCCCTTTGCATCTTTCCATGGAAAGCAAGATTCCTTATTTACATTTGCTTTCATCACCTCAATGTGAACTTCCTCTAAAAGCTGATTCTTTGACATCATATAGTGCGACTCAATAATGACAATATAAACATGATATGGGACTTGTTAAATTATGTAGACTGTATTAGATATTTTCTTTGCTCTGTGTTCACTGGTATACTTTCCTCATGTATGATCAACTGTACAATAGACCTCAAGTTTGAAGTTTCTCGCTAATTAGTCATTTTATTTACTTATATGGCCATAAACTGAATAGCATTTCTAGGTCATTTCTGGGTCAATGCTTAAGGATTAAAAACAAAGTTAGCAAAAGATCACCATGTGAGCTAAAAAGGTTCAAATTAGCCCACACTGTACATTTTGATTGGTTTGTGTAGATGTATGCCAAGTTGCTTTGCTATTGCATGTTCATTTACTCATAGACTTATGATTTCAAGTCCATGGATTGTCATTCAGATGCTTTTTAGGGTAACTAACTTAATTTTATAGATTTTGTATGCACTTAAAAACAACTAGGGGTTATACTAATGTACTATGTAATTAGTCCATTCACAAGTCATCATTGTATTCTTGAAATGATAATAATAAGGACACACCTTTTTTTGGAGACATCATTTTCTAAACATTGTTATTCAAATCAAGAATGATATGATTACGATAGGATCTATAAAGATGTTCAACATAATTTTAAAAGCTCTAAGGTAGAATTTCAATGTCGACTGACTTTTTCTAAAATTCAGATTTTCTTGAAAAAATCAAGCTGAAAGATATACTGATGTATATGTGATATACTGATGTATATGTGAAAATTAGAAAGATTGACCGTTTAGTTATTTCTGAAAAAATGTTTGAATTTAATGTTGCTCTCAATATTTTATTCAGTTCTCGTTTTTGGAATTAGAGATGTGTGAACTGATTTTGTAATAGACATTGAACTTCTACCTTAAGTTCAATGAAACAAGGAAAATGAGTTTAATTGGCCTAATTTTTTGGCCTTATTATTCTTTAATTTGAACTGCCGGCTAATGAATTAACCGCTATCAGACTGCAAGCCATTCAGTCTTTATTCAATGTGGTAAAACTCATTCACTATAGAACTAATCTTTTTAATTGGAATACCAATAGAAAACCTTAGTACCAAACAAAATGGAAGGTGCAAGATATACAAATTTATTTTTAATTATGAACTGAGCCACTTTTATTAATGTGTGAAAATAATCTAAATTATATTCTTGAAGATAATTATATATCATTCCTTCAAGATATTTTGAAGCAAAGTTCTCCCATCATTCAGGCTCCTATAAAACTCAGGTGAAATCATAAAAAATACTTTTGAATATGGCATTCACATAATGGACCTTCACGATGTTCCCTAGTATAATTATTTACAGGTGCCAAAAGTTACAGAAGATCTCATCTCATATTTGGAACTAAATTCAATTCTTCTAAGGTGCCAAATGCAGTAATAGGCTAGCAGTAGAAAAATTCAATTTCATTAGATATGAAAAAGGAGACATTCACTGTTCAAGATAATTGCAAAATAGGTAGACAAAAAATGGAGTGAGCAAAAAATAGTGTGACATTTAAAAAAAAAATATTACCCATCTTGTCTTTATATACTTTGTACAATTGGTGAAAATGAGAATAAAAGTTTTTGGTATAGGGTCGGGGTGACAAAATATTTGGTGATCCCAAATCTTAAGCTATAAAACAGCAACTCTGCAGAGAAGTAAATCCCACCGAACAAAACATATTTTATTAAATCCCTAGTCATTTTGATGCATTTGTTACAGATGCTGAACTAGAAAAAAACATCCACAAGACTTGGAGACCATAACAATATGTCCCCACTTGTGGTGTTGACATAATAACCAGGCATTTGAGCATTTGTCTCATTTGAGCAAAATTGACAAAATTAAATAAATGCCCTGACACACGGGCAGACACACGAACAGATGGATGGTGAGCTTCTTCATATCCCTACAAAATTCGTTTGGTGGGATAATAATCATTGATTAAACACATAATTTATACAGTTAATATTACTAGGTTTTTATTTTTCCAGATTGAAATGTTAAAACAGATCAAGAAATCATAACCTGATTTGGAAACAGAATATTGTACAGAATTTCCTAAAAAAATGAATACTGACTACTGTACTGTACTTCTTATAGTTGGTTATAGATCATAATTATTTACTGAATGGAGCACATTTTAAATGCATATTATTCATAATCACTGACTGTTTAATTGACTTCTTATTTATTAACAGAATGTGCAGAATTCAATAAACAATCACACTACTTCCCTAAATCCTGTTCATGAGACAGGGCTCTGACATACATGAAGCCCTTATTCTCTTTTGAAAAGACAACAGAAACATGTGTTTTGAAGCACTTTTTCACAAAAGAAGTCACAGAATACAGGAATCAGATTATTATGTTGGCAAAACATGATATTTATAACTACTATTCACATGTTCAATAAACTAGGAAGAAAACTGGTATATAGTTGGGGGAGGGGGTTTAGGCTTATTGTATGTAACCATAGCAGGGGGAGCTCGAAGTTTTCTCCCAAAGCGTCCTGTTTTCCTATGCCACAATCCAGACTGGGGTCTAATTCCTAACCATCGATTCCGTCCAGCTTTTCCAATGACATCACGTCCTTCTTTCAACATTGTTCTGCCAACTGTTGCAACACAATGTTCAGAAACGTTAATTTCTCGTTTAGATGGTATTTTAATAATACATCGTCCATCAACTTTTCTAATGAGTTGACCTGATGAATTCCCAGCTCTGGCAAGAATCCCACCTTGGCCAGGGAACAGCTCGATACAACAAACTATTGTGTTTATAGGTAGTGCTCCTAGTGGGTGGGAGTCTCCTTCTCTTGGTTTCACTGCAAATAAAAGACATAAGAAGGTTATAAAATGGGAGGTTTTGGATATGGGGTTTATCCTGAGGGAGATTTATGTATACTACTAGTATATTAGTTATTGATAACACAGATTGCTGAGGGCTGATGCGAAAAAGTTGGTCAACTCCATTGGGGATTGAGTCCATGAGCCCTCACTCAGGGAAGTACTATACCATTGAGCTACAGGTCAGGGTGTACTTTCACATCAACATTACAGTCATGTCTTATAACACAACATAGGTTATCAATTTAAAATTGACTTTCCCTCCAGAAACTGTTGACATCAAGGGTTTTACAATTCACCCCATGATATTTCTACTTCCCAGTAAATAACATTCGGGAATATTTTCGATATTGAAAAAATCGTATGGTCCCACCCAATTTTGCTCTCAAAAACCGTATTCACCTCCCAATCCCGCTCACGAAAATGGTATTCACTTCCCGGGAGTTTTTGCCAAACAAAGCAAGAAATCTGAGCAATAAGCGAATGTCCTGTGATGAACATCTAAACATATTGTTGAATTTTTTTATGTTGATGTCAAATGTATTTAGGTTAAACAAAATTTTCATATTTTAAAATGTTATAAAGTTAATTCGTATATTGTAGAGTCTGGTTGTGTTTCATACAAAAACCCAATATGGATTTTGCTTTTATGAAGAGAGTCAAGAATATCATGGGATAAAAAGCTAATCTACTGATGGGTATTAAAAATGGGTCTATTCCTTGTGACAATTTGATATTTCCTGAGGGCCAGGGGGAAATATTCTCCCATGCAATAAAACCCATATTGAATCCCTCCAAGTAAATAACCTCTATGTATATAAGATATTACTGGAATATTGGTGAAGCTCATACCTGCCATCCTGGGTATATGGCTAGAACTTTTTATGATATCTCCTTTCTTCATATTCTCTGTAGCTATGATGTAACGTTTATGAGTTCCACTTGCAACAAGAGCTAAGATTGCACTCCTGTTTGGATCATAAATAATGGTGTCAACCTTCTCAACCAATGGCTCAGTTTCATTTATTCCTTTACGAACAAAATCAACCATGCGGAAATTTCTCTTAGCTCCACCTCCAATTCCATGTGTCCAGATTCGACCTAGAATAAAGAGAAATCATTGTATGGATTGGATCTATCAGTGAACTATGGTCACATGGCTGTTGGTGATTTTCTAAAATGGAAGCTCAATTTAAATTGAGCCCCATTTTTCAACAACAGGTATACAGTGAATACATTTTATTTGATTCTCAAGAGGTTTAAAAATGGACACCATATTTTCCCCTGTAAAAACACCAATGAAATGTATATACATATAGTCCAGCTATAAGCCCCTGTGACCCCCCTCCCTCTAATTGACAACACAGGTTTGAAAACTTCTCTCTGGGGAGGTATATAGTGGGGGGGGGGGGCACAAAGGGTTGTAGCTAGACAATGTTATGTGTTTATGGTATAATGCAATCTTTTTATTTCTTACCATCTGGGCCCCTGCCTGCTCCATTATGCATCTTCAATGGTCTCACCGTGTACTTGTCCATAGATTCCACAACCTTGTCATAGCGAGTGCGGCCCATCCCTAAGGACGTATCTACATTTGGACGCATGGCCCGCTTAAACTTACTAGCACTACACGCAGCACTAGTATGGATCTGGGATCTATAAATATATATATGATAAATCTTTAAATCTTCCGAATTGACTTGAACCATGCCACAGGTAAACTCTAAGAGTGGCCATTGAATGAGCATTTTTCCTGTCCAGTTTCTGTTAAAAATTTATTTTGTTCAAGTTACAGTTCAAATTGTTTACACCATTCTGAATTGCTCTTTTGGTAAACATTACTCAAATCTTGCAAAAAATGCTGAAATTTGCTAATTTGCTTTGAAATCACTTTAAGTCCTATGAGAATAAATATGTCCCAACTCACATTTTTGTGAAACTGAGAAATCAATTTTTGAAATTTTAGGCATCTGTAACTTCACTACTATTTATCTGTCATTTGTGAAATTTTTACATTCTTTTTATCAAAATTGGTGTATATACACTAAAAAATTCATGAATTTTACGATTTTCTAAAACAATTTTTGAGCATATTAAAAATGGAAATAGGACAATTCAATTCAAAGTTTTTCATAACATCGAAAGATCAAAGCTGAGCTATGTCCAATTTGCTGAATGTATTTTCAACGGGCCCAACTTTCTCTATTCGTTTTTTTCAAAAATAAATTCAAATCTCAGTTTAAAATTGTAAATATAATAATTCTTAGTCAAATGGTGTAATTCAAACAATTTGATTGGTTAAAATGATACATAGAACAAAGTTAAATTATATTTTTGAATTTTTTTATGGAGTTAGGACAATTTGACACTAAAAAGTAGGGTTTTGAGAGTAGATAAAGGTAAGGGAATATCACAGGAAGAAAGAGGATGATTTTAATAGTGGAAATCTGTGAAAATCTTAATTTTTTCAAAAATGGCACTTGGGACATTATTATTCTCATACGACGTAATGCTAAGATGTTTAAAGGCTGGTGTAATATTTTTAAGCTGGATCATAGCCACTATATAATCCCTCTCCCTACAGCACTGAAAGTAAACCTAATTTTGTAATTTGCCAACCAAGATTCAATGACTCAACATTTATAAACTTGTACCTGTACTACCAACTGCATTAATAGGGTTTTGAGAGTAGATTAAAACATTTATCTAATTATGAATATTTAAGTGATATTTGTGCAATGAACTTTGGGTGATGAAAATGTTAGCACATAAACATTTTCTCACAAAGGAAGTACAGTGGCCCATGAGGGACTAAAAATTAATCACAATGACTCGATCGCGAAGAAAGTCAAGTACCCCTAAAGCAGCAAAAACTGATGTTAAGTCAACACCAACAGCCTCCCAACAAACAACAAATACATGTATAGACAATTTTCCAAACCAAGAACAGGATGCAGAAATAAAAAAACGAAAAGCATCTAAAGACCTGTCGAGTTCAAGTGGGTTACAGCAAATTACAAAACAGACAATAATAACTGATGATGCAGCTCATAAAAATATTGAAAACCGTATACTTATATTGGAACAAACAGTAAAATCCCAGGAATCAAAAATACTTGACCTTGAACAAGCCTATAATGATCAAACCTCAGAAATTGAATCCTTGCAAACAGAAAATGACCTTTTGAAACAAAAACTAATGCTCAGTGAGGGTAGACATGAGAGAATTGAGAAAAAACAATGCGACCTTGAAACAACAGTTGTGGACCTTCAATGGCGATCAATGAGAAATAACTTGATGTTTTACAACGTGCCTGAAACAGATAAATATGAAAACAGTGACCCAACTAAGGAGGTATTGAACAACTTCCTCAAAGAAAAACTAGGAATCACTGAACCAATGGGAATTGAAAGATGTCATCGAAATAACCCTCCTCGAGATAATTTTGAACAATTCCCAAGACCAATCATTGCAAACTTCAATCCATACAACCACAAAGAACTGATCCTCAAAAAAGCTCCAAAGTTAAAAGGAAGCAAAATCTACATAACGGAACAACTCCCAAAACCTATGCAAGAAAGACGACGATACGCATATGAACTTCAACAGGAAATTAAGAAAAAAGATCAAACTGCCAGATGTACGCTGACCAAGGATGAACTCACTGTAAATAACACCAAGATATTTCCGCAAAAATACCCAGCACAGGACATAAACAATGCAGATGAGGCCTCCAAAATCAAACTTAACCATAGTCCACTAATAGCAGCTAAAAGCAAGAGTCGTTACCAGGTGCACATTTCCAAGATTGAATCCCCTCATATGGTTAAACCCGCCCTTCTGCAAACATTTTCGGACCATCTCGTAGCTAAAGCTGACCATAATAGCTGGGCATACAATATTGAGCGCAATGGTAACACACGCATTGATTTTGATGATGATGGTGAAATGGGGATAGCTCGCACAATCAGACAAGTTATTTCGGCACATGAACTTAAAAACCTCCTCGTTATCGTTACAAAATGGGATGATGGACACAAGTTTGACAATTCAAAATGGAATACAGTGAAAACATTGGTCGAAGAAACATTGACACAATTTGGATATATAAATTCTAGTAGTGACTAATCCAAAAATGAACCTTATAGGCCATCCTACTCGGGTGACCACTTATGACTGGTTATTGTGCTAACATATAAAGTTTATATGGAGACCACTTATTACAGGTCACTGTGTTTTCCACAAAGAATTTATATGGTGATCTCGCATACAACTTGATTTTTCACACATTGCCTAATTGGCACTTATTCTTTGTATGTACACTGTTTTTTTTCTGACCCCTGACCCTCAGATATAAAATTTTTTAAAAATGTTTTAATTCTTGTATTTTAACAATAGGTCTATGACAAATTATATATAGGTAATTAAATCTTAAATTATATTACTGGTTTACTATTGGTAAACAGGGGCGATGTCAACGCGGTAGCCTGGCAGTCGTCTCAAGTGTATCTCAACATTTTAAGGGATTACCTGGGGGGGGGGGGGGGGTAGGGGTTAAAAAACAATATGTGCACTAAAAAGTCCTAATTCGTTTTGATTTTAATTATACCATAAATTTATTATATAAATCCAAGGGCACACACCCAAGCTCAATGTTATTGTGTGTTCTTTTTTTCACTTTTGTTTGCTGTTATTCTTTCTATCTTTTTATCTTTGCAGGATATATGCCTCTCATACTATATTTGTATGAGTGATATGAACAATGATTCCTTATGGGCTCAGCTCCCTTTTCAGCATTACAACAGTACAGAACTTGAATCCATTGTCTTAAATAGAGATGACTATGAAGATCTTTTATTTAATCCATTCATCAAAAACAAAAATGATCTTGATTATGAAACATCAGACATAGAAACTCAACGACTTATAAACGGCTGCAAATATTTAGATCCAGAACAATTAAATGCCAAAATAAAATCAAAAAATTCAAATCAATTTTCAGTGCTCAATCTTAATATAAGAAGTATGACACAGAACTTTAACAGTCAATTTTTAACAGTCAATTCAATTATTGACCATAATTTCGACCTTATTGGATTCACAGAAACATGGTTAACACAATCTACTGAAAAATTATACAATATAGAAGGATATGAATCTGAGTTTCTATCTCGTAAAATTAATAAGCATGGTAAAAAACGTGGCGGAGGTATCGGAATATTTGTGGCCAAAAAGTATGAGTATATAGTAAGGAATGACATGTCTATAAAATTTGATGATTGTGAAAATCTAGTTATTGAACTCATTAACAGAAATGGTAAAAACATCATAGTATCTATTGTATACCGTCCACCAGATAAAGATATGACTAGTTTTAATGAATCTTTAGACATTTTCCTTCAAATGGTAAATTCTGAAAAGAAAGAATGTATATTGATGGGGGACTTTAACATTAATCTCATGAATTCAAATCATCCACAAACTATGTCCTTCTTTAGTACAATTCTAGCACACAGTTTTATGCCTACTATCTTTCGACCAACAAGAATAACCTCAGATACAGCAACTCTTATTGACAATATTTTTACAAATCAACCTAACCTATCAGATTCAGGATTAGTAACTACCGATATATCCGACCACTTTCCAATTTATGCAAACTTTGACTATAAGGTAACCAAGAAAAAGGAAGAAATATACAAATTTAGGGAAATAAATAATGAAACAAAGAGTAAATTCAATGAGAAAATAACCGATTTTAGTTTTGCAGATGTATACAATGCTGAAAATGTTAATGATGCTTATAACCTCTTTATAGAAAAAATACAAAAATCATATAATGAATGCTTCCCTTTGAAAACAAACAGGGTAAAATATATCTTTAATAATTCAAAACCTTGGTTAACCAAAGCTATATTAAATTCATGTAAGCGGAAAAATAAACTATACAAATATTATTTGAAACTGCAAACCCCAAACAGAAGGAATGAATACCAAAAATACAAGCGGATTTTGCAAAAAGTAATTAAAAAAGCAGAGAAGATGTATTATACAAATAAATTTAAAATGATACAAAGTGATTTGAAAGAAACCTGGTCCTTAATTAATGATATTTTGAAACAGAAGCAACATAGGAAAACATTACCCAATTATTTTTTATCAGGTGACAGGAAAATTAGTGAACGAACAGAAATAGCTAAACAATTCAATAATTTCTTTGGGAATATCGGTACAAGTCTTGCCAACAAAATTCCAAATTCTAAAAACAATCCTTCTTTTTATTTGAATAAAATTCAAGAAAACTTCACCAAAAGTATATTTTTATCCAATGTAGATTCTGATGAAATGAATAAGATTTTGACTAACTTGGAAGACAAAGCTGCTGGTGAAGATCAAATAAAACCAATTATAGTTAAACATGTTAAAGATATGTTAATACTCACTTTGACCTTTATTTGTAACTTATCATTAAGAACTGGAGTATTTCCTAATAAACTAAAACATGCAAAAATCACACCCATATATAAAAAAGAAGATGAACATCAATTTAACAATTATCGCCCAATTTCACTTCTGTCCGTTTTTTCTAAGATTTTAGAAAGAGTTATGGCCAACAGAACTGTTGATTTTTTGGAAAAATTTAAAATATTTTGTGAACAACAGTTTGGTTTCTGAAAAAACAGATCAACTTATATGGCACTTTTGAAGTTCCTGGAATCACTTCGTTCAGCACTTATTGATAAAAAATTTAATATTGCAATATTTATAGATTTGTCGAAAGCCTTTGACACTGTTAACCATGAGATTCTTTTGGAAAAATTACACTTCTACGGAATAAGGGGTATCGCTCATAACTGGTTTGCAAGTTACTTGACAAATAGAACTCAATCGACGGAGTATGACAATTGTGTATCACATCCTATTCGAATATCATGTGGAGTACCACAAGGGTCGATTCTAGGACCAATATTATTTCTCATTTATATTAATGATATTGTGAAAACAACTTCTTTTCTAAAGCTTATAATTTTTGCTGATGACACAAATTTACTTGCCTCTGGTAAAAATCTAAACAAATTAGTTAATCTTATTAACAATGATCTAGACATTTTAGATGACTGGTTAAGGGTGAACAAACTCTCGCTCAATATTTACAAAACAAAATTTATGTTCTTTTCACATCGCAAACTCACTCAAAATGAATCTCACCTTTTGAAGATAAAAATACGGAGCAGTAGTATTGAACGAATTAGCAAAACTAACTTCCTTGGTGTAATAATCGATGATAACCTCTCATGGGAAAGTCATATCAAACATGTCACTGTGAAGATCTCACAAACACTAGGTGTTTTATTTAAGGTACACAACCAATTAAATTTTGAATCGTTAAAATCAATTTATTATTCGCTTATATATAGTCACTTAAATTATTGTATTCTTGCATGGGGAACTGCAACCAAACGATTAATGGATATGATTTTAAAGCTACAGAAACAGTTTCTGAGACTGATATCACATAGTGCCAAAGATACACCCTCAGCACCCCTCTTTAAGAAATATAGATTTATTGATGTGTTCGAAGTTTATAAACTCAATGCTGCCTTGTTTGTATTTAATTGTATCAAAAGACCAAAGGAATTCCCTATCAACATGTTCAATGATTATTTTATAGCAAAATCCGAGTCCATAAAAGAGATACAAGAAACAAATTTGATCTCAGGTCCAATAATTTTAAATCAGTATTTGGTCAAAAATCCATCAAACATAGAGGCCAAATTATATGGAATGAACTCCCAAACTCCATTAGAGAAATTAACAGCAGAAATAAATTCAAATCGGATTATAAAAAATTACTCATACAAAATCATAGAAGTTAACATTAAATTCTAATCTTGTTGGTGCAGACTTATAATTATTAATGCAAGTGAAAGAGCCCCATAAACCTAATTTAACTTAGGATTAGTATGTAAATACAATATGCTATGCAAACCCTGCAACTCTCTCTTCTTCTCTTTCCCTTTCTCTCTAGTTTCTTCTTCTTGTTTATTAAATGTTTTATGTTCACGCATCAGCTATCAATATGAATATTTATATAAAAAAGGCTATATACATCCAAGAGGATGTCAAGCCGAGATGTGTAAAGAATATGTAAATGTAAATTATAGATGAATAAAAAAAAAATAAAAAAAAAAAAATAAAAAAATATAAAATATATTTGTTTATAGGAAGAAATACATGTAGTAAATATAAATATATTATTTCATTGTAAAACAAAGATTAAAGGTATCCATCAAAATGCTTACCCAGCAAATGAGTTCAGGCTACTCAGCGTGATACTGTAATCTAGGGAGAGTCTGGTGATTCCTCTAAGGATGTTACATAATTTTGCCGGAGTCGCCATTCTAGTTAAAAGTCCAAGGATTGAAGTTGGTACTTATTTTGTTTACTATATCTGTAAAGAAATAAAAGTACTGCGATTAACCAGATTCTTAATATTGTTACACTGAATATTCTTTCCTACAAAAGCAGGTACAGTAATTTGAAATTGCTGGACTTTAACAATGGATATTTATTAAAAAAGTCAAATGGCCTCAAATAAGTATAAAGGACTCATTGATTGGTAGGTAATTTATAGCCATAGTTCGTGTTTGCAGTGTAGTTTTAAAGTACCAAGTTGGATAGAGGACCAAACACAAAGTTGGATCTGCCTTTGAGACATCTAGCTTTCAACATGTTATATAATACAATGGTCAGAGAAAACTAATCTGTCTTATAAGGGACCTGGGTTGTCTACAACAGGTTTGCTTCAACATTCGCACATGCTAGTCATTTTTAACTATATTTTCATATTTAGATGGTATCGGTATCTATGATTTATATATGAGTAATACCCTACTGATCATTCATTTAGGAATTCAGATACCAAATCATTTAAAGTAACACAAATGTACTTGAATGTCCTGTGTTACTGTAAATTTCTTTATTTGACAGCCCATTTTTTACATTTTAGCTCATATATATGTATTAAGATAAGGTAAAATCTTCCTGTGTCACCCAAGAGTTAACCTGACAATGTGACTTCTTAGCTAGCCTTCCAATATCCATATTTTACTTCTGAGTCAATCCGCCATATTGGGATATTTATAGCAGTACAAAAAAATTCGAAGCAAATGCGTGACATATACGCAATTCACATAAAACTTCTGATCGAACTGTGTGCGTAATTGCTTGACATATTATGCCACACAAAACAAGGTGTGAGCTCAATTTCTTCGGCAAATGAGTGACAAATAGTACGGAAATTATGGGCCAGTTGACAGGCCTGTATTTTTAGGAATTTTGCAATGATTATTAGCTAGCCAGAATAGTAAGATTGAGGTATGAATTATATTTTTATGGGCTTGTACATTGTATAACTGCCAATGGATAATAAGCATGATGTTTTTTCTAAGAGTAAGAATCACTGGAAGTGGAATTGGAAGAATTTAGAACCTTGTGACAGTCAAGCATTTATATTTGAGTGAACCCAAATCAAAATAAAATGGATTACATGTATGAGAATACAATATTGAATAGTCATTTTTAGTGTCAAACTGGAACTAAAGCCCTAAATTATTGAAACTAAAATATTTACCAAATTTTGGAAAATCATGTTCCTCTTCGTTAAATATATGAGCGTGATAAAAATTCTGGGATAAATTGTTCGTGATTTTTGTCTTCTTATGAGAAAAATATTCTAGTAGATTCAGGATAAAAAATAATGAGTCTTGTAGATGAATATCATAACTGTGTAATGAAGTGACTTGCGAAATTATATTAATTGAATACTCAACATTTGAAGTAAATACACATGCTATAAATTGTTTGGCGTTAATCAACCAATAAATTATACGTTCGTCATTTCACTCTAACGATTTGATGTCGACCGATTTCGAAAATTCACATTTAATCCTCTGAATACTTCATGGATCTGGCCTTTGTGAAAGCCAGAACAAATTAAAGAGTGGACGTGTTATCAAGACTTTTTATCTGTAACCATGGCATCGGCGTTGGAAAGCTATGTTAACCGTATCCTTTGTTCGAAAAATTACCATGCGAAAATAAACATATTATCGCCCATTTTTTATTTCTTTATTTTTTGGTTATTTGATAGCAGTTATTTTCCTGTCTATTTCGAAAAATTACCATCTCAAATAAACATATTAGTGCATCTTGAAATGTATCTACTTTTTAGGGAGAGATGTATCATTTTATTGGGACTTTACTTGGTGGAAAAATATAGAACATTGAAAAGTGAACTTCTAAAACCACTTACTGTGTGAACTTATTCTTTCATTACACGGTATTTCACAGTTCACACTGAATTGAATATTAATCCTTAACCAAGTATTAGGTACGATCAGTGTCATCACTGCAGATGGGAGAATGATAGTGGTAAGTTCTATACTTCTGAATGAAAGCATGTGTAGTCTTATTTTTGCTTTTCATAAGAATATTTATTTTTCACTTAGATAATAGTGTATGCCTTGGCACATTTTGTGTGTATTTAGTTACGGATAGTTGAATGTGTTTTCTGAAATCCAACATGTTCAATGTGAGAATAAAGCTTCTCTATTAAATTCATGTAATGCCATACATTTGTCACTGTGTTGTTTGATTCTAGGGAACATTGAAAGGATTTGATCAGACTATCAACCTTATCTTAGATGAGAGTCACGAGAGAGTGTTCAGCACTGCCACTGGCATGGAGCAAGTTGTGCTTGGACTCTACATAGTTAGAGGGGACAATGTGTAAGTTTAAAAAAGTCCTACGCAACTGTTCGAAATTGACCAAAACGCCCTGTTGTCTTCCATAATGCCCCGCAGAGTCTATGACTACAAACGTGTATAGATCCAACGGGGCGTTTTGGAAGAGAATGGGGCGTTTTTATCAATTTTGACAGATGCGTAGGACTTTTGGAAATTGGTGCGTTTAATGTAAAAAATATGTTGATGCAGAGATGTAGGGTTGTAATGGGAGTCATTGTGCAAAATATAGGGGAGAATAATAAAAGAACTGGTGATATATCGAGGCTTTTGGTCGAAATCTCTGAAGATTTGCATCTTCTCACATCTGGGGACCAAAACACCGCTAAAACGAGTGACTCTGTACACAAAAGCAATGTCTTGACTTTGAAGGTTTTAATGGAACAAGTTTGAAGAAAAACGGTGTACTATAAACTACTCACAATCATTGATTTTCCAAAGAAAGGGTAGGTTTGAAATTCAAATTAACGGTTTTGCGGGGCATTTTGGCTTCGATACACCCCGGTGAGTTAGTACCGCGTTATGGCATGAGTTAGTATTTGAAAACATCCTAAATCAGTAAAAAGACAAATGAAGGTCAGATAAGTCTTCTAGTATTCTCTCTCATTTACATATAATCCTTTATTTTATGGTAAAACTTTCATACTGGTAAATATATTTCATATATGTCATTGGAAACAGTGAAATGCTCTTCTCTCTTGGAGGAAATTTGACAGAAATTACATATTGGTTAATGATGACAGAATTGCCAAGTTACCAAATTAAGATGGATTACAGAATGTCTTACATGAAACCCACATTAACATTTGTTTGTATTTTTTTTCAGAGCTGTTGTAGGAGAAATTGATGATGAAACAGACAGTGGCCTGGACTTTGCAAATATCAAAGCAGAACCCTTGAACAGTGTGTCTCACTAGCATTCGGGGTTCAATATACAAAGTAAATTTGTATACGCAACAGAATTTTTCATACAGTGTGAGAAATAGGATCATAATCTATCGATTTGTACATGTTGCTGGACAGAAACATTGTTAGTCAGGATTTCAAATGGAATTAACGTTGTGTCTAAAATATATTTTTATGACTGCACAATGAAAAATCATGTAATGTAATGTACCAGGTTGGTTATTAACTTGCATTTTCCCAACCAATGGTTTACTCATAATAAAGTGGATTTAAGATCTCATATTGATGCTCACCAAGATTTTTACAAACTGAGGCTGATCACAAACAATTTGATAGAGTCACACAAAATTCTGCTTACAATAAAGTACATCTCATGGACACCTATTATATTTGAGGTTTTAGAGGGAGGTTATGATTCTTTTGGCAACTTGAGTGAGCCACATAATGGGGTACGTGTAAATCAGGCTTAAGTGGTGCACCTCAATCTAAAAGCCTAGTGAGCACCCTAGTACATGTCAAGCATGTTCACATGCGATTTATTGACACTACATGGGTGTATAAGGCAGTGCTTTGTCATTATTTTACACATTTTTAGATTGGATATTATGTCCTAAAGAGGTGGAATTTTCTCTTTGTCTCATCTTTTTAAATTATGTACCATCTGCCCATGGAGGTGTAAAATTCTCTGTGGCTTAAGTTTTGCCTTATCTTTTTAATTTACCTCACCTATTTTTGGATCCTGGTCACTCCCATGTAGTAATTGTTCTTTATTGGAATCTAACATGAACACAATCAATATGTGCAGTGAACAGTGTATTCTGTTGACCGTATCATTCAATTTCCTATTTATAACTGAGTATCTGAGAATTGTACATGTACTATCTGTTGTTTGAATGTAAATATAATTTTTATTATAAAACATAGGATTAAATGTTTTCAGTTGTGAATTTCAATTCTTTAAATCATTTCTAAAGTTGCACACAAAACAAGTTCTACAATGGATGGGAACCCTTTCTCATATACAGGTATTCAAATATTCATATTAAAATTGACCAATGTGACCTTGACATATTAACATGACCTTGGTATTCTACCACCATAATAGAGTAGACATATTCTTTAGGGAGCAATGAACCTAATACATATATATTGAATGTTGACCTTTAGAATAGTAGCGTAAACAGTTTAAGTGGCTCGAACTGTGACTTTGATTTAAAAAAACACCCTAAAATAAAGAAAATTGTGAATTTATTAAAAGCTGAATTTTAGACCAGCATTCATTCTTATGTGTCTTTTGCAGAAAAAATTAAGAAAATACATGAAAATGGTTCGGAGAAAAATGCATTTTATAATTTTCTCATAGAAACAAATGGTACTGTTATATTTAAAATATGATGCATGTATATTCTTCTTTTCAACCAAGTTAGACAATCAATATTGGATTATTTTAAAAGTTAAGCATATTTAGGAGAGTGAGAAAGAAAACAAATTTTGATTTTTTCTCAAAAAATTTTTGCACCCTTAATGACATCACGATGATGTCACTTAGGCTGCAACATTTTTTTAATATGCTAAAACATTTAAGTGGCACATTATTGAAATAGTATATCCTTTGTTTGCAATGGTATTAAAAAGATAATGTATTTTGTATAGTATATGGAATATTTGATTATTAAAAAATTTCAACTTTTATTTGAAAAATGGTGGGAAATTTGAATATTTGAAAATTTAAAAGCTGATAACTTTTCTCCCCAAAATTTTTCAAAAATCGCTAAACTAACTTATTAAGTCATTTAAAATAATAAATGAATGATAAAAACATATATTTTTAAACTCTACATGAGGCCTTTAAAAATATCATGACATTTCTCATATTCGAAGCTTTGCTGTTTACAGTTGATAAGAAATTTTTTAAAGTGTGTTGGTGTTTGTTTCAAACCGTTACACTTATATAGTTATTGCTTTGTTTAGAGATATGTTCCATTAACATAAATACGAGATTGACCATTCAAAGACAATCCATTGATCCCACTGGTGGATCTGGGGGCGGGGGCTGGGGGCCTTTTAAATCCCTATTTTTTAATTTCAGGCCATATTTTGAAGAAAATGGGTCTCAAAATTTGGGCCCACTTTTGGGTTTTAGGGGCTTTAGGGGCCCAATTTTTTTTATTTTTCTCTGACCTGAAATTTGCCCCCCCCCCTTGTTGGTTCCCAAATCCGCTCCTGGATCCTATAGTTACATTTGACCCTTTAATATCACAGATTGGGTGCTGAAGAAAACCTTGAAATATTTTTCTCATAAATGTTTTCACAATATTGACCTGTTGATACCTAGTAGTTTATATATGACCCTATCATGCAACAGACTCAGTAACAATTTACATTGACCTTTGATGGACCTCATGGAGAAGATTTGTACCAAATATCACAATAAGACTAACACCAAGGACATGGTGGAAAATTCCAATCACAAAAGTCAAGATATTAGGTGGATGATCTGTTGATGCAACCTTTGCAATCGAATAACATTGGAGGGATGAAGATGTGAATATGTCGAGTCAGTGTTTTCGCTTTCAAAAAGTTGTACATTTAGACTTACTGCGCATGCGCGCGCTGATTACTTGGAGGGAAGTCCAAAATTGTCAAATAATTTCTCCTTTCTTTCATTTAATTCACAACACAGTGATACATAATCTCAGTGAAAGATACGTTAATGTTTAGCGGAATTTATGCAAACTACGCAAATGTGTTTATTTTCACACTTACACAATGACAATTGGGATTTTAAACCGAATGTAATTCATTCACGTTCGTCATGCCTGACTGGAAAATTGGAAAAGAAAGTGAAAGCGAAAATAGTCGAAGAAAACTGCTGAATAAACCTGTTAAAATTGACAGAACACCTCCAGAACAAAGACTGTCTCGCAATCACAAAATAAGAGCAGTGATGAGTTCTTCTAAGCAAGGTAAACATATTCAATCTTCAACGTCTAGCAATACAAAAAGTGAAAAATCGATGAACCATGATCGTAACTTGTTCGATGATATAGGCCTAAAAGTCGAGGAATTGAAAAGTGAACATACACCAGTTTTGAAAAGTGAACAAACACCAGTTTCTAAAAGTGAACATACACCAGTGTCTAAAAGAACAACAAAAAGTGTACATATTCCCAAACGCTCTCCTCAAGAGTTGAGTGATTATCTAGCCAGTGGAGGTGGTTGCGCACGTTTATTCAAGGGTGCCTTGGGAAGTGCTATAAAGGATTCTGTCAAACTATCACGTCCTCCAATAAACATCAATCGAGATAAATTCCAAGTCCAACAATGTGAAGCAAAGTCTGCCAGTGGGCTTGTTTCAGAGGATCAACCAGAAGGTACTGGTTCTCAAGTTCTTGAGAAAAACTTGAAAACAATAACACCAGTAACACAAACAATGGAAGATGGTTGTCAAAAGAAAAAGAGGAAGAAGAAAAATCACAAGAACAAACGTTACTCAGGTATGCATAATTTCAAAATTCAAATTGAGTTTCAAGATGATTGAATGGATGGCACTGAGTACATGCATGCAACTATCAGACTATGCATGAATGGATTTGATAAGTATTGTATGACCCTTTTGAAAAAGGCAATTTAATTGCAATTGATTTAAATTAATTAGTTTCTCCTGCTTACCTGACGTTAAGTGAGTTCTGAGTAAGACATTCTTAATCATTGATGTTCTACTATTAATGCAGGATTATTTCTTATAATTTGTTAAATTTCTTCTATTCTTTTTACTCTACCATCAAACAAAAACATCTTTACCCGCACAGCATTATCATGTTTTTACCTTTTATCTCTCAGTTTGGCATATATTCAAATATGTCATGAGTTGATTTTCAAGAATCCAAAGTCTTGACTTACATTATTCCATGATGATGTACCTTCAGTAAAGATTCTTTTAACCCATATAATCCATTTGTCACCCCCATACATCCTATTGTGAACCTTTGAATTCTTTAAAATATGATGTTTTATGGTCAATTTATCATAATAAGTGTTTTCTGAAGTGATTTAACTGGGTTGCCAACAAAGTTTGTTTGGGGAAAAAATTATAGGCTAATTAGGGAGGCAATTATTGACAGTTTAAGACCAACAAAAAATTCTAAAAAGCAAGCCCGATGTCCTGTTTAAGAAGCTCTATTCTTACTATTGAAAATGTATTCTAGCAATACTATCCAATATGAATCTACTTGTTGAGACTCCATCAACTTTAGTTCTTCTGAGAAAATAAGGATTTCAGCAAGGATGCATTGGCTTAATATGAGGTTGACTATTGACTTATAGCATTGGGATACCATCATGTATGTCAACCTTCATTTGCATATTAAATTTTTCCTCAAAGTTGATTTTTGGCAACCCAGCTAAATAACTTCATAAATTCCTAATGATAGTGATTACACAGTAAAACCTCATACTTTTATTATGTCCCCACCACATAGTGTGGGGCCATATTGTCGGCCTAGGCGCGTCCGACTTTATGTCCCCACCACATAGTGTGGGGCCATATTGTCGGCCTAGGCGCGTCCGACTGTCTGTCCGTCCGTCCATCTGTCCGTCCGTACGTCCGGGAGTTTTCTCCAAAACCGCTACAGATATCACCTTCAAATTATCAGGGATAACTTATGAGTGCCTATAGATGCGGACGAAAAAAATTTAACTCGAAACCTACTTCCTGTCAGCCATTTTGAAGTAAAATGCTAAAATCCTTGTCTGCAAACTTTAAGAAAAACTGCTTCACAGTTGCTTTTAAAACTTTAACATCTTGTTCAGCTCACTTCATTCTAGATCTGATTAGGTTTTGGACCTGCTAGCTCAGTCATGTCAGCCATTTTGAATGTCTTAAGAAAAGTTAGCGCGCGATAATACTTTGTATCATATTGAATGGTGTTTTTGAGTTTTCATACTTTAACTATTTAGTAGCTTTATAAATAATTTCAGATGTACTTTGTTGTAAAAGCCTACTTTATTGTTAACAGTAATTATATGTGATAATTTTGTAAAAAGAAATCAGCAAAAACTCATAAGGACTTTTTTATTGTCGGCCATTTTTGATTTTTCGGTCCTAAAATCTTGTCTGTGAAGTCTTGTCTGCGTGTTTTCAGGTGAACCGTTTGGTGGATCAATTTCAAATTTTCAGGGATGATTCTTAGTATAAAGATCTAGATCTCATTAGTTTTTTGGCATTCTGGGTAAATGTCAAGGCAGCCATTTTGGATTTTCCGTCCTAAAATCTTGTCTGTAAAGTCTTGTCTACTCGTTTTCAGGTGAACTGTTTGGTAGATCAATTTCAAATTTTCAGGAATGATTCTTAGTATGAAAATCTAGAACTGATTAGTTTTTTTGCATTCTGGGTAAATGTCAAGGCAGCCATTTTGGATTTTCTGTCTTAAAATCTTGCCTGTAAAGTCTTGTCTACGCGTTTTTAGGTGGACGGTTTGATAGATCAATTTCAAATTTTCAGGGATGATTCTCTGTATGAAGATCTACATCTGATTAGTTTTTTTGCATTCCGTGTAAATGTTAAGGCAGCCATTTTGGATTTTCTGTCCTAAAATCTTGTCTGTAAAGTCTTGTCTACCCGTTTTCAGGTGAACCATTGGTAGATCAATTTCATATTTTCAGGGATTAGTTTTTTTGCATTCCGTGTAAATGTTAAGGCAGCCATTTTGGATTTTCTGTCCTAAAATCTTGTCTGTAAAGTCTTGTCTACCCGTTTTCAGGTGAACCATTGGTAGATCAATTTCATATTTTCAGGGATGATTCTTAGTATGAAAATCTACAAACAGATTAGTTTTTTGACATTCTGGGTAAATGTCAAGGCAGCCATTTTGGATTTTCCATCCTGAAATCTTGTCTGTAAAGTCTTGTTTACATGTTTTCTGATTAACTGTGTGACGGATCAATTTCAAATTTTCAGGGGTGGTTCTTAGTACGAAAATCTAGAACTGACTAAATTTTTGGCATTCTGGGTAAATTTTAAGGTGGCCACTTTGGATTTTCCGTCCTCAAATTGTGTTGGTAAAGTCTTGTCTACTCATTTTCAGGATAACCATTTCACGGGATCACCACTTGGTGGGGACATTTTGTACACATTTTTGTTCTTGTATATTCATACGTTCAGAAAATGACAAATGGACTAATATCATATAAGCATTGCACTTTGTGTCACATGTAACCATTTTTGCTCCACCATTTACATAATTTTGTCCTCACACTTTTCTATAAATTCTCTCTGTCCCACCATTAGTTCATTTTCCACACAAATTGATGTAGCATGTTATCAATTCTATCTAAAATTCTTTGCAGTGTAATAAATGTCATTAACATATTAGTGGTTTGTGATGCTATTATACAGGGTGACCGGAAAAAAAGGAGACCATTGAAATAGGCAATATCTCCTAAAATAGACTAGTGACATCAATGAAATTTTGCATACATCAGGACAGTTCTATGGAAATTTGTTCCTGAAAGTGTCAATACAAGCAGTCAACTGGTTCAGGAGCTATGATCATTTACATAACATGCTCCAAATAGGCGCAATTGAGACCAACGCAGAGCTGGATACATTTGGCAAATACCCTTACATATTCCGACCTTGTTATGGCATTACATTTAGCATTTATTGCCACCTTTAGGTCAGCAATTGTCTCAGGATTGTTTTGGTACACATTGTCTTTCAAATTGCCCCACAAAAAGAAATCAGGTGGATTCAAATTTGAGGTGTATGGAGACGAAGCTTATCTGACCTATGGCTTCTGACTCAGTGGTCCCACTCAGTTACAGTATCATCCTAAGGAGGTTTTGGGCAGCCCTTGGTTTTCATATGGGATTTAATTGTGCCATATAGTGGTTTTAGTAACATGGCACTATGCCCAATACCTAAAGTGACTCTTAAGATTTGGTAAATCAGCACTTTGGCAACAGGATGATGAACCACATGTCAGATAACCCTTCATTGCCATTACAGCCTAGACTTGAATCCTGCTGATTTCTTTTTGTATGGATATTTGAAAGACAATCTATACCAAAACAATCCTCAGACTATTGTTGACCTAAAGAAGGCAATCACTGCTATATGTAATGCCATAATAATGCCATAGAGGGCAGAACATGTAAGGGTAGTTTGCCATATGAATCCAACTCTGCGTTGGTCTCAATTGTGCCTATTTGGAGCATGTTATGTAAATGATCATAGCTCCTGAACCAGTTGAATGCTTGTATTGAAACCTTCAGTAACAAATTTCCATATAACTGTTCCAGTGTATGCAAAATTTCATTGATGGCACTTGTCTAGTTTAGGAGAAATTGATTACTTCAATGGTCTCCTTTTTTTCCGGTCACCCTGTACTTTTCACCATAGTTATTCTTCCCATATATTAGTGGTAAGCTTATTCCACTGTTTGATGATAGATTATATTTTATAGTTTTGAATTCCAATTTTTTTATAGTTGTCATTCTGATAGTAATTAACCAATTTTCCCATAATTGAAAATGTGTATAAGCATCCTAATGACATATCTCAGTTTCTTTCTAATGTATTCATGAATCGAAAAAATAGAATTCAGTCTTTCTGGAAACGTAGAGTTGTGTTTAATTTTGCCTCATCTCAAGCTAAAAAGTTTAAGGATTTAAGCCCAGGATTCAGTGCATTGTTTGCTGAATCATACCATGAAGGTGTTGTTTCCAAACCTTTGCATGACCACGCAGCGGGAATGCAAAGTTTAGGAAACAATGCCTGAGTGGAATGAAGCAGCTACAATGCATTGAGTCTTGGGCTTAAACCCTTTTCACACATTGCAATTTTTTCTGCAAAGTCATCTTAAAGGAACGAAATCACTTAAAGAACACATTTTCAATGAACTTTTTTGCAAGGGTCAAGTTGGCAAGTCATCAAATCTAATGTGAAAAGTCCATTCCTCACCATGACAACTTTTTAACTAGTGACCTTGCATGTGTAATTGATATTTCACACACTGTTCATCATGTGAATATTCTGTTCTGATTGGCTGGAATCAGACACACTAGCTATGTGTGAATTGAATATTTAATGAGTTTGTAGTTTTCAATCAAATCATATATATCAGGGGTGGATCTGGGAACCAGCAAGGGGGGAGGCAAATTTCAGGTCAGAGAAAAAAACTTTGGGGCCCCTAAAACCCTAAAGTGGGCCAAATTTTGAAATTTTGAGGCCCATTTTCTTCAAAATTTGGCCTGAAATTAAAAGATAAGGCCTTAAAAGGCCCAGTAATGATCAAAAGGGCCACTTTTTGGGGCCTCATGGGCTTTTTTGGCCAAAATTCTTTTTTTGAGCCCGGGCCCAACAGCCAGTGATTTGGTCCCAATTTTTTAGGCTTATGTATAAGGGGAATAAGACAACTGTTTGAGAAGGAATTTTCAATCTGATAATACATTGCTGCTTATCAGATTTTCTAATATGACATTATGGGTGTAGAATTTGCCTAAAAGAGGAATACTACCACTTGGTTATTTCTAACAATACAGTATGACACAAGTTACAGTATTTGATAAAATATATTTTGTTTAGTGGAATTTTTTTATATTTTTTAGAGAAGGATGGCTCAAGAGAAACTCATGCTAAAGGGCAAAACAGTCTACCCGAGAGAAACTTAATGAAAGATCAATTGAAAAACCATAACCCAAAATATAAAGACTCTGAAATTAAGCTGAAGTCCTCAAATGATAAGGAAGTTCACAAGAAACTTATAGCAGATCACGAGGAACATATTCCAATGGAAGAAGATGTAGAAGATGATGGAAAAAAATGTGAAGAGAATGATCAGCTGACAGATGATAGCTTTGTGGATGCATCTGATAAAATGGAAGGTAATTGAAGCGTTTCTATTATTTTGCATTTGTCTGACAGTATCAACTGATATTGTGTCACAATGTCATGTCACAATATTTGTAGATACAGTAAAATCTGTCTGAGTGAACACCTCTCTCTAGTCAACACCTGTCTATTGTTGACACCCTTCTTCTGCGCATACTCTACTGATTTCTTTATAAACTGCCCTCTGTAATGAACACCTTCCTGCAATGAACATGTTTTTGTGGCTTCATAGATGTTCACTGTACACAGGTTTTACTGTACTTGTACTGTCAGTACTGATTTCATGTTTTAAAGGCTTTATCACTTGGGAAAATATATTTTAAGAATTATTGCAAAAGTTTTTAAAATGATACATTATAAATATAGTCACTGTACATTGCTACCCTGTATTTCTGTGCTTCATATTTTACTTCAATGATGTGTTATAGAAGATTTAATCCCAGCCAAATGCATAGAGACACATGGTGGTACTAGACATGCTACCATAAAGACAACATCTGATGTATATGAGACCATTGCTGGTGCCCCAAAGCCAATGCAGAACATGGTACGTAGTTTACTTATTAAAGAGGAAAGCTTTTACCAATAAAGCTATTATTGTAGTTTTGCCTAATGTTATCAAAGTGTGTTAATGTTCATCGGCGTAATGTAAAATTGGTGTGATGTAAAATTTGTTGAAAATAACATTAACAAATTATAGTTTGAAGTGCTTAGAATGCACCATATACAATGTGAATTTTAAAAAATTTCTGGGGGTGAACCCCCGTGGCCCGTTCCCCCTTTTTGTTGTCATCCACTTAATTCAAATATTTTTTATTTTCCATTTTTTCTAAAGAATGTTCCACCTGTGTGACTTCACAGCATTACTTTGTGACACACAAAATAGACATCTAATAGAAATACAAAATGAAATCAAATTTAATAATGTTACTTTTACTCAATATTTCTAATAATTTTTTGGGGGTAAAATGTTTAATTTTGTATTTGATGATATAAAAATCTTATTTTGTTAAAATTGCTAGTAATTCAGATTCAAATTAAAAAAATATGAATAACACCTCTTAACTCATAAGAAGTAAAATCCTTCTCGAATCACATAATAAAAAGCTGTACATGTATTGCCTCTGTTCTCCTTTTGTCATATTTATCACCTTGACAACTTCAGGTTGCCAGTTATGGCAAAAATCAGGGATTTTTCTAAAAAAATGTTTTAAATTGCCAGGTTTTTTACAACCATCCCAAGCATCTAACATTATAAGATAATATTGTTCATCAGTGTTTTGGAACAAATCGGTCAAACTAACCTGAATGTATTCATCAAAGAGTTTTTAAATGTATGCTCATGAAAAATCTAGTTAAGTCAAAAGACTTCTGACTCTGCTAAAATCTCAAGATCTTTAGATCAATGCAGCACATCTGATCAACCTGGTCACTCTCTTTAAAAGAGATATTGATTGAATTTGTCTCAGTAAAACATATTTATTGGAAATTTGACCTCTCATATCATTTTTGCTGTGTTATCTCAGTTTGACTAAGAGGTTACCACAATCATTTCTTTGTCAATGGATTTCACCCTTGTGTCAGGGAAATTTTAGGGAATTTTGATTTGAACTTTGGGAACCCTTAATATCATTGTTTAAGTTATAATTGTAGAGTCTAGAGAATTATGGACTAGTCTCTCAACAAGCCCATGTAGACTACCCTCCCAGTATTTATCTACTTGAGAGATAATACATTTATATTGGAGTATTCATTGCTAATTATGGACAAAATGTATTTTGTGATATTTGCAGTATGGTGTTCAAGACCAACGAACTTCATCCTACCAGGCTCCCCCTGGGTTCAGATCTCATAACCCTTCAGGCCTTGTGCATACAGACATGGTGCATGTTGACCAGAATAAGGATGGTCATAAACACTCAGTCAGTACAGAACATATAGCATTAAGTGGTTCTGGGCAGTCATCTTTGAATAAGAGTGGAAGCAGTCCTCCAGGTTTTAGAGCTACTCGTACTCGAGGTGGTAAACAAAGGATGGATTCTAGTAGGGGAATGCATAAAACAGTGGATACAATCGCAGATGTTGAAGCTATTGAACCAAATACAAATGAAAATATGGAGCAGATTCAAGATAACAAAGCAGTTCATTTCCCATCAGCTTACAAGGACTCTGAGGAGTCTGGTAAAAGAGTACCTCCTTTGACACCCAGGGAATTGTTAGAACAGCATAAAAAGGGTTCAAGTCATCCCCCTGGTATGTTATTCAGGAGTGGAAAACCTAAACATGTGCCTATTCATCCCAAAATCCTTGAATCCTGCCAGGGAAATAAGGATGCTGTTGACACATGTGCAGCTATGGATGAAGGGTTTGATGACACTCCCAAGAAGAAGCATATCATCCCCCTGAAAATCAAGACATCTCCGCTAGATGAAAAATACCCACATGAAATTGGTACTCCAGGAATTCAAATCCTTACACCAAACACGTTCCACAAAATGGTTGAGTATCGACCTCCTACGCCTCATGATGATATGTTAAGTCCTAGATATCCCGATGCTATGGAGACAGAGACTTCCATTATAAACTTGAAATTACCAACTGTTATGACAACAGGGCCAATTAAATCCACGTCATACCAAGCTCCAAATCCAAAATCATTCACATCCAAATTCTCAGATTCTCCCCTCTCAGACAGTAAAGCTCCTCTAGCACATCTCTTACATCAGCAAACTGTGTATGCCCATGGAATTGGCAGAGGGAGAGGAGCATTTAGTCCCCACCATTTTCTAAAATCTCCCGAAACTGGTGAAATTAGTCCTAATCATCCAATTAATGGAGACAGTCGAACTGTACTCATTCAAAGCTCAAGCCCTAGTCAGAATAAAGCACTTGTCATAGAAGCTAATGCAGATAATACTAGTCTTCAGGAGCCAAAAGATCTGAACTTTGATGAATCCTATGATCAGTGGAGAAATCCAGTCAAGGAAGAACCTATCAGTAGCCCAGAGACTTGTGCACCATCCAGGCCACCGGGATTTGCGTTTTCATCTCCCAGGGTTCTCATTCCTAAATCTAAATCAGATGTTATATTATTTAAAGCTGATTCTGACTTCAGATGTGAAACTGGAGTCGCAGCCAAGACCAAATATGATGACATGAGCACTGCCAAAGATACTAAAGATAAAGATGACAGTCTCAGTGATACAGATGGTGTTCTCTTGTGTCACAGAGACATTACTCAAAGGAATACTAGGACTCAGGATTTGAAAAAGCAATATGAAAAAAGTTTGGAACAAATAAATAAAAAACATGAAGAAAATCTTCAAAAACTTGATGAAGATCAAAAGAAATTAGAGGAGGACCACAAAAAACTTTTAGACAAAGAACATAAAAAGTTAAATGGAGATCACAGAAAAGTTGAATACCATCACCATAGAAGACTAGAAGTTGATAAAGACCACAGAAAACTAGCTGATGAAGACCACAAAATACTAGTTGATGAAGACCAAAGAAATGAGGACCATCGACATATAGATAAGCACCCAAGAAATGTGTTCGATAAAGGCAAAGATAAGGACCATCAACAGGTACATCGGTACCACAGAAAACTACTTGCTGAAAAACATAGAAAGCTTCTTGATGAAGACCAAAGAGAACTAATTGATGAAGACCACAGAAACATCATTGATGAAGACCCTAAAAATCAAATGTCAAAACATGACAACAATGGTAATAAAGAATGCAAACAAACTCCAAGAATTGAAACGAAAAAGGAAATATCCAGGAAATCCCCATGTACTCCTGTAGTTCAGTACTGGGGAAAAGTTTCAAATCATACCAGCTCACCTGTAGTTGTAACTGATGATAATGTCCCCAATGATAAAACCATGAACTTCATGGAGGAAATTAAAATTCTGGAGTCAACACTCCAATCAAAGCCAAAAGATGCCAAACAGAAAGAGGGAGCATTTGATTTTATGGAGGGAGTAGAATTGATTCACAAACTGCTTTCCCCTGAAAAATGTGCAAATTCTAATGAGCAACTTGTATGTGCCAATCCAGACCCCCTAGATACACATTTAAGTCCTATTACATCTTATAGCAGCCAAGAAAACTTGAACTGGGATGTGCTCAAGAAAGAATTTGAATCAGAAAGTAGCCAAACAAGGATGAAAGAAGCAAACAAAGCCAAACTCTCTAGCCATCCTGCAATGTACCAGAATCATCAAACAGTTAAACAGCGCCAGAAAGATGAAACTGGAGGACGTAGTTTTATTTTAACTAGAGGTAAATCTGGCAGACCTCACTCTCAGGGAACCCCTAATAAACGCATAAAATGTAGTTCTTCACCCCTAAAGTCAGTTAGAACCCCCTTGCCAACAAAGAAGACAGAAAGCTTCACTAGCGTCGTAACAGATAAATGTGATCTGGCTAATATCGAACAATCTCATAAGAAAAATCTAAATGATGAGCTCAATCAAAGCTCTCATGGTACCAAGGTTGACCAGCATCATCATGATCCATATATTCAACATAAACCTGCACCAATGGTGAATAAAGGTCATGAAAAACATCCAAAATATCAGCTCAGAGACCGGCCTGAAAGATTTGGAACAAACACTCACGTGACATCTAGGAGCCATGTCAGACAATCATACCCTCCACCTTTACTAGGACAATGCTTCAATAGACCATATGCCCCACCTTATCCAGGACAACACTCTTTTCCCAGACAATCACCTTCATTTTTGCCCAATTATCAACAAGGCAATTCTCAGTCTAGAATGCCCCAATACAGGTATCCTAATATTGACATCCCACGTCACAAGGTTATAGAAATCAAGAAGTTTCCACAATGTTATGACCTTAATAATTCTGAAGATTGGGAAGAAGAACTTAGTGAAGATACTGATGCTGAAGAAACTCGTCATGCTACCATTACATACCAAAATCAACTCAAAGGTCAAGGGAACTATCCGATGGATAATGAGGAGGCTGAGTATGACAGTGATAAGCTTAGCGAGTCAGATAAATCTCAAGTCTCAAGTAAAATCAAGATATATGATTATCGCCACAATTCATTTGATGAAGACTCCAACAAAAGACATGGTGTCCCAGAATCCTACTGTCAGAATGATATCAAAATGGAAGAGGAGAAGTTTAAGATATGTCAAAAGAGGCCAAACTCACAATGTGCAAAAAGTAGCCTTGAAGAAGGTGAAATCAATGAAAGTGAAGAAGAAGTAAATTACAGAGATAATCAGTCTGAGATCGAAGCTGAGACTAAAACATTCAGGGAACCATTGAAGTTTTTCAGTGGCTATGATGGTACACAGAATTTTAATGAATCAAGAAAATGCTTGCCTAGACCACACTTCAAAAGCAGTGATGAGGATGAATATGAAGAAATTCATCAAACTAACCAAATGTCTCGATTAGGATGTGAAAAGATTGATGAGGCCCATTGTAAAATAGGTCGAGGAAGAACATATGCTGAAGCCATAGGAGTAAAATATTCTGGTCCAAGATTACCATTACAAACAGACCAGACTGTCCAAGGGAGGTACTCCAGTCCTGCATTTCCTAAACCCTTTATGGGTAGAGGAGTGAGAAGACCTGTGTCTGTGTTGTATCCTTCAGCCAGATACCCTGTCTACCCCAGAATGCCAACAGGTGGAAGAATGCATACCCCTGGAGGCTATCCTGCCTATAGAACTCAACACACACCAAGTAAAGAGGAAATAGAGGGAAAATGGGCCAATGATGACAGAGAAGAAAACATGGAAATTAGCTCAACAAATGTCACAAGTAAGAAAGCAGTACCTGACTGGTATGAAGAACCTGATCATGCTGGAGAAGGGTATGTAACTAAGTGGCCTGCCCCAGGAGAGCATCTCCAGTGCTTGCCTCCACACATTAGAAAATCCTATATTCAGCAACAAGCAGCGAAGAACAGTGCTGGCCATAAAGTTCCAGAGTTAGATGTAGATAGAAGTCCTTCTTTGAGAAAACCACCATATCTTAGCAGAGCAGGTCCAACAGGTATGTTAGTTTACCAGTTTATATTTGCAATGACCACAAAGGTGAATTTCACTTTAAATTTAGGTTTAGATCATTTCTCTTGTAAAAACATGAGAACCAGCATAACTTTAAATTTAAGAATGCAAAACTGATTGATTTATTTGACAGCATAAGAGATCATAAGCTAAAGTACACAACTTGTACATGTATATCATTGTAGGTGCATCCCCAGGTAGGCCTTCTCTTGGTTCATGGCGCAATGACCAAGCCTGGAATTCCTTAGGTCGGGAAATGTCCGACGTCCCCCAATATGGACAGATACCCAATGAGATATCATGGCGTCAAAACAATCAATTCAGAGATCAGAAATACAATGATGACATTCAGACTGAAGCTCCAACATGGAAAGATAGATTTAAACACAACTTTGGAAACATCACCGCAAAGTACATTGATTCTCACTGTCATATTGACTTCCTGTTTAACCAGCTGAGGTTCAAGGGTTCATTTGAAAGATTCATCAATGAGAACAAGGACATGTTTCCTCCATGCTATGAAGGCTGTATCACAGTGTTCTGTAACCCTGCCTCCTTTACACCCAAAGGTAGGTATACAAGCTGTTTGTAGAGGGACGTTTTGGGTATAATGGTATTCCTTCAGGAAATATATATACAGGGTGTTCATAAAGTCTCTACACTTTACATAGACTTTGTATCGGAATTATAAAGAGACTTTATGGATGCCCTGTATATCCTTTATATACAAAAGCTCCCATAATATTTGGTTTGTCCTGTTTTTGTGGAGCTCATAATGGGAAATATCATAAATATACCACTTGCAGATATTATGTTCATCCCATTTTAGGGGTTGAGTTGCCGAGGTTGCTCTGAGGTTTTCTGTGGACTATTTATTGAAGTATTTTTCACTTTCATTTCCACCATCTGTCTTCCTCTTCTACATCTGTATACTAGTGCTGCATCAAGCCTTTAACCAAACCCCCGCCCCCTTTCTCATTCACTCTCACCCTGACACTGTGAAGGAGAGATTGAGGTAAAACGGGGGTTTCATTCAAGACATTATACCTTCATAAAATGTGTTCATTGTGTATACTTTTTTATAGGTGGACTCTGGAAAGATATCCTAGCTGCACCAAATGTATGGGGAACATTTGGTTGTCATCCTAAACGTGCAACTGAGTATGACAAGATTGCTGAAGACGGTTTAAAGATGTGTATGCTGGAAGAGAAGGTGGTAGCTTTAGGGGAGATAGGTCTAGATTACTCTGGCAGGTAATATATATATAATAGCCCTGATTCGTTATATCTATTTGTGTGCTTGAGACACAATATGTTCAGGATTGTTAAGGAATGCTTTTGTAAGTGGAACCCTTTGCAAGTTGAAGTTTTACAATACTGCGAATGTTCTCGTTTTCAGTTTCGAACAACACAAGGATGTACAGAAAGATGTGTTCATCCGTCAACTTGAGATAGCACTAGAGATGAAAATGCCATTAGTATTGCATTGTAGGGAGGCAGCTGAGGACATGTTTCAGATCATGATTGAGGTTGGCCTTTTGTTTATTCAGATGTATTTTGCTTTTGCATATTATTAAAGGGATATTCCTTGCCAGACCATCTATCTCCTAATATGGTAGCTACATGTAAAACCACATATATTCTTTCCATGTTAAGCAAAACATGGATTCAGACAATATTGGTCACTAAAAATATGTAGTGCTCAATTCCAGTAGGCTACCATCTTTTTAGATTTCACTCAGAAAGTGATGTCAATGACTCTAAACTTTGCATATAGCATTAGGTAAGGAGCTATTCAGTATTCCAAAACCAGCTGAATATTCTTTTTCAATTTTGTCTATGATTTAATCCTTCTAAAAGTCTCTTTTACTCGAAGCTGACAAGCTCTGAAAATAGTTTTGCACATAAAGTAAGGACCACTTGTCTAGAAGTGATTTTGTGCTACTGTCCTATCCTGTTATAGGCAAGGTTATGAAGGTTGAGAGTCGATGACATCAATTCCTGAGTGAAATCTTAAAAGATCAGGCATCTCTCCCCCATATGTTCAAAACTGTTTCAAAGAGACAAAGTCTGTCCATAATTATGCTACTAGAGCAGTTGTTGAAAACTCACTTTATGTACCAAAACCTAACCTTGAAATATTTAAGAAAAGCATATCATACAGTGGTTCACATCTTTGGAAGAAGCTTGATAAGACTGTTAAAGAGTCTGATTCTGTAAATCCTTTTAAGAAAGCCTATAAACAGATGTATCATATCAGAAAGTGAAGATTTATATAAATGCATTCTTTAAAGAAATTGTTCTTTATATTCATGTAATTCTCTTAATAAGTTGTTGTGTATGTTTTGTGTGTGTATGTTAAATGGAAATTAGCACTAGGCTAGATTTTTAAATGATCAATATTGACTATATTAAAACAATTTACCATATTTTGCTAAATATGAAAATTATATACACTGTATACGATTATAGCTATCATATCAGGCAAGAAATGGTCTAGCCAGGAATGTTCCTTTAAGGATATTTTATTGTCTAACCTTGCCAGGATTGTATTGTTTGCCAGAGAATCAAATTCAGCATTTTATTTACTGTCCACTCCCTTGCTAAAAAGTTTGTATGACTATTCCTTTGACTTGTGCATATATCTTCCGGGATAGTTTGGGTTAATGTAAGTCACTGGGGAATGGGGAGAATTTCACATGTGGACTGCGGTCATTTTAGTGTAGAGTAAGTGTACGAGGGGTGATCAATAAGTAATGGACGCTTTTTTACACAGATGCTTTTTATAGACCAATCCCTTCGATTTTCTTACTAGTGATACATCATTCAATTATCTATCAACTCTGAAGATTTGAAAACAAAACATGTAATATCTTTTGATATATCTTTATTTCTGTGAAGGATGTATAGGTACCCCGGGACCGACATTTACATCAAACATTCTGAAGCTATTTTAGCTTGTTTAACATGCAATGCAGTTGAATGCAGGCTGAACAAAACAAACCATTATGGTCATGAATTACCCCATTTTGTTATGCCATAGTTGATTTTGAATATTTTATCATCACTATGTGGTATTCATGCCACATTCATTCCACAGGGGCCTCTACATAGGTTCCATCAAGTGCTACGTGTACACAATTCCTCATCCTCGTAATTCAAGATTGTGAGACAAGGCTGAATCCATTCTCTGACATGGTAGCAAGATGCAGTTGCACGGGTTGTTTTATTTCATCAATATCAATAAACATGCATCCTTTCTCTATAGAAATAAGTAGTATAGCAAAGTATATCAAACAACACAACACATGTTGCATATGAAAAGTTTAAATCTAACTGAAATTTTCCAAACTGGCTGAAAACTGAATATGTGACGTAAATGTCTGTCCCGGGGTAGCTCTACCTCCTTCACGGAAATAAAGATATATCAACATGTATTTTATATTTTGTCTTCAAATCCTCAGGAATGATAGTTAGTTGAATGATGTATCACTGGTAAGAAAATCAAAGGGATTGGTCTATAAAAAGTATCTGTGTAAAAAAGCGTCCATTACTTATTGATCACCCCTCGTATATAAACCAAACAATGGATAATATTAAGATTAGTATGATTCAAAGATCTAAAAATAGACTAGATGCGAGTAGAAATAATCTTGATTTACATTATTAAATATTCAAAATTCAGTCAAAATGATGTCATATTTGAAATCTGTATGTAAAAGTACATCTAGAAATATGGTTCCGAAAATTGTCTATCAACTTTGAAAAATTCTTTTTTTTAAATGTGACTTCTTGTTCGGGTTGATTCCCCATAGACCCCATGTTACAAAATCATAAAAAGTGAATTATCTTCTCTTGTATTGGACAGATAACATTTTCTTTTACTGGACATATTTTTATTTGCATAACTATGAGGTACATAAGGGTTATATGAAAATTGAACCATGCAAATAGATGCAATTTAAGTTAAAGGGAACTTTCTACTATACCCGCCATGCTATCTGACCCGAACGAGCCACCTGGTGGTGAATATGGTAACTACCTACTCGCATCTGCGTTATTGACTTAAAACAATATCTTGAAACTATTGTAGGTGGTGTATGACTAATGTTTAGATATAGATAAAATAATTGTCTTTTTACCTTCCAGAAGGTGCCTCGTAACCATAAAATTCACTTGCATTGCTTTACAAGAGACTGGCCAGAGGCTTATAAGTGGATAAATGCATTCCCAAATCTCTTCATTGGTAAGTTAATTTTTGTAGTGTGAAGAATATATTATTGCTTTAATGATTCCTAGAAAAGCTGGTAATTCTCTCATCCAGGGTGCAAAACACAGAATATAATATTCATATAATTTTGCAAAAGAACAGCATTTGGATTTATTCATAAAAATTGTACAAACAAGTAGCAAATGTGATGATCATATTTCTAGTAACTATAACAATAATATCAATATATTGTAAGATGGAAGCTAAAACAAGCATACTGTATATTACTGTACATTTATATATAATAGCAATAATATATAGTATAATAATAATAATATAATGATAATATAATAGCAATAATATATAGTATTACTGCCACTGGAGAGTGGTAAGGGTGAATTTTGGTGAAATGAACTTATGTCATGCGAAGATTCAAGTGTCATTTTTTGAAACAGTTCCTGTTATACAATTGCAATTTTGCAGCATGTCCATTTCATTCTCAGTTGAATGTCTTGTCTGTCAGTGAGTGCCCAGGATACAAGGAATTCATTAGTAGTGCACCTCACATGGTGTCGATCCAGAAACTCTAGAGATTCTCCAGCTACTTGTTGATAGTCACCAATATACTCTTTACAGCTTGTCCATACAGCCTGGAAAATCCAATATCCAATCCTCATATACTACATGTACTTATTAGTTATCCCACCGAACGTAGTTCGAGGGGGATATAGAAAAGCAGTTTGTCCGTCCGTCCATCCGTCCGTCCGTCCGTTCGTCCGTCTGTCCGTCTGTTGATTTTTATCTTACCAATCATGACTTAAATATTAATATGGGTATTTCCTATAATTAATATATACTGGATTTTAACTTATCAAATATGACTTCAATATTAATATGGGTTTAAACCTATAATGTATTAAATACTGGATATGACAAGTAAATAAAATCAATTATAATCTACCTATATGATGTGGGACAGTGTATCTATATATTACAAGATGTCCGTTCGTGTGTCCGGGCAATAACTCAAATACCGGTTGACGGATTTCATTCAAATTTTATAGGCTTATGCTTTATGGGTGTAGGACTTCCTCTCGAGAAGGAATTTCCAATATGGCCTCTAAATTCAAAATGGCGGCCATTTTTCGGAAAAAATATAATCTTTCATAACTCAAATACTAGTGGATGGATTTGGTTCAAATTTTATATGCTGTTGTCTGGGTACAAAGGAGCCTTGCTCAAGAAGACATTTTCAAGATGGCCACCATATTTCAAAATCGCGGCCATTTTTCGTAAAATAACGTTATCTTTGATAACTCAAATACCATTGAATGGATTTGGTTCAAATTTTACATGCTGATGCCTATGGACATAGGAGCTCTTCTTGAGAAGGGATTTTCAAGATGGGAGCTTAATTTCAAAATGGCCGCCATTTTATATGAAAGAATGTAACCTTTGATAACTCAAATACCAGTTGATGGATTTGGTTCAAATTCTATATGCTGATGCCTAGAGACAAAGAAGTTCTGCTCAGAAGACATTTTCAAGATGGCCACTGAATTTCAAAATGGCCGCCATTTTTTGTAAAAAAAACGTAATTATTGATAACTGGATTTGGTTCCAATTTTATATGCTGATGTTTAGGGAAAAAGGAGATCTGCTACAGAAGAAATTTCAAAGGTGTCAGCTGAATTTCAAAATGGCTGCCATTTTCCATAAAAAAGGTAATCTTTGACAACTCAAATACCACTGGACCGATTTACTTCAAATTTTATATACTGATGCCTAGAGATAAAGGAGCTCTGCTTGAGAAGAAATTTTCAAGGTGGCTTCTATTTATTGAAATCTCCGCCATTTTTCATTAAACATGTAATCCTTGATAACTCAAGTACCAGTTGACAGATTTGGATTAAATTGTATATGCTGATGCCTTGGGACATAGGAGCTCTGCTAAAGAAGAAATCTAAAGATAACAGCTGAATTTCAAAATGGCAACCATGTTTCATAAAAACATAATCTTTGATAATTCAAATAATAGTGGATTGATTTGGCTCATATTTTATATGGCTGCTTTAACATGTTTTGTTCGGTGGGATTTGCTACTCCGTGGAGTTGCTGTTTTTCTAGTTATACCATGGTTAGTGGAGATACTTGATTTGAGGAAAGAGGGGCAATTTATCTAGCAATGACATCTTGTAATATTAATTGTGTATATTGTGATGAAAACAAGTAATATGCCTGATATCCAAGAAACATAGTTGAGAAATTGTGATATCTTGTATAAATTAAAATATGTTTTGGAATTTGGGCATTTTTCTGCAAAAAGACACCTACTTTCACATGCTTAACAAAATTTCCATTTACTTTCTTGGTTGTGATCATTGCTGACCTTAACGCATAACTCTACCAAAATATTACTCATAAGACTTACATTACTTCCACCAGGTTCCCCTTTATCTCCTTTGGGTCCTTGTGGTCCAGAGTTTCCAGTTGGTCCAGGTGGTCCTTGCTCTCCTTGTGGTCCAGCTGGTCCAGGTGGTCCTTGCACTCCTTGTGGTCCAGCTGGGCCAGGTGGTCCTTGCTCTCCTTGTGGTCCAGGTGGTCCTTGCTCTGCTTGTGGTCCAGGTGGTCCTTGCTCTCCTTGTGGTCCAGGTGATCCTTGCTCTCCTTGTGGTCCAGGTGGTCCTTGCTCTCCTTGTGGTCCAGGTGGTCCTTGCCCTCCATGTGGCCCAGGTGGTCCTTGCTCTCCTTGTGGTCCAGGTGGTCCTTGCTCTCCTTGTGGTCCAGCTGATCCAGTTGGTCCTTGCTCTCCTTGCGATCCAGCTGGTCCAGGTGGTCCTTGTTCTCCTTGTAGTCCTTGATCTCCTTGGTATACTGGAAAATGTTAAACAGTTACTTTTCTATTGTCATTCAGTAACTCTAACTTTTGTTTGTTGTAGGTCTGACGCCACTCTTAACATACAAACATGTTGGTGCACTACAGGAAGTAGCGCGTCAGATACCATTGAATAAACTACTGCTTGAGACGGATGCCCCTTACTTTTTACCACATGGGGTAAGTCCATCATTTCTAAAGAAAATTTATTGTAAAAAGGACCACAGCAGATATTACAAAACTGTTTGAAAGGTTCGCATCTCTTATTTGATATATTTTAAGTACAGTATCTCAATAATAGGACAGTTTATTTAAAAAAAACAATTTCCCAAGGAAAGGTACAAGGGGTGATCAACAAATAACGCAAATAGTTAACAAAAATATATAGATATTTAGCAGTCTATGAAAAATTGATTAATCCCCCATAGCGGAGTAATCTTCCGATCCCACCAATTGTCAATCAATAAGTTTTAAATATGGAATTAATTCTACACATTACCTTCAGTCCTGTTGCAGCAATATTCATTTTCAGTTTTCAGATCATTCAGTTGAGTTTCAAGGCTTTTGACTGCGTTTTTCCAAGCAGGCTGAGGCTGGGGTTTCTTTCCTCTTCGTTTCTTCTTTGCTTCTGTATTTGCCATGAGTGTCACAAGCAACACTATTGTTAGTAGTGCTTTAAGATGCATGATTCACACAAGATGCGTGCTCAGTTGATGATATCGCAGTCAAGTTTGTTATTATGTTGATAAGTTTTGGGTTTATATTCAACATTAATGTATTCATTTATCTAGGCACAGATATCTCATCAGCATCAGACACATATAATTGCAGCATGTGTCCATAAAATGTAACACATTTCTAATTTATTTTTATTTTTATTAAGTTTCACAAATTATACAAAATGGAAATAAGGTAGTTAAAATGGAAGCATGTGTTTCAAATGACCCATCCTCAATCATTTTTCAATCATCTCTATTAATAAGGCCACCCTGTATCCTCCACTCTGATATATATACATCCACTCTGATATCTTTATACACGTGATGTTCCATTGTGTTGATAGATGGCATCTGATATGTGACATTAGGCTTATTACAAATAATTGAGAAATGACATATACATATATTCATTTATTTTATGTCCATCCATAGTATCTGTATGACATACCATCACCATGTCTTATTGTTGTCTCGGTTTTTGAGAATTTGGTAATTTTGACATGTTAATATCACGCTCGGTGATCGTCAAAATGGATGGAGGGAGGAGTAGGTGATATATTTTTTGTATAACGCATGGAAATTAATTTTAAAAAGTGAGCGATGTCATTAGTGTTGTGATGCGCCTTTTTTAATAGATCGCATATCTTAGAAGCGTATCAGTTCAAAAAAAAATACTAGAAGACCAAACATATTTTGCCATGCACTGTGCCTATTCAGTTGGCAATTCAGTTCTCTTGAAAAAATAAATCTTCCAAATTTGTTGAGTTTTCTTGCAGAAATCGCCTCCTCCCCCTCCATCCATTTTGTACGATCACTGGGCATGAATATATGTACAGTACATGTATCAAACATTATGCCTTTTAAAGTTTTTAAACTTTTTTGTAGATGGTGTTCAGTGTCTATTACAAATGGCAGGTGGTGATATATTGCATGTTAAAGCCTTGTTTTTTATTACCATCAATTAAACACTAGTGCCGATTGGGCCGGTAGCATGCCTGCTGTCTCTTGTTTCAATATTCATTATCCATTAAACTTTTATCGATCTGATAAATTAGCAATTAGCTGCTAAGCAAGTTGTTTTTATTGGGTGCTTTGATTTAGATTTGAATTTCATTTGAAAACTTCAAAGACAATTAATCATCTAAGTCATTGTTTCAATATTCAGAGTTCATTGGAACATACCCATGTTCTTCTCATTGCATATCAATCTTCACTACATTTTGCATTATTTAGCTTCTAAATCCTGGCTTGGATAAGGTTATATTGTAATAGTCATGTTGCAATTGTTGGATTGGCATATCATCCTTTTCAGCTTTTTATCGTACCTAAGAAGGTACGATATTGTCGTCAATTTGACAGGCAGGGGGCTTCTCACTTTCTTGTCATCGCGATTCCAGGAAAACCACTCAACGGATTTATTTCAAGTTTTTACACATGTTACATGGTAATAAGAAGTTCTAGAGCTGATTAACTTTTCAGCGGTCATCTTGCATTCTGGTGGCCATCTTGGAAGTTTTTAGATAAATCTTGTCGTCGCGATTCCAGGAAAACCACTTAACAGATTTGTTTCAAGTTTTTACACATGTTACATGGTAAGAAGTTTTAGAGCTGATTAACTTCTTAGCGGCCAACTTGCATTCTGGCGGCCATCTTGGAAGTTTTTAGATAAATCTTGTCATCGCGATTCCAGGAAAACCACTTAACAGATTTATTTCAAGTTTTTACACATGTTACATGGTAAGAAGTTCTAGAGCCTTGTCATCGCAATTACACACTGCTATGTTTTAGTTATGATATTGTTCACCCTGTGCATCAATCATTTTAAGTTATCATTTACTACTAGGTGTCTTCTTCATTAATTACTTGGTGTCTTGTTCATAAATACAAGTATAGGGAACCCCAAAATAGAAATGATGGAATTATGATGTGGGCTATGATCTTTAAGGAAATACTTCTATTTCAGGTGGCCAAGACAGACTATGAGAAATCCCATCCTGGGTTTGCCATTTACACAGCAAAATCAGTGGCCTATCATAAAGGCATACCCATAGAAGATGTTTTAATCGCATGTCGAGAAAACACTCGCAATATGTATGGAGTTTAATGGTGTTGATACTTTGCAATAAAAGGACAAAGCAGAATAGCTGTATTAAATATCAGCATTATGATAATCAAATATAAATGGACTAAAAGTATGATTTACTTAATTATACATCCTAGTTTTATATTCCTAGTACATATGTATTTATCAATGAATCTTTGAGCAATTTGTTTGTTGCTATTGTCCCGACTTTCTATGGATATTCAACAAGTTCATTAAACTGCCCTGTAACACCAAATGTTGTAATATAAAAGTAAAATGCCTCATTAAGAAATGAATGTGTTAAAAAGTGATTCATTCAAATGATGTCATTTCCCAAGTTTCTTGGGACCCCTCGGGATAAATTTAGGATCAACAGATAGGAAGGCAGGAACGCACGGACTGAATTGTGACAGTGAAATGTTTATCAATTGGGGGGGGGGGGGTTCAGGGAGATTTTTTAAAAATGATTTGTTAAACAGAAAACAGATAAAAGACTAAACAGAAGCTTTTAGAATTTATTTATTTTCAAAATTGTTGTTTTTAAAACATTTTTTCTTGCAATAAATCAGGAGACTATGGATTTTAAGGAATGTGAGATGTAAGAGAAAAGGGAACACTTCAGAATTGGGACAAAATGGGGGATTGCAGAAAATTGAGAAAGAAAAAAGAAAATAAAACAAAATTTAAAATCTGGAGAAAACCTAAAAGCTCAGAAGATGCACCAAGAAAGATCAGTTTTGGCACGTAAGCTGATTACTCAAGTGTTAAAATATGACACTGAAAAGACAATGCATGAAAAAATTAAATTAATGATTTTTTTAATTCATGCATGAATTACATGTAACACTAAAGCATGTGTTTGAAATATCAAATACTTTTTTTCTGCCACGATCTTTTGATACAAAAGAAAGTGGATGGCAAAAGTGCATGTAGTCTCACTATTTAGATAAGAATCTCAATTGAATACAAAATGTGCCACTATTTAGGAATCTTAGAGTTTTACAAATTGTGTCATCAATTAATAACAGTGTAATTCGATGACTATATGATTATTTTTTGTTTGATCGAGAAGGTGCCTAATCTTGCCTATTTTTGGCACACAGAATTTTGTTGACCTGGGTCATTTGCACATTCATTTTATGTCTATCAAAGTATTTATTTCACCATTTTTTAGATGAATAAGCAATTTTGAGATCTTGAAATTATATTTTTTGGTTATAGGTATACAATTGGAGTTTTCTCGTAACATTTCACTGTGTCACCTTTATTTACCAACTGCCATACATTTGAATGGTAAAAATGATCCTTGATATTCATGTTCATGTCAGAATGATATTAATGAATAAAGTCTTATTTTACTTACATAATTTCAATATTCTGTTATGTTTAAAATAATGTAACTGTACCTTGGCATAGGAAAGTGGAAGGCTTTTGTTGTGTTGGAAATACTGTACTTCTACTTAATTTGGTGCTACTTATTTTGGCGGATTTGCTGTTTTGAACATTTGGTGGCTACTTAATTTGGCAGATTTGCAATATAAGAATGTACTAATGGTACTAATTAACATGGTACTAAAATTTTGGGGGAATTTGGCGGCTATTTAATTTTGCAGACTTTAACAATTTGGTGGATCTTAAATTAAAATGGCCGCCAAATTAAGTAGAAGTACAGTACCCTCTTTTGCCATTATAATATGCATTATAACTGCATCTTGACATTGTCAACTTCTAGAAATTACCAGATTATGATATTAATACTATTATTATCATAATTATCAGGCCCGTAGCCAGAGATTTTAATTTGGCAGATTTGCAATATAAGAATGTACTAATGGTACCATAATTATCAGGCCCGTAGCCAGAGTTTTCCAAGGGGGGGGTTTACTTTTCCAAGAAATTCTAGAGGGGGTTCACTTTGGCAAATTTGGCCAAAAATCACTCAAAAAATAGTCAGAATGGTGAAAAACTGCCTGAACCACCTGGCAACGGGCCTGATTATAAAATGAAATACCATTAAATACTCCAAAGAGAAAATGTTGCACTTGTTTAAACATACTTGTTGACTGCTACATGAATTCCTTTGTTTAGTAAATGTCACCAAATACAATACAAAAACAATGGAGCAATACAAGTAATTCTATTTTAACCATATCTATACAATGAGCGCTCTCATAAAATATTTCATCTATCAAGTGCAACTGAAGTATTTTTCTTAAATTTTGAGATAAATTATATGTTTAGAAGATACACAATTATTTTTTATGCAAAGCATTGCAACTGCAAATTTTTTATATCATTTTTGTGCTAATTTGATTATTCTAGGCCAATGATAAAAGCATTACTAGAGGCAGGATGAAACAATAAAATTTCAACAAATGATTTAACTTGCAGTTAAATTTCCTCTCTTATACATATTCCACCTATTTCTCTCGTAATTTTAAACTAGGCTAACTGTTTGCATTTTTATGTTTTCATGCAAATTAACAAGACAAGATTCTCTTTTACTAGATTTCTTTCCAATTCATTTCTTTTCTAGCTTGATTAACAATTTCAAATAGGACTGTGTGATATTTTATTCAAGAACATATATCTATTATTCCATTGTTCATGACAAATAAAGGTCTATTATTATTATCCCACCGAACGAAGTTCGAGGGGGATATAGAAAAGCCGTCCGTCCGTCCGTCCGTCCGTCCGTCCGTCCGTCCGTTCGTCCGTCCGTTCGTCCGTCCGTCCGTTCGTGTGTCCGGGCAATAACTCAAATACTGATTGACGGATTTCATTCAAATTTTATAGGCTTATGCCTTATGGGTGTAGGACCTCTGCTCGAGAAGGAATTTTCAATATGGCCGCTTAATTCAAAATGGTGGCCATTTTTCGGAAAAAATATAATCTTTATTAACTCAAATACTAGTGGATGGATTTGGATCGAATTTTATATGCTGTTGCATTGGTACAAAGGAGCTTTGCTCAAGAAGACATTTTCAAGATGGCCACCAAATTTCAAAATGGCGGCCATTTTTCGTAAAAAAACGTTATCTTTGATAACTCAAAGACCATTAAATGGATTTGGTTCAAATTTTAGATGCTGATGCCTATGGACATTGGAGCTCTGCTCAAGAAAGGATTTTCAAGATGGCAGCTAAATTTCAAAATGGCTGCCATTTTTCATAAAAGAACGTAACCTTTGATAACTCAAATTGACGGATTTGGTTCAAATTCTATATGCTGATGCCTAGAGACAAAGAAGTTCTGCTCAAAAATAAATTTTCAAGATGGCCACTGAATTTCAAAATGGCCGCCATTTTTCGTAAAAAACGTAATTAATGATAACTCAAATACTAGTGGATGGATTTGGTTCCAATTTTATATGCTGATGTTTAGGGGAAAAGGAGATCTGCTTCTGAAGAAATTTCAAAGGCGATAGCTGAATTTCAAAATGGCTGCCATTTTTCATTAAAAAAGTAATCTTTGATAACCCAGATACCATTGGACGGACATTCTCTGCTAAAGAAGAAATCTAAAGATGACAGCTGAATTTCAAAATGGCAACCATGTTTCATAAAGACATAATCTTTGATAATTCAAATACCAGTAGATGAATTTGGCTCAATTTTTTTTATCAAAACATGTTTTGTTCGGTGGGATTTGCTACTCCGTGGAGTTGCTGTTTTTCTAGTTATTATATTAAAGTCATGATTTTTACTTTAGCACACTTGTTTATAAGGTTTAAATGAGAAAGATCGCTATACAAAATGATGTTTTAGAATACGAAACAACATTTATTTTTGGAATACTGCAGTAAATCTTTTCTAAATATCCATAATTTTTATACATGTGCAAGACAGTGAAACACAAATGACTAAAACCATGAACAAAGTCTTCTGTATTTTACACTCAGCAAAAGTTTGTTTACTTTTACCAGTTCTTCTGACTGGATTAGAGAATAGCAAAGGTAAGTTAATCTATTCTACACTTTTTAGAGAATAAATCAATGCACTACACTGATGAGTGTATACTATTCAATTTATATCTTGTTCAAACTTTGAAATAGATAACTTAAATACTTATTTGTATACTCTATCATATGGACTGACTTTTCACATCAGCCCTTAGCGCAGAATTTCGTTCTGTGTTTCATTAACTGATAAAGTATGTATTATTAAAGAGAGAATCAGATCTACGTATAGGGGTCAACAAAACCCACCTACCCACCTACGTGGGACATGATACAGTCATTGAAGGGTTCAATTTTAAAGATCTTCAAATCCCAAAATAGCTCAAATTATTAACATTTCTACAATTCCGGCTTTAATTTATGACTAGACGGATGACAGATCCAGAAATAAAGGCATATCGGTGCATTGTAATGTGTAATGACCCAAAGGCTCCCCAGGGGAATGGCTAACTAACGACCGCGAGCATAGGTCCAAGCCAGATAAAGAAATTGAAAGAAAGTGTGCTAAATTCGATGCCCTGAGTGGGAATCAAACCACCGCAAGCTGGGCTGTAGTAGCAACTTGCTATCAAGGGTCGTGACAAATGCATCTATAATTCATCATAAACTATAGATTTAACAAACTTAGATCTTTAAAATTGAACCCTTCAAAGACTGTATCATGTCCAACGTACGTAGGTAGGTGGTTATGAGGTAGGAGGTTTTTTATACAAAGCCCAAAAATATTCGAAAATTGAAACAATTTTTGTTGAAAAACTAATTTAGTATCTAGAAAAAAATTATGTGCTAGACTGAGCCCACAAATTATAGAATCTGTTTTTTCAATGTTTTAGGACTCCGGGCAATACTTTGCTATATTTGAAAATATGGCATTTGACTCATTATTTTTCATCAAGAAGTTTTTCCTCTTTTGATGTCATGCCACATCATCTTATTTTCCTTATTGGTAAATGGCAACTGCTCTTATTTTTATCAGAAATATAAGTTACAAATAGTGTAGTACAAGTGTTTATAATTTGTCTATAAGATATTGATCTGGTTGGAATATATGGAATATATCTAAAATCACTAATAAATTCCTTGAAACCAGGAGTTGTATATGATATACAGGCCCATAGCCAGGATTTACAGGGGGGAGCGGTTTTACCAAGGGGGGGGGGCTTTTTTGAGTTTTGGCAAAAAATGATGCGAAAAGTGCTCAAAAATTGGATGATTTTGAAAGAATATCTGGGTAGGGGGGGAAAGGGGCCGCTCCCTCGGCCCCCTGGCTACGGGCCTGATATACACGTAACCCCTTTTGACTGTTAACCTTACTCAATTAAATACTGCTATGAATAAAGCTGTCATTCCACTGAATAATTGATTGGTGGTTGGCAATTTTTATTGAAATCCATGCATTATAAAAAGTAATAGCAAAAGAAAAAACATGGACTTTTTTTGGCTCACTCTGTAAATTAACCAATTTGAAACAGTGCAATAAGTCTACATTACCGAATGGTATGTAACGACACTTATCATTTTCAGCCTGGGAATGTTCCATCCTTACAAATAATGCAAGCTTCCCAGCAAAGCCATGGGAGTATACAATCTCAACCCAGGACTGTAAGAATGACTTTGCCATGCCATTATGTGAAGTGGCAAAACCTGAGTCTGGTAATCATCATTGTTTTAAGCTTTCCTATCATTGTTCTAGGCTCCACTATTAATTCTGTAATTACTCTGGGTAATTACTACAATAATAAAGTATGAGATAAAATTATATTGTATTATAAACATCATTTTCAGTATCATATGTTTTCATATTGTTATTCAATAGCCTTAGTGAGTAAAATAAAAATGGATACATTATATTGGATTTACTTGTTATTGCACTCTTGTGTGCTATATCATGATCAATTTACTACGCAGGGATCCCACTTACTGATCTCGAACTTATTACTTTTTGGGCATTCTGGGTAAATGTTAGAGCAACCATTTTGTTTTTCCATCCTAAAATCCTGTCAAGTTACACATTTCCAGGCAAACCTTTTGACAAACTCATTTCAAATTTTCAGGGATGCTTCATATCAAAATCTGGAACTGATAATAATTTTGGAATTCTAGATTAAATGTTAAGGCGCCTATTTTGAATTTTCTGTCCTTAAATCTCTTGTCTACACATTTTTAGGTACACCATTTATCAGATTGATTTCAAATTTTCAGGGATGTTTCTTGAACTAACTATATTTTAAGCGTTCTGGGTAAATGTTAAGGGTGACATTTTGGATTTTGTTTTGTCTACATGTTTCAAGCCAAACAGTTTTTATGTCCTGAAATCTTGTGTCTAGTTGTCTAGGTAAATGTAAAATCGGTCATTTTGGATTTTCCATCATAAAATCTTTTCTGTAAAGTCTTTTACACGTTTCTTGGTATGAAACTCCAACACTGATTATTCTCACATCAGCCCTTAGAACAGAATTTCATTCTGCGTTTCCCTTAATACAGGAACTAATCTGAAGACAATATTTCACACAACTGCATTCCATTATATAACCAATTCAAGGTCACTAGTTAAACGGTTGTCAAGGTGATAACTGAACTCCTCAGATTGAAATGATAACATGCCAACTTGACTCTTTGAAAAACGTTTCATTGAAAATATGTTCTTTTGGTGATTTCGTTTTTTTGTAGAAAATATTTTGCAATGTGTGAAAAGAATTGAAGCCGAAGACTCAATGCATTGTGTATACATGTAATGACCATTTCTTTTAGGCCTTGTTTCCTAGAATTAACACTTGATGCTGTGCATCTCGTGCAAATTTTGGAAAGCAACACCTTGAAAGAATGGTCATTCCACATTGCACTTAGTCCATGGCTTAAATCCTTAAGTGCATTATGCATGGTTTCATAATGAACTGATCAGTGTCACTATAAAAGAATGACATCATCACTGTCAATTAGGGTTTCATAAAGAACTAGACATTTTATATACATCCTGATATAAAAAACGCGAGCTCTGTCCTCATGCATTATGTGTATGGGTTAGCGCAACTTGTTTTATTTTGATTTCCCAGGTTGTCCTAAATATTATACCAGGTTTGCTTCCAATACAAGTTGTTATGGAGTTGGATACAAACGGAGGACAGCAGAAAATACAACAGAGTTCATTAAATGTAGAGTGATCTGTGCTATTAATTTCTGCAGTAGACTGAATAATAATGGACATAGACTACGAATCGAATCCCAAAATGAGTTGGCATTTGTTGGAAATGAGATCTTCAAAATTTTCCAGAACCAGACTCATCCAATGGAGTTCAATATTGACAGCCATGTGCCAGGTAATTTGAGCCTATTTGAGTTTATTTGATTATTATCAGTTTTCGGGATGTATATCATCCATGAACTCATGGCATTATCAAAATTGTAGTTCTGGGTGAGTCATTGGGAAATTCAGCACAATTTAGAATAATCTTGTTTGATAACCAATTTTTGATGAAAGTATGAAAAGGTCAACTAACATATGAAATGCTGGTATGATGACAATCTTTGAGATGGCCCCGACCTTGACCCGTGATCATGTCCTACTATGATTCTGTAGACCTCCTTGGGAGACTTAAAGAGATGGTCGTTTAATATTCCAAATAGTAATTTGGTCTTGACCTCTTGACGTTACCCTGACTCGAGTTGACCTAAATATCTAAGCACAATTTCCAAAGGGAAACGACCAAAAGTTGTAATGGAACCTTGCAAACAAAAGCAAACTCTAATGTACACCAATCATAAGGGAAACAAACCCCATATATTCCATCAATGGACATTTCTTTCATACTTGAGTCATTACATGTTTATGTTGAAGAAAAATTAGAAATTGATAACTAATTGGCAATACTCATAATATCAAAAATAGCTGTAGATACAAGTACTCATACAAGATAGAGCATTCATATAAATAAATAGATATAGGTTTGTACATACAATGAGATTAACATTATTATGGAGGAGCTGGAAAGACAGATAAGCAGACCACCACATTGTATAATTAAAAACATGGTTGAGGAAAAAACTCACAAAAATAGATCTTTAGAGGTTACATATCATTAAAATAATCTGATTTCAGATCCCTGTATCAATCCACGGCCACACAAGTGGAAAGTTGTAAAAAACAGCTACATGTATATTGGGGAGGACCGTAATGGTAGAGTTGTTCACTTCAACAACTCTTTAAACAAAGCTAAATGCAAAAGCTACTGTAACAATTTCAATGACTGTATGGGTTTTGATTATGGGAAATTCAAAATTAGGAGAAAGTGGATCATAGGATGTGTTCTACACCCATATTCTTTAATGGATCGCCCAAAAGCTGCCATACAAGATCTTCATCATCGTACTGTAGAGACAAACCATACTTACAGAATTTGTGGTAAGTAAATTTGCGTCATAATGACAGTGAAAACTGTTTTTGCCTTGTCAGCTAGTATATAATATATATGGCGTTCAATTACATTGATTAGTATTGCCAATTTTGGTAAAACTTTTGTTCTCTTGCTTTTTTCTTCATGAAACTTTTACCATTTATTGTTGTTTTCAAATGTTTCAACTTTTGTTCCCTAATCTACATAATACCATGGGCGTAGCCAGGGGGGGGGGTGCGATGGGTGCGATCGCACCCCCCCCCCATAACCTTTGAAAATATGACCATTGGATAGAGGAAGAACAGAGCTTTAAAATGCTTTTTATTTGAAGCTTCTAGCTCAATTTTGAAGGAAGTTGCATCAATTTTTGTAAAATTCAAAAGAAATCTTAATTTTTTGTGTTGCTTATGCCAAAATCGCACCCCCCCTGACCGAAAACTGAAATTTTTTCGGCAATCGCACCCCCCCCTGACTGAAAGCTGGCTACGCCCCTGTAATACCCAATAGTTTGTGAAATATTATATTTGATGCATGAATACTAACAATGCAATGAATTTATGTATTTAAGATAGGGCAAACATTACCACCGCATCTCAAACTACTCCCAATGTATATTCAACGGCCGGACAACAAATAATAACTGACTTGGTCAATTCAACGGTTGAACAGCAAAATATATCTGACCTGATAAACTCTGATGAACAGCAAAGCGTAACTGCCTTTGTAGATTCAGCAGTTGAACAGCAAAGCATAAGTGCCCTGATAACTTCAACAGTTGAACAGCAAACTACAGTTGACCATCAAAGAAAACACTACATTGGAACAACTACCGATAAACTACCAAACATTACAAGGCTAGATGTCTCCAATATTAGATCTACTACCAGTGTCAATTTGAAGCATTCAAAATTAGGAGATGCACATGAACCTTCATCTGGAGACATCTTGATGTATGTTGTGTACATTTTGATTGCATTAGTCATTCTTGGATTATTCCTGGGGATAATACTGATGTTCAAGAGAAATAAGAGAGGATTTGTAAAGGCAAAATCTAGCCAAACTAAAAAGATGCAACAAGTTGAGAAAACACGAAGCAGTGGCAGTACAAGCTCTGAAATCCCCATCATAGCCTCAAGACCAATGTGACTCATCAATCATTCTCTCACCATTTATTGGTATTGATTCTGAAAATGATGTGAGGAGAAGTATTTTTGCCAGATTTTTTACAATGCACATTGAACATGGGGTAGAAGCTACATTGAACATGGGGTAAAATCTAGATTCTGAGAGACAAATGTAGAAATTCATACCTGTAATAGAGACCAAGGCCCTTTGGTACCATGAATGGAGTATTACATATATCATATTTGTTTGACTGTGATATGAACATCAGATTTTAAAGATGGCATTATTGTATGCATCATACTCGTGATACTCTCTATATATATACAATTGTATTTTGCATATTCAGACTAAACTTACTATCAGTTATTCCATTGAATGAAGTTTGAAGGGATATAGGGAACGGCTCTGTCTGTCCATCCGTCCGCCCGCACGTGGTGTCCGTCTATCCATCCGGGCAACAATTCAAATACCATTGATCTGATTTTGTTCATAGTTTGTACACATATACCCTTTGGGAGTACAGGTTCTGCTTGAAAGCCAGTTTTGAAAATGGCAGCTCTTCAGACATGGTGGCGATTTTATGGCTGATTTTACAGTAATTTAGGTACAATACGTAAAACGCAATATGTTTTAAATGTAAAAAATTAAAGAGTGCAATAATAAAGCTAGGAATGTAGATATTTAAGAACCACATGGCATGGTTATGGATATCTTTACCACCTTGCATGAAACATTGAGTATGTAATAGGATGATAAAAAAGCAAGTATATTTTGCTAAGGAAGACTAAAGTATGCAGAGTCCCTTTAAACAGAATATCAATACTGAAGATGATTTAATCATTGAGAAATATATGTAGTTGAAATCAACTTGAACTTAAGATAACAACAACAACTCAAAGATATGCGAATTATAACCACTGGAACTGTGCATCAGATGAAAGGTTAGTTTTTACCACATTTTATAGATATTTTATGGTACCATTGATTTACTCTAAACAAGCAAAAGGCAAATTTTCGATATTCAGATTTAGCAAGTAATCTAATCAAGATTTATTGACAACACTAAATGCCATGACTTATTTCTATTTTTTACATATCAAGTTCTGTAAATAGTACGAACTGATAGCTGTGACAAGTCAGTAGGGTCATCTACTATTTAATTGTATTTATTTATAAATATTATACTATATTTGTGATTCTGTTTGATGTATATTTCTGCAGAAGTTTAGTGGTTTGTTATTAACAGTTTAAGTGATTATCTTGTAGGAAATGGAACTGATGAGGAGTATATTGGTGTTGGCACTGTTTGCTGTTGGAATAGGTATGTAGAAGTTATATCTATATAGATCAAATTCAAGTTGTCTCTTTTAGGAAATGCAAACACATCAAAATAGTTCATTTATATTTGATTACTGCAAGATTTGAACCCTCATATGATATTTGTTGACTAAATTAAAAAATACATAATTATTTTGGAATTAGATTTATGTCTTACAATAATTGAGACTGAATATTTGTAATCAAAAACTTTTTGATGTGCAGAGATTTGGAAATATATATTGTTCTTCAACATATACCATATCAACTTATGAATGAAATGTCTCATGATGTAATTATGCAAAACATAGGTCTGAAATTTCAATAACATTTTTTCAAAGATAACATTTTTGTTTGTCTTAGCAAATGTTGTTTAAAAAGCAGTTGTAAAGTCTTTAGTGATATGCTGTTCAATACACACTTACCATCTTATCTTAGCTGTATAAGTGGAAGTAATTAAAACATAAGTATCTTAAATGTTTCAAAAGATACTGTCGCATGTGTTATAGGCCCTGCAGTAGGGTATAGGCATTGTTATCCAATCGAACAAAGTTCGGAGGGATATAGGGAATGCCTCCGTCCGTCTGTCCGTACGTATCGTCCGTACGTATCGTACATCCGTCTGTCCGTCCGTCCGGGCAATAACTCAAATACCGTTTTGAAAAATGGCTGCCATTTTAACATATTTTACTATAACTCGACAAGTAGTGGAGCGATTTTGTTCAGATTTAGTAAGTGAATACTATAGCATGGCACACTGTCTAATGACACTTTTGTTAGAAGGCGGCCATTTTGAAAAATGGCCACCATTTTAACATATTTTACTCGAAAAGTAGTGGAGCGATTTTGTTCATATTTGGTATGTGAATACTTTAAGCATGGCACACTGTCTAATGACACTTTTGGTAGAAGGTGGCCATTTTGAAAAATGGCTGCCATTTTTGCTATATAGTTTGTTTGTAAATATGCCAGCCATGGCTGTTCGATGGGATTTGCTACGCTTTGGCGTTGCTGTTGTCTAGTTAGAACTATTTACTGACATTTTCAACATACACTCTATTATATAACTCCATTTGATCTATGGACAGCATTTTGTGCTTTTGATCAACTCATATTTCTGTATGAATGAAATGTCCCTTGGTGTTATGGTCTCTGAACTCTCTGAATGTGATATTGATACATTTTACATTTGATTATGATTTTGGATATCTTGGGGTTTTTTTCCTCATGGCTGGTGTACTCTTAGATATTTTTTTGCTGTGTTCTGTAACCATTTTTTGTACTTTCCCATTGGCACATACAGCTTTGTCAGGAAAATGTAAATATGAAATTATGCATTTTACCTCTATTTTTCCATTTTACTATAAGTATGTATATTGTGATTTACTGAGCTGGTTATACTATGACCCTGAGGACCTTTTACACTCATCTGTTGAGGAGCCTCAACCATACTGCGAATATGATGATTAGTACTGCATACATGTTGTAGAGGACATTATTTTTTGACATGAACTTTTTTACTTATAACAAACAGTGATCTACCTTAGAAGAAATAATGTTAGTTGTCCCCTTATCACTCATGTATGATTACCACAATCAAAAACCACAAGACCAAGGACATTACCTTCAAAAATTATGAAGTACAAACATATGTGTATGTGTCGAAGAGTTGTATTTCAATCACAATTAAAACACCAAAATATTTTTTGATTCATCAAGAAAACCATGAGTAATTACAACATTAGTATTGTGATTAATTCCATGATAGTTCGATAAACCAAAGTAAGATTTTAAAATATGTTGATACAATTTGCGTGTGCTCCTTGTGTTTATTCATTCATTGATACGATACAATTTGATGTTTCATTGAGTTTCTAGGTTATATTTTACAATGTACCAGGGGCGGATCTGGAAACCAATAAGGGGGGGGGGGGCCCAAATTTCAGGTCAGAGAAAAAACTTTGGGCCCCTAAAACACAAAAGTGGTCCCAAATTTTGAGGCCCATTTTCTTCAAAATTTGGCCTGAAATCAAAAAATAAGGCCTTACAAGGCCCAGTAATGACCCACCCAAGGGGGGGGGGGCGGGCCCCCAGGCCCCAGATCCGCCAGTGTGTACAACCAGTCTGCACATGATTTCCTTCTTTTGTTTCAGTGAGAAGTCAGACCACTACCCAAGAAACCATCAACTATATTGCAGATCAGTTAGATGTCAAATATGAAGTCATCACCAATCTAAAATACAGAGATGAATTCTTTGAACAAAAATTAACACTTACAAATAAAGGTGATCAAATAATCACCAAAGGAAATTGGGAGATATATTTCTACAGTATCAGAAAACTGGAAAAGTTCTCTAGTACAGTGTGGATTGAATTAGGGACATCTGGAATGAGAGCCTTGCATGTAACTGGGACATTATATAAGATGGCCCCTGGGGAGAATTTTAAGGACCTTGCTAGTAAAGCGTCATTGGAGGCAGTGTATAAAAGTGAAGCATGGATTGTAGCAAGAACAGATACGATGCCAAACTGGTATGCATTTTGATTTATGTTGGTTTACATTTCTCTCACAGTTTATCACTTCTGTTGTATGTTTTGTCTGACATGGCAAGTGTAAAGCCATGTTTGAATTATTGAGTCGTGTTTCAAGTGCATGTATAGCCATGTTTTTCAACAATAGAGTACTGTCACCAAACAGAAAAGATTTTGTCGATATAAGATTGGATTATATGGGACTGAATGTATGTGTTTTACTAATATTGACACTTTTATATTTAGGTATGTCGTAGCAGATGGTTTGGTGCCTAGAACCATTGCAAGTACAGCTGATGAGGGTCTTGCATTCATCGGACCATTTGATACCAAAGAGAAGTGGAAAAGATTTGATTTCAAAGAAGGAACGCATGAAAGACATGACAGGTTTCACAATATGTGTTAAGCTGTGTGTATACTATCGAAAAATAAAATCGTTATAAATCTTTTTTATTTCCAAAAGCAAGATACAAATAACATATTACAATACTAGCAACAGGAATTACATTTTTCTTATCAATATAGTTAAATAAAAAATCCAAGTTTGGATGGTCCCCTTTTTATATTTCCTAATAACATTAAGGGCTACTGCAATAACTAAATTAATTTTTTGATCTTTTGTTCCTATCAATTTGTCTGCTTGGCTTAAAGATCAATAATTTTGTTTTATAAATCATTTTATTCCTTTAACAGTTTAAACATTTTACAAACAATACAAATATGTGAATAAAAAGAGAGAAAAATGAGTCAAGCAACGAATAATTTGATTGATTGTTTGTTGTGTTCACCTTACCAATAGAGATTGATTTGGTTATATTTCCTTTCTTTTGAAGGTTTGATGCCTATACTCCTGAACAACGCTACATGATGAATACTATCTCTGACCTTCGTAAACCAGGTACTCCAGTGACACCTACTCCAACAGAGTCGACCATAGATGAAACAAAACTCACGGTATCTATGAACACTGGAGATTGGGTGCTGGTACCTGAACCTTGGATATACATTAATAGGGAAGCTTCCCCAATGAGTATGTATTTAAAGTGTAAACACGATGTATGGGTTTAGGTTATTTTAGATTGTTATCTCATGGAATTCTCATTACTAGTACTACTTTGTTTCCAGCAATGCTTAAGCATGAACATGGGATATGACTTTTTGTAGGATATCCTCTCAATATAATTATTCTCTGGATATATTATACTGATGGTCTTCCAAATTAAGTCAATCAACCAGAGATCTCCCACTTAGTGGGAGGTGGAAAATAAAAAGTATCAAAACCTTATTTAAATTCAGTAACATAAATAATTAAATATGGTAGTACTTAAAAATATTTGAATGATAAAAGTATCCTCAAGAAGCCATGCTTATTTATTACATCACCACCAGACGTGTTGACATTGTTCTTGTCTCCAACTTTTTTTGGATGGCGTTTGGAGTTTGGTGTCTGTAACAATTCTAGCATCTTCCAACAATTGTGACATTTTTTCATACCTTGTTTTTTATTGTTATAGGAAGATACGTCCCTAAGGTTGTTACAACTCGTCCTACAAATCGTTACATTTTTGTAAAATTTGGTGATGTTACCATCAATGGTAAACGTTCCACAAGTACTGATGCCTACTCTCTTATTGTTGATGCTGATGCTAATGTTATCACTATCACTGCAATGTCTAACGCTGCAGCTTTCTATGGGATGCAGACCCTTGAAGCACTTGTTGATGCCAATGGTCAAGTGCCCAAAGCAACCATTAATGATGCTCCAAGGTAATGGTTTACATTCTGACTCTTTTGATGTAGTGATGTGAATAAAAACAAGCGAGCAAAGTGGTCAAAGGGAAAAACCTATTGTGTAAAATGAACACAGCTAGAAAATTATTCTGTAGAAAAGCAACTGGGAACATAAACCAAGCCCTGACTTTCCTAGCCTACCAGAGATCACACTCCAAAAGAAACAGTACCAAATGACTTTTTAATTATTAAGTAGAATAATAGAAATGCGCATATGATATTAAGATATATTTTTCTCATGGAATTTATTTATTAGGTTTGGATACAGAGGTGTAATGTTGGAGGTCTGTCGCAACTTTCAGACTAAGGAAACTATAATGAAATTCCTTGATGCTATGTCAGTGTTCAAGTTGAATGCCCTCCACTTTGGCCTAAGTAATGATGAAGGATGGAGAGTTGAAATACCTGGACTTGAAGAGCTAACAACTGTAAGATACAAATGAGTCTTGTCTTCCCCCTTTAGCTTATTATTCGTTTCCCAAGTCTGGGGGGCAGGAGACTAGATTACTTCTACAAATGTGAGGGTATAATGGCTCCAAAGTTCTTGATGGTCTCATTTTTACAGAAGCTATTATCATATCCGTTTAGCAGTAAACTAGACTAATTGACCCAATATTTCTTAGTGTATGAATTTGTTATCCACTTGCAGTTCACTTGGATAGCTGCATCTGTTCTCATCAGAGAAAATCAATTAATGTATTTTCTAGGTTGGAGCCACAAGGTGTCATGACTTAGACAACACAAGATGTATCATGCCTCAACTTGGATCAGGGCCTGGGTAAAATAATTGTTTATGTTTTAAGTTTAGTTATTTATATCAAATTACAGTTTATGGGCTCAAAAGGAGTGCAAATAAATGTGTGTACTAAATCTAGAAGTCAGGTACAAGAACGGTATTATTTTACTATGTATTGGTCAACCTATATAAAAGTGCATGGGTTATTCATTTATATTATCTAGGTCACCAGACCCTTTGGCCCTGGGCAAGGGCTCAGGATTCTACAGCGTTGCTGATTACATGGAGATTGTGGAATATGCTAGGCATCGCCATATTGAAATACGTCCAGAGTTTGACATGCCTGGGCATGCTCATGCTCCCATCAATGCTATGCTAGCCAGATATAACAAACTAAAGGGATCAAATGATACAGCAGCCAAAGAGTATTTATTGACTGATCTAGAGGATCATTCAAATTATCTCTCTGTTCAGCATTACAGGGATAACAGTGTGAATCCATGTGTTAACTCAACTTTCACATTCATTGAGAAAATCATTCAAGCGATGATAAAGGTGCACAAGGATGCTGGGCATCCATTGAAGAATTATATCTTTGGTGGTGATGAGGTGGCACGTGGTACATGGGTGAATTCAACAGCATGTAAAACAATGTTCCCTGGTATTTCTGGGAGTGAACTGAAGGTAATAATGCTGAATTATTACTACATGTAGTTGCAAATATCCAAAATCGTAACTCTTAATCTTAAGTCTCCAAATTTTGAAATGAGAATTTTGTAATTTTAGATATTTGAACTGTGGTTTGTCAGATGAGAAAAATTTTGAATACTAAGACACTTAAAAGGTTATTTCTGCATTATATATTCTGATTTCTTTTATATTAATTTTCATTTTTAGGTGTAAATACGCAATCATGATTTGGGAAAGTCAGGGTTTGTTTACCTTATGACTTGTGTATTCTTAGATCGATGTTTCTTTTTCTTGCTGTGTTTTATAACCATTTTTGGGACTTCCCCATTGGCACTGGCGCATACATATTTTTATTGCTTAAGGCCATTATAAAATACCAAATTGCCATTATTCAAGGTCATCAGTAAACAGTTTTTCTTTTTTGTGTTATACAGCCCAAATGGCTCTTAACTTTTAACGAATAGAGAATTACAAACCAGGATTTATAATTAAAGCCTCTGGTCTCCCTGTTATCATTTCCTCTACTATTTTGGTATGGGGATGGGGTTAGTAGCACAGGACTACAATGACTCTGTACTGTACTACCCATCTGTTGTTCACCTTCCCAACACAATGTTGTGTGTTGTGTTGGGGGAGGGGGTACAGTCAGTCTTTAGGCAAGACTATATTTTGCATTGTAACTTTCAGGAGAGAATTGATGAGTACTTTGTAGAGAAGACTTCTGAAGTGTCTGCGAGGTATAACTTGTCTCTTGGAGGGTGGGAGGATGGTTTGATGGGAGGTACATGCTTTCTACATGTATATACTGTTATTCTATCTATACTAACTTATTTGTATCATGGCATTCAATACCCCATGCCACAAATTAGATAATAAACTCTAAATTTAATTGTTCAAAATCCTTAGTAGGATGACAAATTAGAATGCCCATGCATGGTTTAAGAAATTAAAATACAAAGCCATAAACTTTCATGTCTTTCAACCAATATTGATCTTTTGTTTTACAGCCACAATAAAGCGATACCACTTATGCCTCATTGCCTCAAAGAGGCCTTATGTATGATTTTGAACTGCATGATGTATAGTACTTACATGTAACATGGACTTTCTGTAACCTTCCGGGTTCATTTTTCTTATACTTGGATATTTTCAATTGCATAGATATATATTGTAACTTCCAGGGGATCAGATGCCTTATGATATCTCTAAATTAAAGAATTCAGCAGTGTATGCCTATGCATGGCAGAACCCTTGGGGTGATGGTAATGAAGGAAGAGCATACAAGTTAGCCAATGCAGGATACAAGGTAACATCATCTGAATATCTGTATTAAAGAATTCAGCAGTGTGTGCCTATGCATAGCAGAACCCCTGGGGGGATGGTAATGAAGGAAGAGCATACAAATTAGCCAATGCAGGATATAAGGTAACACCATCTGAATTTGTGTATTAAAGAATTCAGCAGTGTATGCCTATGCATGGCAGAACCCTTGGGGGATGGTAATGAAGGAAGAGCATACAAATTAGCCAATCCAGGATACAAGGTAACAGCATCTGAATATCTGTATTAAAGAATTCAGCAGTGTATGCCTACGCATGGCAGAACCCTTGGGGTGATGGTAATGAAGGAAGAGCATACAAATTAGCCAATGCAGGATATAAGGTAACATCATCTGAATTTGTGTATTAAAGAATTCAGCAGTGTATGCCTATGCATGGCAGAACCCTTGGGGTGATGGTAATGAAGGAAGAGCATACAAATTAGCCAATGCAGGATATAAGGTAACAGCATCTTAATTTTGTGTATTAAAGATTCTATGTGGTAAAATGTACATTGGAATGTGGTTTATTGTGATGATACTATGGCAACTATTATACCTTTCATAGAATTATTGTGAATAATTAATGAGTAAATCATCATACATGTAGTTCTTTTATCTTTAATCTAATTTGCATAATTGAACACCACTTAGGTTTTTTACTTCACAAATATTGCCCATGTTGCACATTTGGAAATTCACAAGGGAGGAGGCCAGAAAACAATTTTAATAATGACCTCTTTATAGGCTTTTTGACACTCCTGAAAACATTGAAATGACCATCGGAGTTACGATTCTGAACAAACTGAGTAAATGTATTGACAAACTGAATACCGTAAATCATTTATTTTCAGGTTATTGTTTGTATGAAAAAAAAACTGAATGAATATTTGTTTTCAGGTTGTAATGTCTCATGCCACTCATCTTTACTTTGATCATCCTGAAGACCCTGATCCCCGTGAGAGAGGATACTATTGGGCAACCAGGAAGACAAATGTGTCACGAACATTTAGCTTTATGCCTGACCGACTCTATGACAATGCAGATTATAACAATAATGGTGACGTTATCACTCGAGAGGATATATGTAAGACAGCGGAAGTTTGTGTACCATTAGAGAAGTCTGAGAATATAGTAGGTATGGTTCAAGTACATTCTTCCATTGCTTCTTTACTTGATGATCACTTCTTTTTCGAGCCAATTATTTGTGCCTATAACACATTTTTAATCTTTTTCCCTAGTTTGTACTTGTAAATGAGTACTAAGAAGAAAAATCACAATTAGAATATTTCTCTCCAGTGTGCAACCTTTTGATTGCCTCCCAGAGGAGGATTCAATATAAGTAAACATCATCACATAAATATTTCTCCAACAGGGATGCAAGGTCAACTGTGGTTAGAAACAATTCGGAATGAATCCCAACTGATGAATAAAGCATTTCCCAGAATGCTTGCTCTCGCGGAACGTGCTTGGCATAAGGCACCATGGGAAGACATTCAAGAAAAGAATCAGCGTGAAAATGAGCGTCATCGAGATTGGGAGAAGTTTGCTAATAGTTTAGGCTATCGAGACTTGAAGAGACTGGATGATTTGGACATTGATTATCATATAACTTCACCAGGTGCAATGTAAGCCCTTTATCATATTTCATCCTTATCATATTCACTCATTGTCAACTTCATTTACAGATTATTGAATTCTAGTAATTATTTATTCATGATCTTATATAATGTACACAGTAGCACTGTAAGAAATGATCCCATAACATTTAACAATTCCAGTGGATACTCTCACTAGTATGGAGCAATGGAACATATATCAATAATATCACACTCATCATTCACTCATCATTTGTATTTGCCCTTCTAACCCTGCTTGTTCTTGGCACATCAGATTATTTTTCCTGAAACTTGGATACTTTTTGGCTCATGCAGTAATTGTAGTTTTGTGTACTTTTACCATCTTTATTTGTCCTTTATTTGCTTCAGTATGTATATTAAATGTACATGTATAAATATAATATGGGTGTGTTTTTAGAATAGAGAATGGTGTCTTGAAGGTGAATACTGAATTCCCTGGATTGCCAATTCAGTACAGTGTTGATGATGGTTTTACATGGACTGATGCTACAAGCCGTCGTGGTGTGCCCTCTGATCCCATTAATGTATCCGGAAAGAAAGTAAAGCTTGTCACAAGGTTGGTTTGTATGATTTTTATGTCACCACCACCAATTGTTGTAGTCTCCAACTTTTTTTGGACAGTGTTTGGCAGTTGGTGTTCAGTGTCTGTCACAAATGGCAGGTGGTGACATTTTGCATGTTAATGCCTTGTTGCAACATGCAACCATGGTTTTGACATTTTGGTGAAGCTGTATGACAAAGTAATTATAAGAATGTAGGCTATATCCATTGTCTCCAGATGAAAGACATTGCGTCGCATGAGAATAACTTTGTACTATCTCACATTTTCACGGAACTGAGAAATCAAGGTTTGAAAGTTTAGAGGTCTGTATCTTACTTAGTATTGCTATGTGAAACTTGATTTTTTGTATGTCACCTGGTCTCACCCTAGAGATATCTTATATGAAATATCATACCTTGAAACAATTTACAAGATCCTTTTTTAAAACTATGGAAATGGAGTTGATACAATTTCCCACCGGAATAACAGCTTATTTCTAATTTCAAATTGTCATATCTGATATCAACTGTTTCAACCAATCAACTCTCTAAGAATTGGTCATGTGACTTGCAAAACTTGGAGTTATTACAATCGTATATTAAAACAAATTATGCCAAATGCATGTTATTGTATCTAGAATGAAAAATAATGTTTTGCTTTATAAAAAAATCTTCAAAAACCAAAGAATATTATTTAATAAAATAAAGAAAATTCAATTTATAAACTTTAAAATCAATTTCTCAAATAAGTACAATTATTTCTTAATTTTGGAATCTCAGGACACCCTTCAAAAATTTATTGCCTTTGAAATTAAGGCAGAAGTACAATGCATTGAAACCAATGATGCCAATACGGTCCCCCACATATTTCCCTCGGTATAAACCCTGTAGCCTAAACCTCCCAGCACATTACAATGTAGCCCCTAAGGGCCGGTCCGCTGGTCATTATCAGGTTATTTTTGATACAGACCAGTTGATTTTTTCACTGGGTATAGGAGAATAACATTGCAACTGGTCCGTAATTCCATTTTGACCAGCAGGTTTCAGATCCTTAGGGCCTTAGACATAACCAATTTTTATTACATGCACATGGAAGAAATTTGAAAATAGAAAAATAATTTCTAATTCAATTTAGATTAATGAAAGTGATGAAACCTCGATTAAGGTAATCACATTTTGTTCATTGGGATGCAGCTATCATTATCCATTCATTTTCTGTTGTTTGCTACTCTGTGGAGTACAATTGGGAATTGAAGCAATTGTAGAAGTGGAGACTAAGAGTCAAGAAATTGAACCAATTTGTTACTTTTCCAAAATAAAATGCAGATGATCTAAAAACAATGATCCCAAAAATGCAAAAGAAAGGACAAATCTGAAAAACATACTAGAAATAAAATAACTAAAAAGATCCCAGATGTTCAGTAAAAAGCGCAGAGTAAATCATAGATGAAGAGAAAATAAAACAAGTGTTTTAAGGGACTATACTAACATAAAGATAACTCCTTATTGATATAGTGTATGGTCAGTAAAAGTTAAAGGTAGTTTAAATAGATTTAGCTTTTTTCCACAAACTATAAAACATCATTTTGAAAATGATTTCAATAGTATACAGACAGTGATTGCCTTTGAGCAATGTAGTGCAAAATATGACAGTTACTATTTGTTTTGATTACTATATCTAGTATATAACCTATTATTATGTACTCTATTTGAAGAAACAAATAAGTAGTCTTTCATTTTCAACATTTAATGATGACAGCTTCGTATATGCATTTCTATTGCATTTGGCCATTCAAACCCCTATAAGACCTGGTAGCAGGGAAGATAAAGGGTACTTTTGACTGCTCACATGATCTAATTAACTGGTCATTTGTACTTTTCATCTTTCCTGGTAGCAAGGATTTAGGTTTTCGAGGAAATTAGTAATTCTATTTCATATCATGTGGCCATGAATAATCCAATGAGCATCCATAATACAAAGAGTAATTGAGGGCATATAATTTGAATATGCATGGGATTACACATACTGTATCATTTTATTTTTTTGATCTACTTGTAATAGTTCTAAAACTAAAACATGAAAGGCCAGGCATGCAAACTGGCATGGTATTGTGTTACAAAACATTATTTCATTCTAGATACAATAACATGCATATTGGCATACTTCGTTTTAATATAAGATTGTTATAACTCCAAGTTTTGCAAGTCACATGACCAATTCTTAGAGAGTTGATTGGTTGAAACAGTTGATATCAGATATGACAATTTGAAATTAGAAATAAGCTGTTTGTCTGGAGATGGTACAATTTCACACTGAATTCTAGCTTAATAAGAGGGAATTGAGATGGGGCATGTATCTGAGATGAAAGCCTGTGTTTCAAATAGTAAAATTCCATGTCTATCTCAATTTTTTTGAAAATGGCAGTTAGTACAAAGTTATTCTCACGCGACGATTGTTGTAGGGCTAGTTTTGGTATGCCTTTCCCAGGAAGCCAGATTAAGGTGGTCCATATTTGTTTGGTGCAGAGTGTTCCTGGTGTACTCAAATTGCAAAATAACTGAGGAGACTTGCTTAGCGCTACTGTTAACCATTAAAATAACTAAAATGACAAAGATCAAAGGTCAACATTAAAAAACCTCACCAAAACTATTTTCAAGCAGTACAAAACCTGACATACCACTAGCATTTATTTTGAGGACAAATGTGTCACATCCTCTGTATTTCATTTAATAAGCTATTAGGTTTTTGGATATAAGAAATGATACAAAAAGATACTGAATATGGTAAGTCCAATTTTTCAGATGGTTGATACCTTTATCGAATGCTACCTATACTTTTAAAGTGTGTCAATCATTTACTCAACCCTAAAACACCCATATTCTTTTGTCATGACCTTCAATAGCAAGTCGATACAACAGTCTCAGCTGTAGTGGCTAGCCTTTATGGCTCAGGGGTAGAGCGTCTGACTCTGAGAGCGGAAGGTCCTGGGTATGATCCCCGCACTGGGCGTTGAATTTAGCACACTCTCTTTCGAGTCTAGTATCTGGCTTGGTACACTACAGCTCCCTGACGGACATGCCCAGGGGTCGTTACACTTTAATGAAAATTAAGTTTTTTGTTTTTTGTTTTTGCAGGTCAACAGACATGAGAAGAACAAGTTTTGAGGTGGAGGTCAATGGAGGTGGCAGTAGTGGAGGAACATCTAGATGTATCACATCCTCAATGTTACTAATAGTGACACTTATTACCCTGCTAGTCAAAAACCTTTGAGTCATAATGTTATGTATTAAAAGGGACACTTCAATACCAACAATCCAACAGGCCTACACATGTAAATATTTAAATGGTTGGGGTATTTTCAAAGAATGGGATGCTGGCTCACAATGGATGAATATACTGTAACAAGTGACCAAAGGCAGCATTAAAGATCTAATGTGACATACACAATCACTTTAATTGAACATAGAAGTTCAGTGATTCAAACTACTGTATGAACTTGTATACTAGCCTATTTCAATTTCATGTACATTCTTACAGCCAGCTAAGAATAAAAAACAATTAAACAGAAAAAAGATTTTGATCTGATAAAATGGATGGTTGATGTGATAGGCAACACTGGTACTCATAAGTTGTATAGATGGTGCCCTGTTTTGTTTTCACTTCCTCTTGCCTGCTTCTTTCACATATTATGTAGAAGAGGGGGAGACACACAAGGGGCAACATTTTAACATCAGAAGTTACAAAGGCTATTGTGTTAAAAAATGAGGGCTAAAAAGGAATGGCAATACATAACACACTTTCATTTTATCATTATACACTGTTATAGACTAGTTGTGGATCTGTAGGTGAGACTAGGGGCAGTGAAGAATGCTTTTAATGTTGAGACCAAAACTGAAGCTCGTTTTAAAAATAAGGGTCATTTTCTCGAGAATGGGCATCATTTGGGAAAATAGACTCAAATTCTTAGAAATGTTTTCTCATAAATATTTCAAAGTAGATCTTTGTCTCCCTCCCTGTTGATTACAAAATCCATTTGCTCCGGTATCCAGCAAAGACAAGTCCATGCTTCAGCCTAGATATAGTTTAACATGTATAAGCCTTTAATAATTATAAATACTAGTGATCATTAGGGTGGCTCAAAATAATTTTTTTTTGGAAATGTTATGCTCCCTACATGAATCGAGTTGCATTTTGGGGTAAATATCACCTGTGATTTTTTTCAATTTTTTTAGTCAACTTTTAGGGGTCCCCCACGGCCTTTGAAGTTTGCCCATAGGCTTAACATTAGTGGGCGTAGCCCAAAAAACGTACTTTATAGAAGCTTTTTTTCTAGTGATTTATTTATATTGTTTGAAGAAAACCAACATTGTATATGATATTATAAGATGTTTAAATCATCATAATACTCTGTTTCATCATATGAACTTATATAAAAGGTTATACTTACAATATCCTATTAACAAAATATCAGGTACATTCGACCAGTATAATTATTTGAACAAGTACAGTTTTAGAGAATCATGTCTCATATATGATTTGGTATTGTCATTATAATGGTTTAAACTGAAAAAAGTATATTCATTCTTGACATTTGATGTTTTAAATATGGTTCAGATCAGCTTTTCTTAAATGTGACACTCTTCCTCTATGATCTGAGCGTACAACACATACATTGTCACGATGCACCGCATCATGGGTCATTTGAGAGCATTCCTGTACCAGCTCCACAGCTCGTTCAGCTGGATCATTAACAGAATGCAGGTCTTGACAGAAATTCTATCGCAAGTACGTCCCTGATATAGCAAACGCAGCTCTTCGCAGTGTAAGACGCCATCTATGGTACCTCTGCCCCGAATTTGTTGTTTTGTCCCTATTCGACGAATACACTGTCAGAGAGGAGGAGCAGGAGCTTGCTACAGCACTGCTCAACATCCCACGGCCTGTACAATTTGCAACTGGCAAACCAGGACAGCCTGACTTCAACCCAGTTGCTGCTCACTTAGGCAATGTTAAACCATCACTAGCAATGTTAGTAACTGAGAGATCTAATGGCTCTTATCTCACCTCCTGGAATCAGATCCATTTATATGGCTTCAAGAGAATCCAGTTGCATGGCATACATATCCAACTTATGTTCAAACCCAGAATTTCTGTCAAGACCTGCATTCTGTTAACCTCTTGCATCCCAGGCTCTAAAATTGGCATGAAACCAGATAATTTTTCATTTTTTGCCACCTTTTGACATTGTATTACATACCTATACAACTTTAGATGCTCAGCTTAGTAAAATTGGACGGCAGAGATCATTTCTACACGTTTTAAAACAATTTTTGTGTAAATTGGATGAAAATTGTTGAAATGAGAGCAATTTTTGTGAAAAATTTTGTGACGGATTTTCTCGTCCCTCTGGGCACCAGTCTTATTTCATTTGTGACGGATATATCCGTCACTCTGGGTATTCAAGAGGTTAATGATCCAGCTGAACGAGCAGTGAAGCTGGTACAGGAATGCTCTCAAATGACCCATGATGCGGCGCATCGTGACAATGTATGTGTTGTACGCTCAGATCATAGAGGAAGAGTGTCACATTTAAGAAAAGCTGATCTGAACCATGTTTAAAACATCAAATGTCAAGAATGAATATACCTTTTACAGTTTAAACCATTATAATGACAATACCAAATCATGAAACATGATTCTCTAAAACTGTACTTGTTCAAATAATTATACTGGTCGAATGTACCTGATATTTTGGTAATAGGATATGGTAAGTATAACCTTTTATATAAGTTCATATGATGAAACAGAGTAATATGATGATTTAAACATCTAATCATATCATATACAATGTTGTTTTTCTTCAGACAACATAAATAAATCACTAGAAAAAAAGCTTCTACAAAGTACGATTTTGGGCGACGCCCACTAATGTAAAGCCTATGGGCAAACTTCAAAGGCTGTGGGGGACCCCTAAAAGTTGACTAAAAAATTTGAAAAAAATCACAGGTGACGTGGGTGATATTTACCCCAAAATGCAACTCGATTCACGTAGGGAGCATAACATTTCCAAAAAAAAATTATTTTGAGCCACCCTAGTGATCATGGGTCATCTTTTGTAAGAAGGCATCACCTATCGCCATGGGTGTAGCCAGGTGTGAGATCACCAAAATATTGCAAAACTATATTTTTAGCTATGTCAATGCTCACCATAGATAAATGACACATGAATTTGCTGAAGTGAGGATTTCGCATGTTAAAGATAGAATTTTCAAGAGACTACATTAGTAGTTGAGAGTATACAAAATGTAAAACCTAGGATGAAGAAAAGGAATGTGTATTAGACATTATTGAAAAGTATGAAGTTTCAATTACCATGGTCTGGGAATGGTGGTAGAAAATCAAGATGCCATTTATTTATGGTAACCACTGTAGGATGAAGATTTTTCAACTAAATATTTGAAAATTATGTCCAAAGGTATAATTCTCTCTATGAACCTTAATTTGCTTTGCCTTTTTTTCGTAGATTAATTTTTTTACCAAGCAAACTCCCGAGTCCCGACACGTAGTTAGTCTAGTGTAATTTTCAAATTTCGCGCCAAATTTGAACTTAAAATCTCCTTTATAGAGAGCTAGACTTTTTCAAAACGAGGCTTAAAAACAAATATTTTTCATTTTTCAGCTAACAATGCTAGATAAAATGGATTTTTACACTAAGAGGCACAAAAGTAGTATTCATTGATGCGTTATAAAACATCTGAATGAACACATATACATAGCAAGGTCAGTTTTTAACCTGATGATCACCTATATTCACCAAATTGATCAAATTATGTAAACAGGAAGTCGTATTTATTTTCATTTTCAACTCAATTTCAGAATGTTTAAGGTACAGCTGGAAAGTAACATTTTGGTAAAAAATTGCTATACCAGCACATGTTATTTTCTGGTACAAAATAAAGTATGAAGACATGTGTCAATTGCCTTGCTTTTTTCAGGAAAGTATCATTACATTGTCTTCTTTAAGAATATCTAGTTGGAGTTCAATGGGAACTCCAGGAAACTCTGATATTTCACTCTTTTTATTTTTCCAAATTTTCTTTCAAAGTTTTCAGACAACACAGGAGCTACCATTGACCTGTTTCCAGGTTTACTAAAAGTAGACAGTGTAATGATACTTTCCTGAAAAAAGCAAGGAAATACGCACATGCCTTCATACTTAATTTTGTACCAGAAAATAACATGTGAAGGTATAGCAATTTTTTACCAAAATGTTACTTTCCAGCTGAACCTTAAACGCCACATTTAGATCTAAATTTAGATACAAATTCTTAATACTCACATTAACACGTGTGTAAGAACCAGATCTACGACGTCAGGAGTAGATAACTGGGCCAGACAGGTTTGGTTAGTTCTGGGTGATGGAATTGATTTATAATTATATTCAGCTGATTACTAAAGTTGTTTAATATTTGTATTATATTTATATTTCAAAACCAAAATACACAACCAAAAATTGAGTTGAAAGGCAATAAAATCAAGAAAAAATTCTGAGTGTGGCCACGTTGGTTGATTGGTAATGTCCTTTTTTAGGTGCTTTAATGTCACCGAAATGTCTATAGTGCTGGTTAAGTCTCTTGTGCTTGTGCCACACTTAGAGGCCCTTAGATTACATTGTTCCCAGCTGATCACCAATGTCCCTACCAGGATAACATTTTCTGTTTTAGAATGCCTTTGAAATTATCCAATGTTTTACCTGAGGAACTGTTAAGGAATACTTGGGACAACAACAATATCTCAACAACAACTATAGCGCACAACTTAACTACTACAACTTTACCATCTCACCACAATAGCACAGTGAGGCCCTCTATCATCATAACACCACCATGTCAGTGGATTCTCTATAAAGACATTGCAGATTCTAGGTAACTTGTGTGAATTTTAAATTTCACTGGTCAAGATTCTGAAATTAATTTAATTTTTTCTCGTTCAGCATGGGATGGATACAAGTTGTAGACTAAAAGACTAAAAAATTCAATGCATAATGTCTATTTAACAATTATCTGATACAAACTTCAAGAACTTGTTTCACCTTTAAATATATTTAAATGTAACCTAATATAGCAGGGATATCTTTAATATTGTAGTGATCTCCCCAGCATTAAAGCAAGTGGGTGCAGCACCCACTAGAGATTTTAGAATTGGGCTTGCACCCACCTGAAAAATTCATATGCATCCACTTGAAAATGAGAAATACTATGAAAAATTGGCATATTTTTACAAATTTTGGTCCTAATTGTGAAAATGAGAATTTTGCACCCACTTAAGAAAAAATCCTGTGGAGAACACTATTGTATTAAAGTTATCTGGTGCTGCTCTGTATTAATTTTGGAAAAAATCCCTCGCCCAGTTAAGAATTCATTGCATCCAGTTGAGAATCTTTTTTTTTTATTTATTTAATACAATTATTGGATACCTTTACTACATTCAATATAACATTTCAATACATTCAATACAACAAATCTATATATCTGCGAAATCCAAAAAAAGGAAAAAAGAATCTATTGCATTGCATCCAATTAGTAAAAAATACATGAAAATTTAGGCTTTATTATTACGCTATTTTTGTTTAGAATTTGAATTCAGACGAGAAAAACTTGCGTAAAACACTGTGAAAGAATAGATATTTTCAGATTTTCAGATTTCAAAGCTTTTGTATTTTCTTTTAAATATATAATATGAAAATATGAATCAAACGGAATCCTAGATATTAACAGACATATGTTTCATGTACTGATGTATTCTACATGTATTTACAGAGTTCGAATCTGGGATTTAATGATATTGATACCAAACAGTCTTTTCCTATTGTTCCTTCTACTTAAAATTAAGACGTCATTCTCCAAGTTGAAGAATACAAGTAGTCCCATCTTCCTTGCTTTCTATGGCCTGGTAAGTGGTTATATTTGTACACATGTTTTCAGAATATGAGAATGACATTTTAAAGGACCTGTGAAAAGTTTAAACCATATTGGCTACAGCAGTATTTCTAATGTAATCAAGATATGATGTGCATGTGAAATCAGTTTTAAAAAAGTGTTATTTGAGTGACTTTTCATTTGAAAATGGTCAGAATAAATGAATATTTATTACTATTAGATTTAGTTAAGACTAATAGACTCTAGTACCAAGGAGGGGTTGAAATCCCATTACCGGATTTTCTCGCATATACGCCCCCCTAAATTTAGGCCCATGGGCCAAAAATCGAATGTAGTACGCTTATACGCCCATGGGCCTATGAAAAATGACTTTAATTGATTTTTTCAATAAATTCAAGAGTATTTTGTCACTGGCAGATCGTTCTGTAGTTACTTTGTTCCAACATTAAGTTCAACGCTGTGCCGTAAGTGGCAGTGGTGGATCGTTCTGTTGTTACTTTGTTTCAACATTAAGTCTAAGGTTGTAGGTGACATTTCCTTTATAATTCTTACAAAACATGCGGTAGGACTACAACAGTAGGTACGGTAGTCTTTGAGGAAGATCAGCTCTTCTCACCTTTACGCCCACTGGGCCAAAAATCGAAAGTAGTACACTTATATGCCCATGGGCGAAAAATAAGAGGTAAAATAACAGACGAAATTACCCCTTCTTTCAGTTATACGCCCAGGGCTTATATGCGAGAAAATCCGGTATATTTTAAGCCTGCATCAATTTTTTAAAGGATGTTTTGAAAAGTAAAAGGTCTTAAGTTATTTTGAAGGGGAAAGCAATGCAGTCAATCTGAAATGTAACTCTTGTTTTTAGATGGTATCTAAAGATCAACTTATTCCTTAATACATGTATAATCTTTGTCTTTTTAAGGTATGGATTGTGGCAATAATTAGCGTTTTACGTTGTGTTGTTTCCATGACGGTGAATGCAGCTGTACCAGCTGGAGACATTGCAGATAGGGTAAGGACATACATTTAGTATTCCATGGGAATCCGAGACACAGTGCTTCTGATATACCGTGGTACCAACATTTAACAATGGAAAATAAAGAGAAGTGCGCAGTTTATATTCGAACTACAATCTATCAGATTTAGGATAGAAACGAATGGAGAGTAACATTTTGAAAATTGTCACAGATTTTCAATGTGTTTTTGCTCACAACAACCTTTTGTGCATATATTCAATATTTTATTGCACAGAACAACCCGTTGTGCATATTATTTTCTAATGTTCCTAATGTCCTAATGTGCTATTGTATTTGGTCAATTTTATATTTGAAGATCGCTTCCAGCATTTTACACTCTAATTCTTTGCTCCCACTTTAATTTTGTGTAATATCATGAAATGTTGTTTTGATTTTGTGTAATATTATGAAATGTTGTTTTAATTTTGTTTAATATCATGAAAAGTTGTTTACTGATAACAACCTTTGTGTACACATAATTTATGTAATTTACTTTTTTAGCTTTTATGGTTGATTCTGCGATTCTTTCTCCTATCTACTGAATTGTCTGTTATCACATTTGGATTAGCATTCGGTAAGTCATATAGAAAACACTTCAACGGTGTCCCTTTAGGAACCAATGCAAAAGATCAATGTTAGATAATTAATCATATTTTGATAGTTAGGGGGGATGTTATTGTCTCAAATGGTAAGCCCTTCCAATATTGATTATTAAATCGCCAGGAATTTTTGTCACATTTTTAAGGACATTTAGTCCAGTGGGCTTTCTAAAATTAAAAAAATATTTTGAAATTCTGTAAAGATACCTGAGATAGTGGAGTCCAGTCATCTGCTTTAGATACATACGATGCAAGACTGCAACTGAGCAAGATTGAAATCTTATTGTGTATCTGAGGGTGAACCATTGAAATATTGTTAGGTCTCCAACATTGAACTTTTGCATTGGTTGCTTATCATATGTTCATTCCAACATTATCATATCAACAAAGAACTAGACAACACTGAATAAGCATTGCAATCCACCTTGAATTTTGATAATAATTATCTTGGTAAACTTGGATGATCATTGATCAGAGAACTTAATCCAAAATAATACAATTTAAGTCATAAAAATTTATACCTCTGGACTTACATCAAAATAAGTTATATATCCATGTAATGGGGTAATTGAATTAATTTTCAAATAAGTGTTCAATAAATATCAACAATTTAATTGAATAAAAATGGTGGACCTTTGATTACACCCACTGCATTAATTTAACTTTGATCTTCTCTCTTACAGGTCATCTGGACAGTCAGACCAGTATTAAATGGGTGTTGTTGGTTACATCATTTGTTGCCCTAGCCTACTCATTCACACAGGTACATTATTATGTGTTTTTATTATGTCACCACCAGAAGTGGTGACATATTGTTATAGTCTCCAACTTTTTGTTGATGGTGTTTATGCATTGGTCACATTTGCTCCAATCCATTGGCCGGTGCCTGCCCTAGTGTGTGATTTATTCAATATTGTATTCAATTTTTAACATAATTCTCAATTGGGCGGCGCCGTAGTGAAAATCGGAGCAAATGTGACTAAGGCATTAGATGGTGGTTGCTGCTCGATGCTGGCATCTGTAACAAATGGCAGGTGGTGACATTCATCATGTTAATCCCTTGTTTAATAATCTTATACTGATGCAATGCGAAAATGCGAAAATTTTACATGAATATACATGATGTACCAAGGTTATGATAGGCTGTAAAAGACAATCAGTCAGGAGCATATTAGCCGAGTAGTATCTCAGAATTTGGCTAAAAATGTTTATGATCTTTATGTGTATTTTCAGGGTGCTCTTGAGTTCACCACACACCAGCATGTGTTTCATGTTTCCGCTAATGGAGAATATGATATATTTGGTCATGGAGGCATGCTATTCTGGCTAATCAGCTCAATATGTTTCTTCATAGTAAGTTAATTGTTGGATCTAGTCTAGAAACTCAGTACAGTTTATGTTTAACTCATCCAATTAATGGGCTTACAGGTAGTGATATAGAGAGGCCATTCGTTCAGTATTATATACACTGGGTTATTGAATGTGTTTCTTAATCCTTATATTGTGCTTGTATAGTGCTGATAGGTCAACGGGTGTGTGCAGATCGGTGACACAAAAAACTTGTCATGAAAATCAAAATAACTGTTGATCAGTTTAACTTAAATTCTGTTTAAGTATAATTTTCAAAGATCCAAGGAAAGACATGTGCCAAAATTTGATTAGATTTTGGGCATGCTGGGTAAATTACAAGGGCGCTATTTTAAATTTCTTGATATATCTTGTCATCAGAATCCAGGAAAAAACCATCGATCAAATGTTTTCCAGGCAAGTTTGATAATCATAATTTATCTTTTATTGTATTTCAGATATATTCATCTATTGTCATACTTCCCTTTACACCTATTCGAGAAAGATTTGCACTGCCATGTAAGTATAGTTTTACATATAATTATAGGAATGTGTGAGAATAGCTTTATACATAGCCTTACCTAAGTTGGTGTCTTTTTTATTTATTTTTTACTTTTACTTCAACTCCTTGTACCAATCACATAGACACGTGTAATACCAATTTTTTGTTATCGTTGGTCCAGTGTTGACTTCAAAGCTTTCAAGGTACCAGATTTGGAAGTAGGTTCATCATTTTCTATTGAATAAAGTTAATTATTTTGTCATCTCATAAGGTAGCAGGTTCAAAGTTTTCTTTGGATTCAGTTGAGGTGTCTACTTAAAAGGTGCACGGTTCATAATTTTGGAGTTTGTGAAGTATCGTCTCATAAAGTACCATGTTCAACACGTTTCAAAGAGGTTAAGCAAGATGTCATCTCATGAAATAACAGGCTTATAGCTTTGTATGGAGTAAAGTGAGTTGTCATCTCATAATGTAATAGGTTTAACATTTGCTGTTTTACAAGATATCAGGTTTGCTATCTCTTGATGTGAGATCATGAATAAAATGGTAGAGATAGTATCAACATAAAGCCAGTTTTATTGGAGTTAGAAATTATTTTTATGAATGTATAATCTGCATGACAGTTATTCATTTAACATAAACAACATAGGATCTCTTTGATACATCAATGTGATCATAATTCTATCGGGCATCTGGATCATCACCCTGACTTTCAACAGCTGGTTTGTCACATTCTTTTTTACATTCTTTTTTTCCTCCACACTTCTTTATGCAACAGTTCCTCTTGCAATCCTTAGGGCCACATTTCCTTCTACAGTTCTTCAATTTAAATCCTTCCATGCTTTGACAATCCTGCTTGCATTGTTCTTTTTTATTTTCACATATCTCAGTGCAACCTGTTTCTGTAAAAATGATGGGAAAATCTCATACAAAATATTTAGAGTGTAATAGCTTGGTTTGAAGATAAAAATATAATCATCACGTAAGAAAGGAAAAAATGGAAGACATGTGCCCTCATTTTGAAAGGTTGGCTGCTTTTTGAAGTGTTTAAGGATTTGGCCCACTTTTAAAAAAACATTTTTCAAATAAGACCCATTTTCTCAAAAATGAAGCCCATTTTTGGGTAAAAGATTAGAGAAATATTTTTCCTCGGCCCTCCCCCAAGTCCGCCAGATCATTTAACTAAGGGTGGTCAAAAAAAATGGAAACCCTTACACTATTTTCCTCATATATTTGTCATTTTAAGACATAACTCCCTGATATTTTGCACATTTGTACATCATTCAATTTCCTACCAGCCTACTTTATATCATGACCATCAGATTGATAGTCACAATGTTACAGCACTTTACAGAACATGCCCTAGTGGCCACTATTGCGCTGTCGGGCCACCTGCACTGGCCGTCCAAAATGTCCCTACCTGTAGGGATATGGCAAGGAAAAAGTGTATGAGAATGACCTCAGGACAATCACAAACCTCAAAAGTGAGACCATCCGTATCATTGAGGCCATACCTGCTGAGGAGTGCATTCGGCCCATTGACAACTGTGCAGGTTTGCCTACAGCGCGATGATGGCCAAACTTGAAGCATGTTATTCAAAGTGCTGTAAAATTGTGACTATCAGTCTGATGGTCATAAAATTTGGTAGGGTGGTAGGAAATTGAATGATGTACAAATGTGTGAAATATCAGGGAGTAATTCCTTAAAATGACAAAGATATTAGGAAAATGCAGGGTTTCCATTTTTTTTGACCACCCTGTAGTTAATGGATCATGACTTTACCATCTATTTCAACACCCTTACTTTCATCAGATGCTTTACCACATTCTTTTTTACATCCTTCTTTTCCATCACACTTTTTCATGCAACACTTTCTCTTGCAATCCTTAGGGCCACATTTCCTTTTACAGAGTTTCAATTTATTTCCTTTCATGCCTTGGCAATCCTGCTTGCATTGTTCTTTTTTATTTTCACATGTCTCCGTGCAGCCTGTAACTGTGAAAATAATAGTTAATCGTAACTTATAAAAACAATTTTCAAAACTAGGCCATATTTTTAAAACAAAATAGCGTCTGTTTTTAAGAGAAGGGTAGGAAATTTTAAAATGAATGTCCCTTGTTAGTTTCTCGATCCACCCCTATTGCATGTAACTAGCTATTATATGTGATAATACATCACTTTCCCTGCAAGCTGTGATAATGAATTCTGCAAGGGGAAATAGTAAATTCTGCAAGGGAAAAAGCCAAATCTCATGCACTGGCATTGATTGCCAACAGAGTCACTAATTGTTATAAGGACAAAATACTGGTGTGATTCTTTTGGCCATGTTTAGCCACCTCAATGTTCAATGGGTCAGTATCAATAATAATATGATTTCCAACTACACCACTATCAATGTGGCGGTGACATATTGTTATAGTCTCCAACTTTTTTGTTGACGATGTTCCGCATTTTGTGTTTGGCGGTCAATGTCTATGGAGTTCATCAGTCAGCATCTATAACAAATGGCAGGTGGTGACATTTTGCATGCCAATGCATTGTTGGATGTATTCTGGAATTCAGTTAAATGAGATTGTTGACCAACAAGCTAGTGAGGCTCTGCCTGAAGGAATCAGTACCCTGCATCCAAGTGACATCGAAAACAGGACGAATGAGGAATTCAAGTTAGGAGTTTTATGTTTTCCTTTATCATTTAATGGAACTTCAGTGAATCTTAGAATGTTTCGATGTCATTTTCCTGGATAAACATTTGCTAATCAAATTTTTAATGCTTCTTATGAATTTATGGCTGTCACTTGCTCAGGTTAAATCATCTTACATATATGTTTCTTATAGGGTGTTTCTTGATATTCTTACCAGTTTTATTTTTATTGGAGCCTTTTGGCATCACATTCGTCTCCATCGGCAACATGGTTGTTTCTTGTGACCCACACTTCTTGCCCTTACATTTTTTGTCAGTTGTCACTGTTGGCTTCTCAGTTGTTTTGCCACAGTCTGTTTTTTCACCACAGTCAGTTGTATTATAAGATTCATCTGAAGCTTCTGGCATCACATATTTACCCCAAAACAATATGGCATCTGTCTTTAGGTCACGGATGAAGAAAATAAAAGGATGGTCACATCGAACAATCCCTGGAAGGGGACCACTGCGTCCCACGGTGACTGTCACTGCTGCTGCCTCAGTACCTATATTGTTGATATGTAAAACATTTTGGTCATGTTTCTGTATATCCTGGAAATGTTCCACTGTACAGATTGTACAAATTGTAACTTTAATTGAAACAGAGATTGTAAATATGAATTCTTAAAACTGACACAATGTCTATACTGGTCCCAAAGTCAACCTACAATGAAACATCTTGAAGATATAGATGTTGTGGATAATTTTTATTATCAAAATTAATTGATGTAAGATGCTCACCTTCCTCATTGACTTCTATGAAAGCCTCATGAATGACTCCATCAATTGACAGCCTGCTATCATTTCCCATATTGCTCAGGTCGGCCCTGCCAAACACATGATGCATACCCATTCTTTTCAAGTTTTTGTTCAAAGTATACCTCTCCTTTAGCTTGAACTTTGGAAGATATACAGTGATGTTTCTATTAGGCACCAGATCCTTTAATTCACTTTCCAGTGTTTTTGAGTCTAGTTTTGCTTCCAATTCTTCAATAGTGGTGGAGCCATTATTTGGGAGTATTATGACCATACTTACACAGTCTCCAACATATGGGAGTTCCACAATTTGAGCATCTAGGATAGATGAAGGGCTGTATCTGTATTTAAAGAAAGTGGGAGGACGTGTCATCATGCAAACTTGTACAACTTTATCTGCTGAAACATAGAAATCTACTTTTTCTGTAAGGGCTTTATCAAATTTGTATTTCCATGCACCTTTGAAATAGATTGCATTGACCAGCACAATTACAGTACTGGCATCAACTTCTCCTGGCCGGATGACATCCTTAAGTTTGTTGTTGGTGACATTCGCTATCCAGTCATTTATATATTTAACACTTCTTTCAGTGTCTTTGAAATTAAGTTTTTCAATCCTGGCAGCTGTCCCAAAATATTTGAGAATGTCAGTCACGAAGGAGGGAAGTAAATGTAAGGTCAAGTCAGGATAGATACGGTTGACTGTGTTCAGCTTAACAGATGTCTTGCCATTTATTGAATCATCCAGGCATTTTCTTATGCTATGGACTGTTCCTGTCATACCATCTACATGGAAGATCTTTGCAATGGAGTCGGAAGTATCCCCGGCAGAACCTAACAGAACCATCATAAAGCATGTGGCAATGCTATATGGACTAAACAACAGATTAGTATTGAGGTCATCTTTGATCATATCCATGTGCAAATCAAGGCCGAATTGATTGAAAGCATTTACTATGCTTGCATCACAATCTTTCTCACACGTGCCCTTTTGTCCAGTTGCCATTGTTCCCATGAAGAGAGACATCACACCAAGGGTCGCCACCACGAGCATCATTTTGCAGGTCATCTTCTCCAGATGACAGGATCCTACCTGACGTGTTACTGATCTTTCATTATATTTTATAATCATTTCTATTCTCTGTGGTAACTGTATGTCGTTTACATAATGTCATCAGCATGCATTGATTAAATAAAAGGTATACTATTTATAGCTTTTAATATGGGGATGACAATACATTTAATGGCAAACATCTGGATTCATATATGCCAGTAGATTGTGAGTTAATGGGTCTAGCTGACTATATGCTTTTTGTATTTAGTAAAATTAACATCAACAGTTATTAACCATAAACCATTAAAAGTAATATATTTGGAGGTAATATAGTATTTATGTTTTTAAATAAATGAAAGAAAAAGGCGTATATGTATAAATAATGTATATTTTTAGGGATCATGCGGGCATATTATTTTGTCACTTTTACTGAAATTCATTGATAAAAGCAATTTCCAATGGTATGCGTGGTTGATTTTCTGAAATCTTTAATTGAGAAATAGAAAGTTCAAATTTGTACAATGGCCCATTGGATAATTGTCTGTTCTAAGTGTGTACTTCCCATTATGAGATTTTTTACATGCTATTTTGAAATTCTTAGTGATCGCATTACATTTATTTAATGTTTTTTATATGATTTTATAAATTGCTACTTTTTATCGTACCTAACAAGAGGTACGATATTGTAGTCAGCTTGGCGGGCGGGCGGCTATATTGGGGATCGCTAAACAGCTAACAGGTGATCCTAAAGTATCTTTTTAAATCGCAATCATTCTGAAACTAAACTACCATTGTGGTAGACACCCTTTATTTTTTCACTCAATCTCTTCACAGAAACATGGTCTGATAATCAGAATGTTACAAGCAAGTACCAAAGGATTTTGACCCTTCAATGTCAAGTATATTACATAATATTGTATAGATTTAAATGAAAGTACATCAGGAGTCTATTTCTTCAAAAGTTCACAAAACATTCCCTGAATTTTACTATTGTACAGATAAATAGTTATTGATATGAGATTAAAAATGAGTCACTAATTACTTCTAAATAGAGAAACAGCTATAGCATGCAATGATCCATGGCATTATCACTGTCCAATTTTGGAAGATTTTCAGCAGATGTTGGTATTGCTATTCCAAAATTCTCTGCTTCTTCTAAAGTATCAGGTAGATGTTTATCCTTTGTTTCTGGTAGAACATATGCAAGACACCCTGCTAGTAAAGGAAGTAGAGATAGACATATATATGGCAGGCCAAACCAGACATATTTTAATAGGGGAATCTGTGGTGTCAACAGAGTAGCAAATCGACTAAATGTAGATACGGTGCCTAGTCCAGTATTCCGGGCAGTGGTGGGGAATATTTCCCCAGTATAGAGGTAGAGTAAATGATGTATAATTAGGGAGGATGACATGCCTATCATCCCAGTAATACTCACCAACACAGGGATATTTGCAAATAGTAGTGGAATCATAAGTAAAGTACATGTACCATTTATGATGAAAAATATCATAAATGATGTTCTTCTTCCTAACTTGAACACTGCTACCCACATTGGGAGAAATGATGCAATTTCTGATACCCCTAACACAATTGCTGTCTGAAGGTATATACTTCCTGGGATGAGGGTTCCAACATTAAGCATCATGGCAAATTGGCTGAAAATCCCTGCTAACCATATAGTAGGATCAAAGTACGACGTCTCATTCTGGGGGTTCTTAATAAATCAATGAAAGTACTCTGGGTCTCTTGTCTTTGTTGTCACCAGTCTTAACATCACTTAAAAGAATTCCATCTCTATATTCAGGTAAATATTCAGCCTTATTTATCTTTGCGATTTTCTTTATTACTTTCTCAAATCGTTTCACTTTTTTCTGGGCTAAGAGCCATCTTGGGCTCTCAGGAAGAACCATCAAGCATATTAACCCTGGGATTGCAACGATGGCAGATGCTATTTGGAGATGTGCATGATTGCGTATGAAATATGCCACTATGGGTAATCTGCATCGTGTAATCCTACCTAGTGTTACATAGAAAGTACAATGAGATCTATGTACTGGCGGCATTTGTTCAATTATCAGGACCCAAAATACTGCATAGCTGCCGATCCAAGAACAACCAACAAGATAACGAAGTGTTAAAAACATCCAGAAATGAATCGTAAATGCACCACCGACGGTGGCTGATATTTGAAGAACTGTAAACAACAAGGCTGTTCTTTGTCTACCAAACCTGTCAGAGAGATACCCTGAAAGGAAAGCCCCTGTAAGGATCCCTACTATGAAAGCCATTGCTGGCAATGTCATCATCCATTCGTTATCACACACCAACTGGTATTGGGTGACTATCGTAGATATGAATTCCGATTGGTCATAACTCCAACCATATTTACAAGGGACTGTTATGTATTTAACAGTGGAGTTCTCCATATCACCAAGAGTATACACAGTGCCATAATTCGAATCATTTACATGTGTAATGTTCTTTTCTGAGATGCCATCCAACATATTGCACTGGTCAAACACTTTCCTTCCAAACTCATCAGTTATCTTTGGAATCAATATATCCTTCACATAGCTCTGGTTTTGATTTTCAAACTCTGGTAGTTTACACCAGTGGTTAGGCTCAGCAGCAATGAAGTTTGACAGTATGACTTGCCAATTGTTCCCAAAGAAGAAAATAATGTTAGCTGCTATGAGGAGTTTCTGGTAGCGACCGAATCCTCCAATCTTCAGTAGCAGGTCATCAACATTTTTTGTTGCATTCATATTACCAATTATGTAGTTTTTTTGGAAAATAAATAGTAAATGGTCCAAGGCTGGAAAAGGCTATTGTTTTTTCTCCCAAATATGACAGTATAGGCCTAATACAATATTCGAGCATGACTGTATTCACACCTTCTATAAACTGTGAACAAAGTCAACATTTCACCTGGGGTATATTCGTCAACACTACCCTACCCCTGGTAATACGAGTAATGTTTGACTTCATAACGGTGGGCCGTAGTGATGGCGGAATTAAATGAATATTCAAAAAATCTTGATGAGCTTTCACGTTCAAATCAAAATATAGACCTTAGAGCAGGTGTTATATCAACGAATACAGCCCTTAGGGCTAGGCACAAAAGCTTTCGGACAAAAAACATTTGTGCCTAGCCCTGCGGGGTATATTCGTCAATATAACACCTGCTCTTAGAGGTGTTATATAAAATATTCTGAATAACAAGTTGAATATATATATTTAATGATGGCACAAGCAAAAGTCTGAAAATTATAATGAAATGAGGGGTTTTGACAGATGCAAAAGATGGTACATTTGTGATAAAGAAATAGAGGTTTTTGCAGTAACAACACAATTACCTCGAAGTTATCCGTTATGAGAGGCTGAGGACTAAACTTGACATAATTTTCAATCTCAGATTATCAGTAGTATCTCACTTAAGCCGGACAGCCACTCAAAATGTATATGGAGCCCATAAGATTCATTTTCTCAATTGAAGTCACTATTTCTGTTTTTAGCTTCAGAAGATAGGAGGTACATGAACATGCTAAGTTTACCTAGATCACAAGCCTTACCACAAATATAAAGTATATAGGAATAGAGTTGATATGTGTGAAAACCTTAAACTTCCCATTTTATTGGGGATGGAACTTGTGGACCATGTGTATTTCTAACTTCTTCACATGTGCATGGATCTAAAATTGTGGCAGCCATCTTGGATTTGTCATATTATGTGGACATGGTTTTGGTTGTGCTGAATTTGTTTCAAAATAACATTTCTTGTATACCTTCGATAAGTGAGATAGGCATTTGAAATTAAATACAGATAGTATACTTGGCATTTTATGCAGTAAACAGAAATACAATTCATTCTAACATAATAAGTGAGTCCAGACAAAATGTTGTTATTGTGTTAGTTTAACTGGGCATAAATTACACTCATTGGCCTTGGTTTTCTTAATTGGCTTGGATAAAATGTTGTTCTGTTTAATCAGAAAAGGAGTATAGTAGAAAAAAATCTATATTATTTCATCTCAAATATAGAACACAAAAATATAATAAAAAACAAGTTTCTATTAATTCCAAAAGTTAGCTTCTATGTCATGACTGAGTTTGGGTTCCGCTTCTAGGGAAAAATATCCATCTGGAAATATCGTATTGACCATTGCTATACACTCCATATTTAATCCTCCCAGTAAATTTTTGGAGTGGTAATTCAATTATGTACCTATTTTTTATTCTTTATCCCATAGTTGAACTCTGTTCCGCTCTGTTAGGTAACATAAAAACATATTTATGATATTTTGCAAATGCTTGGAAAAAGTGATATCTGTGGAATACGGAAAATATTTCATAGATATCACCTTTTGGCAGGGATTTGAAAACTACCACCAATATGATGTGTTTTGTTACATAGTGATTTCATGACATCAGGGGGATGAATGAATGAATGGATGTTGTTTTGATATGCTTTGTTTAGTTTTAGAGGTGAACTATGGGAAAAATAGAACATCCTATGCATTTTCGTGATATTGTGTTAATCCAACTCATTGATATCAATATCTGCGCTAATTCGCTATGCTAACTAGGCAATATATTGATATCAACTCGGAGATAAAGATAAAATCATTTAAAATCATATGATATCCTATACATATCCTTTACTGTGCCACAACTTTCTCATATGTTATATAATTGGCACAGGCCATCATTTATTTTCCTTGAATTCATGCTTTTGTTCCTCGTTTTAGAAATGAGAGGAAATCTTTGATTTTCCTTGTATTTAAGTTGCTTAAATATTGCCCTGTGATGTTGATAAAAGTCAATAGTAATCCATTACAGTCACAGTTGAAATGTACCCATTGCTAGCCCAGAACCTACCAAAATAGCATTTGCATTTTGTCAATATTGCCCTATGTGCTTTCCATGAAAATAATTTTAATTGTATCTTTTCTTCAGTATTTCATATATTACATTTTAATATATTTAAATTGGTTAATATTTACATACTATTGACTTAGACAACAATAAATAAAGAATTTTTTGTAAAAACACCAAAAATGGTATATGATCTTTAAATGACTGTTGTGTGAACATCAAAGG